CTGGACTCACGCTGGCCCTGCGTTAGCTCTCATGAGCAGCGCTAGCCCGAATCTTGGGTTAAGATGAGAGTCTCTTTGAAGGGTAGGAAAGCAGCTCGTCATTGGCGAGCAGCAGATGCTATCATCACGCCACGGTAAGACACTGTTAGCGGAGGCTTGCGCAAGAGCCACTCCGAAGCTCCTGCGCACCCAAGCCCCCCCATGCCTGGTTGTTGAGAAGATTCTATCCACATGCCACATGCTGAACTGTTCGCAGTGGCACACGGCACAGGCCTGAAGCCAGGTACACATCCGCTGGCCAGTCGACTTCCAGGATCGTCGACACCATTCTTGAGAATAGCGCAGCTGCTGGACGGCATGTCCAACTGCAGGCAGCTCTTCGTGCTCAATGTGTTGGTCGATTGGGTTCGGAACTCGGGGCTTGTTGGCTCGGTGCGGTTCTATACCAGTGTCGCTTGTCGTCTTACTGGTACGGGAACGACCCGACTGGCAGCAGTTGGGCCAAGTGGTTGTTGTTGGAGCTGGGAGAAAGCACAGAGAAGACTCGTAGAAGCAAGGGTCAGACCGCGTCGGTGAGCATCCTTGCATGATTGAGTGCACGTTTGATGGTGTTGTCGGTTGTCAACAAAGGGCCGTAACTATCTCATTTGGGTCTTCCGAAACCTGGTACAGACCTCGCAGGTGCATCCGGTCAGAAACAATCGGAGCATCCGTAGGACTGCCTGACAACTCTGAGCATCGCAGCGGAGGATGGCTCGAGAGGAGGGGCGTGTGTCTCCGTCCCCACCCACACCCTTCCTGGTCGCGGCCGCATCTAGGAGAATGGCAGCTGGGGTTGGTCCGACAGGCAGTCGATGTCGCAGATGGCAATCTCATAGCTTTCTGGGCCGGTTGGGGAAGAGATCTCAAGCTGCAATCCTGAGACAGCGTGTCAGAGAAACGAGGAGCTTGAGAGTGGGCGGCGGGAGAAGAAAGTACAGAAACGGATGTAAGAGTGGATCAAGGGTAAAGTCAAGGAGGTTGAAAGAAAACGTGGACATGATGTGCATCTGGCATCGTGGTGTGTCAGAAGGCAAATGCTGGGAATAGACAGAAACGTAGAGGTGCATATATCCGAACTGGAGTCAAATGTAAGATTGAGCTAAGACTCGAGATTGGGGGATGATCAGGGAGAGAGAAGGCGCCAGCCTGGGTGGGGGAAGGGGAGGGGAGGGGATGAGGGGACGCCGTACGGAATGACGAGGGATGAATGTCGAGTGCGAGGAGACGGGAGAGGAAAGCAGGAGGAGGAGGAGGAGGCAAGGAGGGTTCACAATTGGAGGAGGGTTGGGCTGGCGGACACTGGGACACGAGGCGGAAACGTGAAGCGGGAAAGAAAAGAGCCAGGGGCACTCGGCGTGAAAGCCACGCTCTCCTCTCTGCGGCGATGCACATACAGACATGGTAAGGACATTTACAGAACGAGTTAGGTATGCATCCCCAAGGAGGGCAAGCGAGCAGGGCGAAGCAGCCACCCTGTGATGAGAATTCTGGATTGAACCTTCCCTCTTCCTGCCCAGCGAAGCTGCGACTGCGACTTTCCCCTTCTTCACGATGTTTGACGACCGGAATCTAGAGTGCTGCTTTAAGCCACAGAGTCGATGCTCAGCCCCAGACCAACGGAAAGTAGGGGACAGACCAGCCAAAGGACGACTGGTGCGAAGTTCTTTTGTTTCTTCTTGACAAGAGGTGGAAGGACGTGAGGGACCATGCTGGAGTTACTCGCAGTACCGACCGCAGTGGAGGGCGGTACCCGAAGAATTCGAGCACACCCACGCCTGGGCCATCCATCTGATGCCATGACACCGGCGCCGGCCAGCGGCTGAAGGAGAAGACGTGGATCGCGCTGCTAAAACACGGTCGAATCGACGGTCCAGCACCCGTCGGTCTTAGGGTTCCTGGCTGGCGGGCGGGCGTTCCAGACACCGGGCCGTGTCTTGTCTGGGGGGTGCTGGGGGTGCTCGTGCTCACTGACACCCAGTCCCGAAGACCACGTTCGTCTCGCAAACAGTGTCTTGTCCGTCCGTCCAGCACTGATGATGGATTGCACGAATCCTGACGGGAGCTCGGTGGTGATGACAGCAGAACGTAGGCGTATCCTGTCATCGACCTAGACCAGAACTTTGGAGCGGTAGTGCAGTCAAAGGGCGAGCACATGTCAAGAAAGAGTGGCAGGGTACGTCACCCGAAGTCACCATCTGCCCCATCCAAAACTGAATGTCACCATTAGCGGTGATGTCGAGCGCTCTCTCTCTCTCTCTCTCTCTCTCCGCGTGTGTGTAACGATAGGATAGAGGAACTAGGCAACTAGCTCCTGACGTCTCTCCAATGTTTCTGGGCGCGCAGCGCACCCGACACACATGTGTGATGTTCTTTCCACAACCAGAGTTGCGGTTGTTCAACAGGGGCCGCAAAATTGATGTGCCGGGAGTCGAGAAACGCAATTGCAGCGCCTGCGCCGACTCTGCATCTCGGCTTCGAGAGTCGCTGTATGTACCTAGTGACGGGTCGTCAGTTGCCGCATCATGTCTGCCGGCCAGAGGCAACGACGTGCCCGGGGCGAGGAAACAAGCCCATCCTGGAAGATTGTGCAAGTGTTTCCTGTCAGGGGTTCTAACACCAGTACCTCGTCTCATCTCGACGTGGCTTCAACGCCTCCGTCGATTCACGTTTATAGAGTAAGGCGCGCAACGCTACCTACAACTAGGTACACAGACACACGAACGAAAATCTGACACTGGACGGCACAGATTCCCGGCGGCCGCTATCCATTCCTATTCCAACTAGTCACTTTCTAACTACTGCAGCAGCCGCAGCCTTCTTTGTGTGTACAGGCGGTAAGATGCTGTGTGCACAGGATGTCACTCCCGAATCTTTAAGCAAGTACGCACAGAGAACTCGGTAGCTTCTGGCAGCTCAACCGTCGGGGTTTGGGCTCCGAGTCTGGCCCTGGTACATGGAGTCTCATCAGGGGCCCCAGCATCGACATCCACTCCAACAATTCCCTATGGGAAAGGGGGGGGGAGGGGGTGCGGCGTAGGTAGCATGCCCGTAGAAAAGAAGAAAAGAAGTAGAAGAAGAGGAGACAGAAAGAAAAAGAAGGAGGAGCTTGTCCGTACTGTGTCCGAATATCCACAAGCTCGGGAATGTTTTTAGGTTTTTTTTCCTTTTCCTTTTCTTTTCCGATTTTGGATTTTTGGCTTTCCCACCCGTCCATTCGCCATTTCCACTGGCGGGGGAGACCGCCTCCTAACTCCTCCTCTCCTTTGGGGGGAAGGGGGGGGGGTTCCATACATGTCTCTGGGACCCACAGTAGACAGCCATCTTCCATTCCGCGCCGTCTCCTCCCCATCCCGCCCGCTACCATGTCGAGTCAGGCCTGTGCGAGAGTTGTCCCGTCCTTGCTCTTCAGCTTGCTCCTCCCCTAAAAAAAAAAACCATCGATGCAAGGTAGAGCGCACCAGGCCTGTCCCATGCAAAGCGTCCCTCGCACATACCACACACTCACACACACCCCCCTCCCTCGACCCAATCAGAAAGCTTCAATCATCAACCACACTTTCCCCGACCTGAACATTCTGAACATCCTCACTTGGTGCATTTGGTGGGACAGGCGCCACACCTCCCTCCTTCTCTCCCACTTTGGTCCATTGACATTGGACAACATCTTTTTTTTACCTTCTCCTTTTTTCTCCCACGTACGTATTGCTGCTTTCTCTGCACGGAGCTGCCCTGCACCTCGACCACGCTCCTCCACTCCCGAGCTCTCTTTCTCTCTCTCTCTTACTCGCACTCTCTCTCACCTATCCGCCGCACGTACGGACTAACTGACCAACCGGCTGCATATGTACTCGGGCGGCTTGGTGTCACCGACGCTGTTACCTATAGTACTCCTGACATCAGCAAGTACCGACTGACACAACGCCGCACCTGCACCGGGCCACCAGAAGCTGAATTGGATTGGATGCGCTGCTGCTACTCCTTATCCTACCAGTCCCCTTCTCCTCTCAGATCCAACCGACTATCGATCTAGTCGAACCACTTTAAACCTTCGCCGGCAGCACCCCCCGTCCCTGTCTCCCCCATTCGTCATATTTACACCCGCCCTGGCCTTCGATAACCCTTCTCCTTCTCTTCGAACTCTAGAACTTCGACACTTCCACCTCACTTGCATCCCACTTCGCTCTCTTTCTCTTTCTCTCTCTCTCTCTCTCTCTTCCTCTCCCTCCCCCAGAGTGTTGCCACCTGTTTGCTGGATGGAGGACACCCGTCGCATCTGCCCACTTCAACAAGACGCATTCCATCTCAGCTGAACCATCCTGTCTAGCACGCACTCGGAAGCTACGAGCCTGCCAGCAACTAGAACAAAGACCTACCTACCCTTTACCTGACGGATCCCGACGACGCCTAGACGTTCCAATCCACAAAACCCCCTTCTCCCACTCCCGCCCACGTCCTTCAATCAACCGTCGCCGTTGCTTGTCATCCACCCAGGCATCGAGCACGCTCGTCAGCTGCGTCTACAATAGCTTTGTAGGCCTTCGGCATCATCTTCAGTTAAGACGTCACCGTAGTCTTCCGCTTGCCGCGACCAATTCTCGACATTCGCTCTTCTCCCACACGGCGTCGGAACCCACTCGCCGCACCTGCTGTTCTTCTGCGAAGCCATGAGGTGAGACAAGTCCCTCGACCCTCTGCCCCGAACCTCTGCCGCTACGCCTGCTGGCCGCCCTGGCCGCCCTGGCTCGGGTTTTCCACCTTCCCTGCCCGTTCTCAACCCGCATTCCCTTGGCGAGTCCTTGCGCCCGTGTCTCGAGAGCTAACCTGCACCCTTGCGCCGCGCAAAGGGGATGGCCACAGTGACTGAGAGTCCGCAGAGAGTTCCTCTGCCTGCCGACGGTCATGCCAATCTGACATCGAACCGAATCATACCAATCCCGACTTCGACTCCGACCATCCAAATGTCAGCACCATCTCCCGGCGACCCTATGGAGATCACCTCCACCAACGCCAGCAGCACTTCGCCATCGAGCAAAAACAACGACGCAGACGCCAACGGCGCATCAAAGAACACTTCGCCCACCGACCAATCCGCCAACAGCTCCGTCACCATGCCCGCCGCGCCCGCCGCCGCCGCGGCGGCTGTTCACCAGCCCAAGATCGTGCAGACGGCCTTCATACACAAGCTCTACAGGTAGGCTGCGGCACAGCCAATTGTTTGTGGCGACAGATGGCTAACTTTGCGCAGTATGCTTGAAGATCCTAGCATCCAGCATTTGATATCGTGGTCGGCGAGCGCCGAGAGCTTTGTCATGTCTCCATCGGCCGATTTCTCCAAAGTTCTTGCGTGCGTGGACTCGCAAGCCAATCGGCATTGGTCGTCTGCTGACGGTCGACAGGCAATACTTCAAACATACGAACATCTCTTCCTTTGTTCGGCAACTGAACATGTACGGCTTTCATAAAGGTTGGATCGCTGTCTGTACTGGCCACTTCCACCAGGAGCTAACTCAAATGAAACAGTAAGCGACGTGTTCCACACCACGAGTCCCGAGACCGCGTTGTGGGAGTTCAAGCATGGAAATGGCAACTTCAAGAGAGGCGACCTTGTTGGCCTACGCGAAATCAAGCGCCGCGCTTCTCGTCACGCTCTCGTGCATCGAGAATACCCAAACACCAAGCCGAGCCCGTCACAGCCTGGGACACCCGCCGAGCCGATGCCGCCCCCTAACGATGGCTCCGATCCGCGAATGTCTGGGCTCGAGCACACTCTGTACGACCTCGGCATGCGATTGCAGAGGAGCGAAGAGAATGCTCATTACATGCACATCAAGCAACAGGCGGTCATGGAAACCATGTCGCGACTCCTTCAGTTCAACCAGGAGCTGTCGAGGACGGTTCTAAGCTTGGTCCCGAGCCCCGACAACCCGGTGCACCGAGATGGTAAGCTTGAACCAAGCCGGTCGAAGCAGCTGGTGGGGCTAACAGACATCAAACCAGTTCTGAACTTGCAAGGTGAGATGGCAAGACAGGCAGATATGCTCCGGACTATCGACGATCCCCAGGAATCGCCATTCGCAAACAGTCGAGCGTACTTTTCCAATGTCGAGAACGCACCCGTCTCCCCGCGGCAGATGCCCCAAGACGATCCCAGGCGGAGTGCCAACCTTGCGGTGCCCCAGCCCAGAGGGCAGAATTTCTACCGACCTCCTGTGCCCTCGAACCTTTCCATCAGCACCCGACGGCCGTATGGCTCAATTGGAGGTGGCACGGCGCCACAGGCCTCGTCTCCCTTGCGGGGGGCGCCGCCTCCACCACCCCCTGGACCGCATCCCTTGGCTCAAGTTGAGCCGCCTCCTGGAAGTCTCGCAAGACGTCACACATCTGCTGATATTCGCGCACACGGCTGGCAACCAAGCGCCCCGCCGCCGTTTGCCTCGGGCCCTCCGTCTGGGCCACCCTCGGGGCCATGGCCATCGTCGCCTAGTCGACTTGCACCGGAAGACCAGCGCCTCCGAGAGTCCCTCTCGACGTATTCTTTGCAAAACGCATCCCACTCGCGACCCATGTCGAGGCCCACGACGCCTCCAGGCGTGCCGTTCTCGAACGGTGGCGGCGGTGGCGGCGGCGGGGACGCGTTTGGAAATTGGTCGTGGAACTCTGCCAACCGGGACAACAAGAACCTGGCCATCAGAGACCACTCTGGACCACCCACCCGCCGTGGCAGCATGGCGCATATCCTCAACCCTACTGACACGGCCGAGCGTGACGATGAGGACGAGGACCCTCGAGGCGACGATGACCGGAAGCGCAAGCGGATGCAGTGAGCAAAACATCTGCCTCAGTTACGGGTGCATGCTGCAGCCCAGCACATCATGGCACACCCCACGAAGGTGTGCCCGTACATTTCTGTGACAAATATCCGATGATGATTGGAGACATTTCCTTATTTGTATAGAGGAGGTAGGAGCTGGGCATTGGCCAGCACATGATTTGCACAGATACCTCTTGACAACTGATCAACAAGAGCGAGACCGAAACATACACGAAGCCAACGGCCACTACATAATGCGATCATCTTACTGGTCGATTCCTCTTCTTACACTGGACGGGCCATCTGGATCCTTTATTAAAAGTTCTACACCCTTCTCGATTTCATGCATCATTTCATTGCATCGACGGCCGACTTGCATGGAGCAAAACATGCAGTTCACCAATCAGTCCTTAGTAATTCGGCGTCATCACGGCGACTCAAAAATCAAAACAAGCACGGATTGAGCATCTCTTTCCACACTGTTTCTCGGATGGAGACTGTATGTTACGGTCGGAGCTCAGGAGGAGGGATACCCAACGGGCATTAGGCGGCGGGGTTTGTCGAGATTTGTTTAGTACTGTCCATATGGGGGTGTGGGTGTAATTGCGTTGGCTATAATTGCATTTTGGATGCGAGAGGAATGGGGTTATTTGGAGCATACTCGTGTCTAACTAGTACGGTACTCGGCTACGGGCAGCAGGCATGTGTGGCTTGTAAATGGCCTGATGGCAGATGCTTGTCAAGCCTCGGCCGGATCTAGTGTGATGGTGCACCATGACAAGTATTGTCACATCAAGACCAACATCATATTGATGACGTGATATTTGCCAGCGGTCCCGAGTCTTTCCAAGGGATGCGAGTGACGTTCTTGGTGAGATGAGGTCCCGGCCGGTCGGGTCAAGGGAGTCGCTTTGAATGCTGATCTACGCCCGGCTCCCGTGAACCCAAGATCCTGCTCTATAGCTCTACGCCGGGGTTATCTCTCAGCTGTCTTCTTTTCCGCTGGATGCCGCCGCCGCCGCCGCCGCCTTGTTTTTCTTGTTCCTGTTCTTCTTCTTTCTCTTCTTTGAGGTTTCGCCTGTCTCTAGTCGAGCTCCGGGCCGGGCGGGGTCTACCGGCGTAGCGGCGTCCTCGGCCGACCCGGAGGCTTCCTCCTGCTCCACGTCCACTTGAGCAGTATCCCGACCGCCATCGACATTCTCGAGAGCGCCGGCAGGCGCACTGCCCCCCTCATGCATCTCGACGTCCGCCTTCTCCTCTGTCCCCTCGGGCTCCGAAGCCAAAGGCGGCGCCGGGGACGGCTCCGACCGCGCCTCGGGACTCTCCTGACGGACTCTCTTCTTCTTGCTCCGCCCCACGCCGCTCCTGCCCTCCTCCTCCTCGCTCTCGTCGTCCTGGAGCCTGCGTTTCGCGAGGGCCGCGGCCGCGGCCTTGGGGTCGTCGGTGCGGCCTCGCTTGGTCCCCAGCAGGCGGCGGCTGAGGTCGCGCGTCGCTGCCGAGGTGACCTGTTCCGACTTTGGTGCGGAGTAGCCGAGCCCCGTGTTGGGGTTCTCAAAGCGGAGGTCGTCGTCCTGGGCCTTTCTCGGGGCCGCTGCGGCTGCGGCTGCGGCTGCGGGCGCGGAGGACGGGTCCGGTTTCGTGAGGGAGGAGAAGGCGCCGTTCGTGGCGGGGGCGGTCGCGGGGGACGGGGCGGGCGAGCGCGCGAGGGACGGGTACTTTGCGCGCATCGAGGTGAGGAAGGTCGCCTGCTTCGCGGAGGCGAGGGAGATGCGGTTGTAGAGGGCGTTGAAGTCGGCCGAGGCGGGGAGTTTGGGGGCCTCGTAGGCGGAGGACAGCGGCGTGGGCGCCATTGTGCGCTTGCGAGCTGGCGTGAATTATTTGGATATGTAGACGGGTGATACAAAAGGGCAACGTGTCAAGAATCGTAGGGCTCGCGTGCGCGGTCGGCGTGGTAGAATCTTTGCGACGCTGCGGTGATGTTTGCGATTGACGGGGTTCAGAGATGCGGATGCGAAGCTCCAAAATTTTTGGGAGCTGGCGTCCGGGCTCGTGCTGCTTGTGGGGGGGAGGGAAGGGAAGGAACCTTATCGAGGCCTTCCCGCCCACCCTCCGAGGTTCGTTCTCGTTATCTTAGCGCTGCTCTTCAGCTGCGCGGGCTGGAGGTCCAAGGGAAAAAGGGGGGGCAACGACCGGGAAGGACGAGCAGGGGTGAGTGGTTTAGTGTTCTCCCGCTGCGGCATGGTGCGACCTTCTCCACATTCAGGCTCTTGAAGGATCGACCTTTTTGTTTTATTTTTGTGGTGTTGTAATCCGTGACGGGCGTTGGCTTTGTTCGGCCCCGCTTCGGAGCCGGGCCGAGGACGGAGGGGGTCTCGGACGGGAAAAGGGGTTAGGGGAGAGAGGTGTTTATGAGGAAGTCGCTGCCATGAGAAACCATGGCTTTTGTTTTTGATTATTCAGGGGCGTGTACGATGCGTTTATATCTATTGTGAAAATAGTAAGAACCCACGGCTTTCAGTGTGTGTGGAAGAGATAGATGGAATGCTGCAATCGCATCTAAGCTAGGGAACTGGCAACAAGCATTTACATCATTTTGGCCTTTTAGATCACCCTGAATATGATGAGGAACCCTGTTTTCGTGAAAAGGGTGACTGAGAAAAGATTCGCTTGACTCTGAGCTGCTCGAAGGCGGCGGGAAAATGGGCTTTTGCAATACACGGCACTTGCCTGTGTTAACCAAGAAACACAAGTCGGATCAGATAGTGAGAAAGCACAAAAAATGACTGACCGATTGGGGATTTGAACAGTGAACTTCTGCAACCCCGATCCAGGAAATTTTGTCTTCACCAGTCAAGCCTGGCCGGCAGCTAGAGCAGTACGATATTCACCATGGCTCAGGAGGAATTCAGAGACGTCCTAAAGAGAAGAGTAAGATGCAACGGCTTAATTTACAAAAACTTGAATCGAAATGGCAAAATGGTAAACTATTGCGATATATCGCGCTGCAGAGGGAAGCCAGGCTGCTGCAGTCTGTAGATGGTGATTGCTTCCGTACAGGAGCAGCCACACTCAGACCACTCGGCCAAGTGTACTTACTCGTGTACCCCGGCAGACAACGCAGGTTTGTTGGCTTATGAAGTGCTGGCATGGTGAGCTGCGTCCATGGTGTTTGGATGGTGTGTGGTTGCCTAGTGTCGGTACCGGGGTTGGGTTGAAGCTAAGATCTGGGTGATGGTGGTTGCTGGTGAATTCCAAGAGACGGGTCTCGAGACTGTAGCTTCGATCCATCCTCAATCTGGGACATCGCATTATTACCGATCTTTGGTAACCCAAAGTGGAAAGTGCCATCAAGGAAGGAAGCATCATGAAGGGAAGGCACTATCCCCACCGACTCATCGGTTTCTTCCAAGGTGACTCCTTTGGGAAAGAGTAAAGCTCAAGTGAGGACTTTTTAGGGATAACTGTCCCCAGACATCGTTCCAAAGCTAGAATTTATTCCAGGTGATCCCTCACCTGGCAAATATCCATGCATACGAGAATTCGAACGAGATTGTCTTGTCCTACCTTGGAAACGTCATCTTGTGGCTGGACCCATCCCCTCGTCTGGGATGCTACAACATCACATTGGTAACACACCGATTTGCAAGACCTGATCCCACAGTCAACTACACGACGGTCTGCCCCAGAGGGTCTTTCAGCGAATCTCGAATCGTTTCACTGCCGCAGATCCATCTTCCGACTTCAACTTCACCTCACCGTTCATTATCCCCGCGACCCAGTACGTGCACACCAGACTCCAACACTCATAGTTTTTAGCCATCCTCAGAATCACTGGCACTTGGAACCTCTTGAATACGCAAACAATGTCGCCAGGTTGTGCCATCTCTTGACGAGAAACGCCAAGATACATCTCTTTGCCTCTCCAAATCTCCAACATCCCGCGATCTCGCCAGTCCCAATCGGTAATGCCCGTCTTCACCCTATCTTGGGCCTCCACCGATGGCCCGTCTTCCGCGTTCTACTTCAAGAGTCGAGTCAGCCATGGGCCTTCGGCCTTGTGCCCCGGTAAGAAAAGCTTGGAGACGGTTGAAAGCCGCGTCACTGCTATCATCCAAGCCAATGCATTCGAGCTCGCGACGATGGAGGGGCTCAGAAACGAATTCGCGATCAATGTACATGAAATGATAGATATAGGCGATGGAGATCTCGACTCGTGCCTCTGGGTCGGGTATGATGTAAGACTCACCTCGTGCCCCAGACTCGAATACAGTGCGGAAGATGGCTTCTTGTGCAGTCATCCCTGTCGTGCCCAGAGGCCATTCGCCCCCAAGTTTGACACATAGCCCGAGCAGCTGGTTTTCGGCATCAAGTAGCATTGGTCGTAGTATATTGGCGGTGACCTCTCCAATTTGAACGCCAGATACTAGGAGGTGCTCGTCTTCCGTTATGTGGGCGCCTGGAATATCTAGCCCAATATCCAGGTTGGGGAGTTTGAAATTTGGTTCGGATGGTTATTAGCCATAGTCATGTGCAGACTAGCCATCGACAGAAGTGCAAGTTCGTTGCCGCGCACTGCTGGTTCCGTCCTGCAGCGTCTTGTTGGTGAATGCAAAGTGTATCAATCCAGAGTCGGAATGTCCGAGGGTGACGGCCTGGAAATCCACTGATGCAGTGATTCTGAAGTTGCTGGATGTCGTCGAACATGTTCTTAGTCGCCTGGAACTTCTGCCGTTGATTTGATAGGCTTAATAACGGAAACATCTCCCCACACAGACTACAGTGCCGTGAAAGAAGGGTTGTCGTTAAGTGATACGACACTGAGTTTCAGTGATGGCTGGCCTGAGAAGCTGACATATTCAAGCACCCTGATCTCTGGCCTTGCCGGGTCAAGCGGTCAATAGAGAGGCATGGTTGCCTCCACCATCATGTCGCACTAAGATCCTTCTCAGGACCTTGGAAGGGCAGTCTACACCGTTTAGCCCTGTGATAGGAGGTGGTTAGCGATGAGTACACTCGTTTCCATTTTGCAACTTAACAAATTGCAGATGGAAACACTGGCTAACAGGGCGCATCGTGCCAGAGTCCGTCCCATTCCGGTTAGCTGGAGGAGGGAAACCTAGGAATCGTGATGCTGGGGACTGACCACTTGCTCCTTGGGACAGGGCATCTCATTGGGTGCACAGGCCACCCGGTGTGCCTGCCACAGGGCGGCAGCGCCCGAGACCACTCCACAAGCCGTTACTGGGTACCCCCCAAGACGCTCGAAACTCAATTACTGACGTTTCTTCCAACTACACAGCACACTCACAACATTCAAGGTCAGGGTCCAATATGAGGAGTCTCTACCAAAGATAAGTCAAATCCCTCATATTCCAAATCCAGCGGCACTCCAACAATCGGTTGGACGAGATGTGATACTGACTTGCCCTTACAGTCTTCCTTGGTGGCTAGAGCCCGGTAATGTGCATGATTGGCCAAGCATGCTGGAGACACATTGTGGCTGAGGGCCTCGAGACTCGCCGCCGCTGCTGTTCCATGATTGTGCTAGCCATAGGCTAAACGTCAGAAAAGCTTCAGAGATGGTCTCAAGGCCTTCGAAAGGAAGCACACTGGGCTCAGGAGCCTAGGTATGGCTTACCCCTGAGCTTCGCAACGACCGAAACATCACCCAAGACCTCGGTCAGGGAACAACAGCCAGATGCTCCAACACCTCTGATCTGCCGACGACATCAGTCATGTCTACTTCTCGTGTGGAATTGGTCACTGTAGCGCCGAAGAACGGGCGCTGAACCGGGATGGGACCGGAGACCATGCATGTGGACTAACACATCTCTCACGGCATTGGGGCCGGGTCATCTCAATTTTATTACCAGCTCATCAACCTAACAACACGATGCTCGCATCACATCAAATCAGAACACCGGGAAAAGACCTCGGCCTAACTGTGGCTGGGTGCCTCTCCTATCTGCGCTCATGCGGGCTGACAGCCAACCAGACGTTGTCACTAGCCACACTTTGCAGGACGACTGTTCACCTGCAGCCCTCCTTGTCAAAGTCGGGGGCACCAGCCACAACCACTCCCGGGATACTGACGGACTCTGCGCTGTGGTCCCGGCTTCCATCCCCGACAAGATTGCCCTCTGCAGACATCGATCATGTGGGCCGCCTCATTAACCGCTCACGCAATATCCTTCTAGCGTCTCGGCGACCTCCAGAAAGCAAGCCTAGCAGGCCTTGGAGTGATAATCTTCCAACAGCTTTGTGGCTGGTATCTGCATATCAGACGAGATCTAGCCAGTCTCGTTCCACTGTTGAGAATAATACTCTTCGGTTGACACACACACGAGCTTCTCTTACAGGAAGGTGTCAAGAGGTACAGAAGCATTGGACGAGTTCGCCGGGAATTAGATGAGCGCCTTGGGCGTTGCCCAGCGGACTAAATGCCACGAGCGGTTAGACGACCTCCTGGCTTGCCACATACCGGGTCCTTGGGCCACTGTGTAGGGCGTCGCGGGCCGTAGCCTTGATGGAAGTAAGCTCGTTTGGAACCTTGATGACAAGGGGAGGGGAGAAATTTGGTTGCTCCTCTCTCATCTGGGGCAAACTACTGGCCGGCCGCGGGACACCGGCAAAGCCAAGTCTGAGTGCGGACGACTGGCGACCCAGAAATGTCATCTTGTAAGTCTGAATTCAACAATGCTCGATCTGAACACTTCCTGGCGCACTCTTCGGAAACTTGAAGACACCTTAACTCTCTTCTACCGACTGCCAGTTTGCCTTGTACTGGCTGCCATCCTTGGCTCTCCCAGCCGCAGATTAAGAAGAGCTGAAGAACAGCAGGAGGTCAAGGAGGTCAAGTATAAGACGGCCAGACCTTCTATGCCCAACAGATATCCAACACCGTTTATATTTCCAAGCTCATTAAGATATCAGTATGACTGATCGTCTGCACTGAGCCGCCTGCTGATCAACCGATAACACTCAATGGCTTCTTCAAGTCAGAATGCTGATGAAAAAGAGTATGTAGTTATACCTACTTACCCTGAATCGACTCGCCATGTGATGCTGGACACTAGCTTACTGATGCCAATAGGGGTCCTGAGTCTCCTCGAACCAATCCTCTTGATGCCTACATCCCTCACCAGTCTCAACTCGCCCGCTTCCAGCAGGAAGGACCAAGAGATGGCAACGCACTCGTTCCTCTGTCCTACAGTTCACGCGGCGTAAAGTCGTCCATCGAGTACCACAAAGCCCGCGCTGTCAGAGCCCTCGGATCGTTTCAGCAAAAGTTTACCAGCAAGTCACTTTCTGGTTCATCGATGTCTGCCACCGTGGAACCCAAACCTCCTCTGAAACCCGAAAGGAGTTGAGGATGTAGAAGTGTCGATACTTGGGCTAGAGGCGTTGGCTCATTCTAGAGGTTGCGAAAGCCTGTCGAGAGACTTGTCGGATAGCGGTTCCTATGTGCTGGGCTGTTTTTGAAGGATTGTGGGACACAACTCTAGTACACTACAAAGCACAACCTTCAATGTCTAGCGGCATTGTCGCAGCGACAATCCTGGCAGTATCAGCAACAAATGGAGTTTATTAGCCAGCACCGACCACAAAATTTATTTCTGAGCGTGAAAGCGGCCTTGAGTTCTCATTCCCCCTCCATCACACAGAAGGTCACGCCTGTTTTGGCGTGTAAGTCGGCTTGGTTTTATGAGTAGAATTTCGACTAGCTACGTTGCAGCTACGCCGCCTGGGGCCGGAAACCCGAGAACCACGGAGGGAGGGTCCTTCCTAAGAGTACGTCTATTGTATACTCGTCCAGGATGCTTCATGTTGACCTTTCGTAACGTGGATTAAAGCTTTATTTTGATGAAGTGTGCTGCTCGAGGTGAAGTCGTCACTTCCCTTTTCTATGGGTTTCCGTCTTAATTGATCCCCAAAGCAAGCCTCGAACCATCCATGTCAGTAATTCTTTCGACCTCGGTAGGTGAACTGCAGTTTTTCGAAAACCACATTCATCCGGAACACCCAAATAATAGTTCCGGTCGACCTGCATATGCAGGCGAGGTGATAAATATGGATTAATCCAATCACAATGTGACAAACTGCAACTTCATGAACCAACAGACATCAACGAGCGGGGGAGATGGTACGAAGGCATGGGTTACCTTAGCGAGGGATCTTCCCGTTATGGAAGGACGCAAACTTGTATTTAACGAGACGGATTCCCCTCATCTTGACTTTCCCTTCGTGAATCTTGACACTTCTTCGTTTCGTTTCATCAAGACAATTGGAGACAACAGCTTGTTGGGATGGCTGATCAGACGCAACAACCAGAGGCCGAGGTACCAATTATCCATGTCTTTTTCCGTTATTGAACAGGTGATCTCGAGCTGACTTTCTTAACAGAGTCCTTGGACTGATGACGGTGCTTCCTCTATCGGGGATTATGTGAATTGCGGCTCTACGATAGCTAACATACCAAGACGCTGATGGTTCCAAGTCGGTCGACGAGTCACTGGCTTCACTCAGATCCAGCATTCTTGAATACCGCCGAGAGAACGGTCGAACGTACCATCGGCTCAGTGATGGGAGTAAGTGAATCGCCGAGTTTTTCCAAGGATCACAAACTTACCAAGTTTTGTCATGCAACAGAATACGTTCTTCCCAATGATGAGGTAAGTAAACAGGTCGCGTGAGAATGGATAATGATCTAATCCAGATATCCACAGAGAGAGCAAGATCGACTGGGTAAGTACTATCGTACTACTGGTGCATGTTACAACGAGCTTACTTCTCTCAGATCTGACGCATGCCCTCTGGCTTGCTACATGGGACAACAGACTTTGCAACTGTCCTAAACTCAATGCTGCCAATCGAGTTCTAGACGTCGGTACTGGGACAGGCGTTTGGGCGTTGGATTATGGTAAGCGAACCACTGCAGTCAAATCCACGCCGTGGCTGAATTGACCTTTAACGCAGCGGATGACCACCCCAAGGCAACTGTGAGATATACAACTTCTTCTTCCGATCACAGATAAGAGTGAGTGATTGACTTGGTTACAGGTGGTTGGCGTCGACCTGAGCCCAATTCAACCCGACTTGTTGGTTTCCATTAAATTCTATGGAGCACGTTCAACTCACTGACCGGCACCATGAAGCGTACCCCCCAATTGCAGCTTCGAAGTCGACGATATCGAGAAAGCATGGACTTGGTCGGAGCCTTTTGACTTCATCTTCTTTAGGAATATGATCGGAAGCTTTACCAGCTGGCCGGATATGATCGCCAAAGCCTACGAGTAAGTAAAACTCAATGCTTTGAGGCCCGCGCCCAATTTTCATCGTTGCTGACACCCTCATTCCGTGGTAGGAATCTTGAATCAGGCGGCTACCTGGAGCTTCAGGACAACATGTTCCCACTTAAATGTCAAGATGGCACTATGCCAGACGACTTTATACCCTTTAAGTGGTCGAAGCTGCTCATCGAGGGGACTGATAACATTGGTCGGTCTATTACCGTTGCTGCTAGCTTCAAGAAAATGCTTGAGGATGCAGGATTTGTCGACGTCGAGGAGCGGAGGGCGATATGGCCTTTTAATCCATGGCCAAAGGACAAGAAGCTCAATGAAACAGGCGCATGGAGTCAGGCGTCTACTTTGATGGGAGTTGAAGGCATATCGATGGCGCTTCTTACTCGGGTGCTTGGCTGGTCCTCAGAAGAGGCGACTGTGTTTTGCGCTGAGGTCAGAAGTGCGCACAAGAAGATAGGAGTCCACGCCTACTATGATGTGTGAGTCGAAACACCTGCCGTTAACACGACTCGAATTTGGCTAATTAGTGGACCAGATACTCTGTCTGGGGACGAAAGCCTGAGGAGAAAGATGAGAAGGATGAGGCGAACCAATCTTAGGAGAGTGCTGTGTTGGTCGGCTTCCACCGAGCCCATGAATCCTCTTTGACAGCTTTTCGCGCGGGGCATTGCAGGATTGAGAAGCTAGATGGGCATGTCGTATCTGTTAGAATATGAGCAGGCTGAACTTCGAGATGCTAAGCATCGCAAAGTCTTGGACAACCGCAAGTCGGAACAGGCGGTACATGTAGGAAACATGACCACGAATCGTGTGGTAAGAGTTGTCATGATGATGGAGGTAGGACAGATAATTCGCCAAGACCCAAGCTTTTTCAAAGATTATTACACTGTATCTAGGACATGAAAACAACACTTGTTGCCTGAAGCCATGGATGGGGCTACATGAGCCTCAAGTTCATTCACTCATCTTAACTGCCGCAGATGCATTCCCAAAGCGCCCGCCCATGCACACTTCCCATTGTCTGGGCCTGTATATGTACTACTTTGGAAAAGTGAAGATTTTTTATATTTACAAGTCCGAGCAAGTTAAAAAAATGGATTTAAAAACAGGGTTTGTCAGTTTTTGAGGAAACTCACAGTCCATGGTTTTGCGCGGATTCCTCGTCTGCATTGGTCCTAGATGCAACCATCTGATGGTGCATGCCGGGGCAATTCTCAACCCGGAGATGGGTCGACTATTGCGACAATCTGGTCCGAGCAAACACACTTGACTGCAACCTGAATCCATTCTCGCCTATGCAGGCTCACGCTGATAAAAGCACTGTAAACCAATCACGTTGCCATGAGTGTAACTCAAAGAACCAACAGACAAACAAGCGGGGGTGACCGCGCATAAGGATGGAGACATCAACAAGGGGTGTTCCCCTTGGGGAAGGACACAAGATAATATTTAACCAGAGTGCCTCCCCCTCATCTAGAGTTCTTCTCTTGCAATCAGCTTTCTTCCCCTGTCTATCATCTGAGCCGCTGTGAAGACTGATCTCGATACGACATCACACCATGGCTGATCACGCGCAGCAGCTAGCAGTCGAGGTGAACCAACCCAAGTCTCCATTGTGGTATACCCTGCCGCAAGTGTTCTTGGTCTGACACAAATACAGGATCCTCACACTGACGAAGACGCATCCTCGATCAGTGGTTCCGTTAGTTGCATCCATGCTTAGGGTTGTTGGTTTTGAGACTAACGCGACGCAGTCCGTCGACGATTCGTTAGCATCTCTACGATCAAGCATTCTTGACTATCGCCGCGAGAATGGTCGCACATATCATCGGCTTAGCGATGGAAGTGAGTAAAACTTGAGTCGACCGCAAGCTCATAGACTAATATTATGATGCAATAGAATATGTTCTTCCTAACGATGAGGTATGACGTCGTGGCTCACTCACATATGAGGCTGTTGCTAATGCGACAGAAACCCTGCAGAGGGAGCAAGACCGGCTTGGTAGATATTTCTCTGAAGGCTAAGCCAATCAGGCCTAACATCTCTACAGACCTGAATCATCATCTCTGGACTCTTACTTGGGACGATAATATTTGTAATTCCCCAAAGAAGGATGGTGCCAAACGGGTTCTAGATATTGGAACTGGTACAGGGGTCTGGGCTCTAGACTATGGTAAGCTGGCGGTTCAAGCTGAGTTGTGTGTGTGCTAACTTTGTGGTAGCTGATGAGCATCCCGAAGCAACGGCATGCACTCTGATTGTGTTTCAGGCTGAGCGAGTAGCTGACTAGTCTGTAGGTTCTTGGAGTTGACCTGAGTCCGATCCAGCCCGGTTTGTTAGTGCTTCCTCAACCTTTTGCTAGATATGAAACCAGCTGACAAGTGTCTGCAGCGTGCCTCCCAATTGCAGTTTTGAGGTTGATGATGTTGAGAAAGAATGGACTTGGAAGGAGCCTTTCGATTTCATCTTCATGAGAGCCATGATCGCGTGTTTCTCCAGCTGGCCAGACATGATTGCCAAGGCATATGAGTAAGTAGATTCACGCAGTTACATGTGGTTTTGATCTAGGTTGACTATACTGATTGGTATGTTTGTGGAAATTCAGAAACCTTGAGCCTGGAGGCTACCTGGAGATTAATGACCATATGTGCCCGCTTATGTGCCAAGACGACACCATGACCGAGGACTTTAAGCCCTTGAAATGGTCAAAACTTCTCGTTGAGGCATCTGAAAAAATGGGCCGCTCAGCCACTGTTGCCGCTAGCTTTAAGAAGATGCTAGAGGATGCTGGTTTTGTGGACGTCCAAGAGAAGAAAGAAATGTGGCCTTTCAATCCATGGGCCAAGGACAAGAAGCATAAGGAGCTGGGTTATTGGACGCAAGAATCTGCCTTCAAAGGCATTGAAGCGGTGTCAATGGCTGTATTCACTCGTGTCCTTGACTGGAGCCCGGAAGAGGCGAGAGTCTTCTGCGCTGAGGTCAGGAATGAACACAAGAAGATTGGGGTTCATGCGTACTGGGATATGTAAGTCTAAGTACCTTTCTATTTGGGTTGAAGTCAGCTAATCAATGCATCAGATACGCGGTTTGGGGACGAAAGCCTGAGGAGGTGGATGAGAAGGATGAGACGAACCAGTCATAGGACAGTATAGTAAGTATGCCGTCCTGAACCGGGGCCACCAAACCCGTTGTGTTAGTCCTGTTCTTGTTGCATGTATGAGTTATGCCACAACTCCAGGTCTCTGAGCCGACTATACTTTCATATGTCGACAAAGTAAAACGCTATTTGCATCTTAGAGTTTTGAATTGGTTTAAGAAGCAGCGAATCATATGCAGGGAATAAGATTATAAGTCCATTGGCGGGAGTTTCCATTGCGGTATAAGTCAGTGACACCTTTGAGCCGTTATAGAGGTTTCGAACATCCTGAACGGTTGCTACCAGTAGCTATCAACGGGTGTTAGATCCTCTCTCCTGTTCTCGGGGATCACATTGTCTCGCAAACTGCGCTTCCAAACAAGTATGATAAGCCATGTGCTGCTATCGTGCTTTCTGTTTCTTAGCTTTTTGAGATGATTCGATGGGCCGAATAGCCGTCAGAACTCCGGCTGTACTTCAGAACGCTCATAATTCTACTCATAAGGATGATTTAAAAGAGCCATAGTTGTGTTCAAAATCTTGTACAATTCTTCTTGGTTATCCAAAACACGACCGTTAGTTTCAGTACCGCAATGATGAAGATAACTGTCGAAGTCGCGAATGATTGTGTGTGCTCGAGTCGACCTACCTAGAGAGTGTTTGATACTCTCAAACCCAACTATTCCGAGGGAGATGATCGGTTCTTGGCTTAAGATCGAAACACAAAATGATGTAAAATCGAACCGATCAGAGAAGCCGCGCCGGCTTGTCGTCAATTTATCCTATTCTGGAAAGGATGCTATGGGTGAGAAAACACAAGCAGAGAACACAACCCTCTAACTTGAACATGCATCAGGCGGACCCCAGTTTGAACAGTGGGCACCCACATGCTCCGTAAGTGTTTTCAAAGCGATCCATGCGAACTGCAGGTGGCTGACCAGGCAAACCAGAAGATGTGCTTACTGATGGTGCGAATTTCCTCCAAATACACTGAACAACGCATCTTCTGCCTTGATTATTTAGGCATCTGCTGCCTTGGCAGAGTGGCCGAGTGCTTGTACAGGTGTGGTGCTGTAATTGGAGGATCATGTGCAGTTTGCAGTTTGTCTCACCGAAAATGCGCGCATGTCACAACATATCGTGTTCTGGATTGATTAACTCCTCAACTCTATGACGTGTCTTGGGTTTTCACCGAAAGTGAGGCGGTTTCCAAGGCGGAATTCAATACCTAGGCCTTAGAATATTAGTCGCACTGCTGGCGACCTGCATCAACACGTCACGTTAGCCAGCAGGATGTCAAGGAAGATTGTCTATGAGAACCCATATCATTTGAGGCCTTCCTGGAGACATGGCAAAATATTCCAAAAATGTGCGATTAAGTATTTAAGCCGGCTACCACCAATCACGAGGCTTACAATGAGTGCATCGATTCTGAGAAGCTCAAGAAGCAATGAAGCCCTCACACGGCATTCGACCAAGCTAGAACGGTCTACATAAGTTTCGCCTCTCAACCCAACCCAGCCAACGGAGACGCAGCATTTGCGCAACGATATGGTGGTGGCTGTCACGACCAGCAGCCGAAGACTTCAAGAACGGCCAACAAAACATTGGCACTAGCATTTCAGACATTTGAGGAGACCGGAGGTTTCGATTGACTACTGGTTGTCTTGGACAGATTATGAAGTTTGCAACGATAACTTAGGCATGTACTTATCGTAGGAAATTTGACAGTATTTAGATAAAGCTGAGGATATACTCCAAATTGTTCGAGTGCTAGCTTGGGAAAAGTTTCAACGTAGTGGAATCAGGGGCCTTTGAAGCACTTACACACACTTCCGGAAGAAGGTGGCCTCCTACAGGAACTGGTGACATGCATCCGCAATAAACCACCGATTGACAGAGCGCTGTAGATGACCTTTCAACACTGATGGATACCGTTAGATGGGCACAGGTACAGTCCTCCAATAGGCAAGACAAGTCCATGTGACTGGTGATATATCGAAGCCTGAGACTTTGAGGCCGAGTTCGGCATGTTTATATTCCCCAACGCTAGAACACCGAAAGTCGTTCATTGTGCAGTTCGGGAGCCACTCCTACTGTCTACCTTATTGAAAAGTTTGATCTTGTAACGGTTGATTACTGCCATGCATTCAACCGCCGCTCTTGCATTCTCAAGATCATTCACGTTTCATCTCACTACGGACAATGTATTCTTGCCATGTCTTCTTCATAACCGCTTTACGTCCATACAAGCCACCGCTACCTACGTGATTCACACTGCGACGATGGGTTCTGTTTCAAACAGTGTCGCTGTCAGCAGGTACAAGTTTCGGTTCCCACTGTTTTTCATGCGTCCTAGACTTATGTCTCGAGCGTTGAATTAGATGTGCTAAATTATCTTCCATTGTCTTAGGAGTCTGTCCACGGACTGTACCATGGTCTAAGGTCTCCAACAGATGAGGCTTCAAACAATTATATCTAGTTCTTGGTCGGTTGCAAACAAGATGCCGAACCTAGACTTTCTCATACGATGCACTTTGTCGATAAATTTCTGATTGAAAATTACGTGGAGGCGGTTAGAACGAATTAGATATTTTGTCACGGATTGAAGGCCAAGAGGCACCCAAGATTTTTAATATGTGGCAGTGGAAGTGCTCGCTCATTCCAGAGGGGTCGTCAGTATGAATGCGCTCTCTTACGTGAAAAGCGTGATAATGTTAGAACAGCTACCGGCATTAGTACTTCCGCGTCATTGCTATGAAATCTTTGATGCCTGTTTAAGGTCACGTCTGTCTCCAAGAGCTATACTTTACGTAGGGTAGAGGCCAACAGCTCCAACATCAAAGTTGCATTAAACCATGGAATATTGCATCAAGAATTCCGGCATTTTATTGATACTGATTTAAGCCGTTCTTGCCCGCCGACGTGAGTTTCTCCATTCAATCAAGCAAGGCATTGCCTCCCATAAAGAGATTGGATTTTTGGAAGCCCGTACGAACTCGGCCCCACTCTAAGCGGAGTTCGTAAGAAAGGGTCCCGTGAACGGATCCGAACCTTTTATCGGAGTGGAGAAGTCGACCGGTGTTCGATAGGATCGATACCTGACCGATGTACGTACCTCACGGTGTTGATGTAATCAAAGATACCCCAAAGTTTTGACTGGTCAAAGTAGCGTGAATGGAGTGGAATGAAGGATATCAGTTCTGCTAATTGACTGGGATGGGGAAGGGGAAAGCCCCCGACCTTTTGTAAAGCCTCAATGGCGAACCATGTCGTCCGCCAAAGGCGAATATCAGGCGGCTCGAGAATGCGGCTCGAATTGAGGCAAGGGTCTGCCGCCCCTAGCCTCAAACATGGTTGATGTACCCTTACCTCTGCAATGACTATTCCCCATTCGTCATGCAAGAAGCTTCACATCGTTTATGTATAAGTTTTGGGGGTTTCCATGTATCTTGTCTTTACTGTGGTTTCCTCTATGTAGATTGCTTGATAAAGCCTCTTACTTTAGCAGTAAACTTCTTTACAGCCATTCAGCCTCTTTCATTACGAAATTCTACGTGCGGTGTAGCTCCAAGCCCGTGTTTTCTGCTGGTAGATAACCATGGATTCCGCCTCAAACATCTCTATCGTCAACGGGTATGGGACCTTCTAACACCCTTTCACTCTTTGAACCATTCCCACAAGTCTTGTATACCCTGTATATCTTGACAATAAGACTTACTGACTCGTAATACCCTCAGTGACGTACCTTCAAGACGCACCGCCGACCCCAACGAAGCCCAACGTCTCCAAGATGAACGCCTTCAGTACTTCATTGGTAATGACGAGCTCCCGAACTCCGTTCTGCCTCACATGACGACCTCTTCCAAGAAATCCATCACCAAACACAAGAATAAGATGTCTAGAAAGATCAATGAAATCATACCCAAGGTCCAGAAATGAACGGTCTAAACTGCTTTTGATATTTGATGACGGAAAGTACTCGCTCGTTCACGAAGACTGAACAGTGAGTATGCGACATCTTGAATGGATGCAGGAAGAGGCTAATATGGGCTATTGACTAGAATCCAGGCCCAGAAAGCCAATTCCCCTGCAGTGCAAGCCGCGACAGAGCAATTCTGTCCCAGCGTCCGACACCAACACGGCCCCACTCCGCCGTGAGTTCGCGGCCGAGGTTGCCCGTGTGGACTTGGGCCCGAAACTCTAAATTGTGTGGGGGCCCAGGCCAATTGAAGGGTGTGACGTTTTACAGCACCAAGATCCCATCTCAAATGCGACTTCTGGTCCAGGTACCAGAGCAAATACTTGTGTCGACTCAGGATTACACCGCACGCCTGGTGTATGGATGATGTGACACCAAGTACCTCCGAGATCAGCACGATTGGCTGCCGACCACCGGTCGCAGCGGGCAGTGTCCACAACCGGCTGCCTTGCAGGCGCGGACAGGCGAACCACAGCGTTGGAACGATATAACAGATGCTAAAACACCCCCTTCACTCCCCAACCCATGCCCATGAACGCACCGGTACCCTTTCAACTTTGTTTCCTTCAAAACACGATCGTTTCGTTTCGACACCGCACGCAAGCCACAGTTTCGGAGATTTTCCCATCGCAGGCCCGAAGCCACCGTCACGGGTTGCCGTTGGCGACGAACCTGTCAAAGCGCGCCTCCTCCCAACGGCGCCGCAAAGACGCATGCAATCTCCAGCCCTGTGACCTAAGTAACGCCAGATCGGAGGAGTGCAGGTGTCACGGTCGCATAGCTAGGCGTTCATTGGACAACTTTTGGCAGGAACTCATCACGGCGGGACGGTAGGACCATTTCCGAAAACATGGCAATGTTTGTACGTGTGTGTATGTGTGCGATTAAACAATTAAATAATACAACAAAAAAATCAAGCCGCCGCGCGAAGCCCCCCCAAACTCCGTGGATATCATGCAGTGCCCATAGTCATTCAATCGTGATGCTTTTTTGTTGTTGGTCCCTTCCAGCTCAGCTGGTTCTGGTTTCCCGCAGTGAGAGGATATAGGGTAAGTCTGTCGAGTCCGTCCGCGTCGCCAAGCGGATGACGGAGCCCGAGGCAGAGCTTCCCGATGTCCTTGATCTCAGACTGGCGTTTGATGAGAAGTGACTGGGACCGTATGCCTGCCTGGTCTGGGCGAAGCTATTTATGCTTGAGGACCTTGATATCGCTCCAGCTAATGTGCCTAACGGAGTTGCAGGCGCCGTGCGGTACTGAGCCCACGTATTGGCTGAAGAGTTGCGCGCATTCGCTGTCGGCTCTCTCCTAATGTAGGAGCCTTGTGTGCTCTGCGTTGCCGACCGGGATAGGCTGCGTGGGGTGGTAGGGTTGGTGGCCATGGGCGCATCATTATCGATGTCGCTGTCGGAGGCTTCGCTAGGCCCGCCCAGAGGCCCGAGGACCGCGGGATCTAGGGGTCGCATGCCGCGTAGGATCGCAGCAAACAAATGCATAAGTTCGCGAAACTGGGCATTCGATATCAGCCGTGTCGAGAAGCGCGCATATTCGTATGTGGAGAGGAAGTCCGTGGTCGTCGCATTAAGCGAGATGACGCCCAGCTCGGCCAGGTGGCCAAGGTAGTCGCGCAGACTCATGGGTAGAGGCCGCTGCAGCAGAGCAACGGCATCAGCATCGAGCATCGGCGGTTGAGCGGGGGAGGAAGGATCGGGAGGTGCCAGCGTCAGGGCTTTCGCTTCGATGAGGTTCGGTAATTCGGAGAGAACGGTGCTGTATTGCAGATCCGGAAGGTCGATCGAGTTTGGGGATGACCACCCGTAGTGTTCGATTTCGCCCCAAACAGGTCGTCGAGGTGGCAGCGCAATGCCGGTTTCTTTCTCCGTCGTTGCCGGTTTTTTCAAGGTCGGCAGCTGGAATCGCTTCCTAGCCGCACTGCCCCCAGAGTTCTGCTTCTCTACCAGCACTTCTTCCATGTCGCTACCCAACAGATTCGTCTCGATTCGCGGCCGGGCATCGTAGGCGATGGCTGCGCTGCGTTTCAGGTCGGCCGTGATCATCTCGTAAACCTTCTTGTTCACGTCGCCCTTCTCGATGGGAACCCATGATTTCGGTATTGATGCGAGGATCGTCTTGTTGAGATACAGCCGCGTCGCATAGATGAAGGAGACGATGAGGAGGGTGAGGACCAGAGCGGCGGCAATGATCCATATGTTATATGGCTGGTTGTTCGAGTAAGCCTGGTAAATGGTGTCGCTGGGGGTGACGAGGAGGAGGATGGTGAGGAGGAAGCATAGGACGAAGTAGAAACTACCGTAGATGAAACGGAATATCGCTCGTGGGGAGAACATCGGAGAGGCTTCGAGGGGGTTTCCCCAGCGTTGAGCTATCAACCCGGGAAGCGACGAGTTTTCGGGTTGAGGATCATGGACGGACGAGCCAGTGCATGAGATGATGGGGCAAACTGGAAAAGCATGGCTGGGTGGAAAAGGAGCCGATGCGAATAGTGTAGAGTGCAAAGATAGCCAAGCTAAGAGGAAGTGCCAAGGTTAGACATTACAAAGGGAAAAAGGGTATAGTGAGGTTGAGAGAGGGAATGGAGGTTGGTGAACAAGGAAAAAAAGGCGGAGGTTGCGCACGCAGTTGGGTGAGGGTGACGACGAACAGGACGGGACGGGCGAAGGCGCGGGAGGTTGGTTGGGGTCATTCGTTTTGTTTTATTTCGCTAGATCTACTTAGCAGCAGCCTGTTTGGCCTTGCACAAAGCTCAAGTGGGGGGTTTTCCCTTCCATGCGGACCCCTGTAGCTTCCAGGCTTTCCATACTCTAATCCAGAATCTAGCTTAGCGGCACCAGCGGGTGGGCGGGAACGGGCACTAACCTTTCGAATTCCAGGCGCTCAAAGACAAGATCACAATGGGATGGAATGGGAGGGGAATGGCCCTCGGCATGAAAGATCTTTTTTTACTTGCCGCCTTGGCTTGGGGAAGCATGAGCCCACGACTAGCGGTCACTGTCTTACACGTGCGGTCGTGCCCAATCGCTGGCGTCCAATCGTCTCATGTCATTCCTCTCCGCTGGCCTAGGCGGACGGGCTACGCAGGCAAGATGAGGCTTGCGCACCTCAGTTGCATGTGACAATAGACTTGCGGTCACGGACCGTCAGATGCGATCGAAGCTGCGTTTTACTGACTTTTATTTCTATGATACACGTCGTTATGCCGTTATGCATGTGCCGTTTTGCCCACCGAACGCCCTCACAATTCGTGATGGTACCGCGATACTACATATGCGACAAGCCGCTCCTAGCGTGCGTGTTGCATCTCGGGAAGTCGAGGTTTGTCCTCCCTCGAGGGAGCCTCTTGGGCTGCGGCCTCCTTCGCCAGTCTCATATCCGTGCGGGTCAACCTCAAGTCGCTGCTGTAAGGTTCAAACTCCGCAATCACCTGGGCCAAGCCCGTCTTCAGGGCTGCAATCAGCGCATCTACCTCCGGCGCGGCTCTGTTCTGTTCGACGTCGGTCCAATGAACGGGGAAGTTGGCCTTGAACGCCTCGATCTTGCTGATGACTGTGGTGAAAGTCCTAATGATGGTGGGGATGTCCTTGTGGACCTTGCCAAACGTATCCTCTGTAAGACTGTGGACAGCCAATAGGCTGAGCACATCAACCGCGTTGACATATTGGCTCAGCTCCGAGTAGGGTGTTCCGAGGACGACAGCGGTGAGCCGGTTCCTGAACTGTTGACGAAATATCCAACCGACGTACTCGTTACTGATGACCTTCAGAGCCCAAGTCTGGAACTGGTTTCTCAGTTGAGGGGACGACAATGCCTCCTGCTGCTCCTTGGTCAAAACCTTGTCGCGAGCCCCTCGGAGCGTCTTCTTTGCGATGGGACTAAGCTGCGATACTGGCGAGTTACCGGGATGGCGTCCGACCTGGGTGAGTGCCTTTTCCACCTCACCACGCATTGTCCTGTTTGCGGGTTTGCTCTGGAAGATCGGGTCTTCCTTCAAAGGAGCTGACGAGCGAGCCCGCACTTCTTCGGGTTGGACAGGGACGGCCGGCACAGCTGCAGGCTTCCCATACTCATCAATTCTAGTCTCAATGCTTTTGATGACAGTGAGGCAGTGTACGTAGATCTGGGACCACGTGGAACCATCTTTACGATCAATGTCCTGGAATATGGCCTTGCGTCTGCCTTCGTCATTGCGTGCGATATATGCCAGTTCCCAGAGGGCAAAACACTATACTTGTTAGCTAGTTGACGGTGCACAATTTTCCACTGGAAAGCACTCACCCGAACTTGGTCTTTCTTGCTCTTGAGTCCGTTGAGAAGACTACCGTTCGGATCCTTGGATTCGCTGGTGAGAGGTTTGCCATTTTTCAGCGGGGGTTTGACCATGAATGTCGAGAACGCATGATTCGCCGTCTTCCAGACAACATTGATCAAGAAGCCAGCCACAGCGCAACGGAAAAGCAAGGGCAAGTCCCAAGGCTGGGTAGGTGGCAGCATGTTGGTTTTGGGGATGCTGTAGAAAGGTCGCAAGAAAAACAATGCCCATCCCCAAATGAAGGATCGCAAGAACATCATGTGGACAACGCCAGCAATAGGAGCAACGCTAAGGCATCGAACACTGGACTGGATGAGGATCGCAGGCACTTCGCCCAAGACCTTACTCAGCGAAGCATCTCCAGAAACCTTGACACCATCTCCTTCGGGCCTCGACACATCGATGATGAGCTTGTCGTTATCGTGGTAGAAGTGGAAGATCGCTTGGACAACGGCGCTGATAGCCATGTAGCAAAAGAAGCACAGTGTCCTCTCGTTCACTCTGGCGCGTTCGCCACCACTGTAATATGTGACCCATCCCAAGTTTGCGCTCTCTGGCATGGCCCACAGGTAGACATGGCTAAAAAGGGCGCTCGAAAAGCTGTAGAAGAGGAATGCCTCGAGGGTGTGGATGCTGAAGAAGAACTTCGTGAACGCGTGGAATGTTGAGTTGGAAGCGCGAACGCCGACGTGGTACTGCGCAATGCGCAGGATCAGGATCGATAGGCCGCAGGTGAATAGGAATAATGTTCGGAAGCCCGCGGGGCCAATGGGGAACCAAGACCAAAAGTCTGAAGGGAAGATGTCAGTTGGGAAGCTTCGCGAGCTTGCATCGTGCAGACAACTACTCACAGGAGCTCCAGCCGGAAAGCAAGACGGCTTGGACATAAGATAGACCTAGAAGAATGGTCGCGGTGGAAGAAAATCGCCTTTGCAGCGCAGGCTGCAGAAAGTCCTTATAAGGAGCCCTTCTGACTGTTGCCGGTGCCATACTGAAGTTGCATGGTCATCGAGACCGTGTGTTTTGGGGCGAAGGTTGGCAAGGCTGCACTTGGACTGGTGCCGTGGCCGGGATCTGGAAGTAAATAATGTAAAAATCTCCAGTGCAACAACAACTGCAGCTCCGGATCGAGCTTGCCTGAGCACCGACATTCTTGAGACCCGCCCTGAGGAGAAAATGAGCCACACGCATCACGTGCAGATAAGATAACAAGGCACCACAATTGCGAACGTGAGCTGATTGGGTGGGGTGAGGCACGTTACGTAGTGTTCCAGCCACAGCCCACGACGACATACCGGTTCCTGGCAGCCATTACCAGCCTAGGTACTTACCCATCCCCAGACATCTCGACTTATCGTTGCCGGCCAAAGTTGATTCGCCCTCGAAACGGAACGACGCCATTCTTTTGATACCTCTTGCTCGCGGTTTTCTGCATTTACCATCGCCACAATGTCCTACGATCAGCTATCATCGCTCGAGGCCGGCCGATCGGGCCGCCAGGGCAACTATTCCGACGACCCCGAGTTCAAGCAGCTTCAGTCTCAGTTGACCAACAAGATCTTCAACCTGCGGCGCAACATCCAGCAGCTCACCACCGATGTTAACATTCTCGGAACGAAGCGCGACACCCCCCGTGTCAGGGAACGAGTCCACGATCACCTCGAGAAGACTCGGGACCTATGCAAGGAGATTGGAGATGGAGTCAAGAAGCTCCAAACCTGGGATGATTTGACGGTTCGTGTTAAACAGACACTTTGCGCACAAACTCTGCTAATGCAACATTAGAAACAACAAAAATACGACCAGTCCAGAATATCGACAGACTTTCAGAACGTCCTCCAAGAATTCCAAGACATCCAGAGGAAGGCTCTCGAGAAACAGCGTGCGTCCGTCACAGCCGCGCGCGCAGCGACCGAAGGCGAGGGGGCAGATGCTTCGGCCGGAGCCGAGGACCGTCTCGAGCTACAACAGCAGCAGGAGGTCAGCCGCCTTGCGTCACAGGATGAGGTGGACTTCCAGGAAGCGCTCATCATCGAGCGCGAAGAGGAGATCCGGAATATCGAACAGGGTGTTGGCGACCTGAATGTGCTGTTCAGACAGGTGGCGCAGATTGTGACCGAACAAGGAGAGCAGCTTACATCGATCGCGGACAACGTAGAAGACGTGCGCGACGATACACGCGGCGCCCAGGTCGAGCTTCGACAGGCAGCAAGGCACCAGAAAGCAGCTCGCAACAAGGGGTGCTGTCTAATGTTGATCCTCGCAGTCATTCTCACCATCATCATTCTTGCGATTGTCGTGGACTAGCATGGCATAGGGTATCGGTTCTTTTGTCTTTGTTTGATTGCTATTGCTACATTGGCGTTTCGGTGGCGTGTCGCTATTTTTGTACATCAGGGCTTCTGTAGCCGAGGACATAATTCCGAAATCAGTTTCTCCATCGTACACTGTTGTTGGTGATCTATGCTACCGGCAAAATGATAGGCTCTCGGTGCCGGCAAGGTTGAACGGTATGAGGTTTGGGAAATACCCTGTCTACTACCTTGCCAGAGACCTGCGTGAAGGCCATGGACGCAATCCAGTAAACAAACAAGCCTGCTGGCAAGTTGCTACAGAGCGCGGGCACAAGAATTGCCGAGACGAGTAGTCCCCTTTGAAGACGAACTCTCCACTTCAGGCCGGGAGTCATGTATGCTTGGGAGTTTCCGAAGTCGAACACAAGCTTTCTCATCTCCTCTTGCTTCGGGAACATTGTGTAGCCCATCGTCAACATCAGTATCCCGGGTAGGGCCATCGTGGGATCAGCTACTGTGAGATCGGTAAACCATAGCATGCCGCCATTGGCCATACCGGCCTCCACGGTCGAGCCAAGAGACTGCAAGCCGTTTGAGACAGCTTCGACTGACGATGATAGAGCCGTTGACGCCTGCTCCGGGACAGATGCTGCTGCTGCACCCACGGCTGGTTGGGTAGTGTCCTTGTAGTTTCCTGACAATAAGGACAACCAGCCGCCACGGGCGCCACACAGCCGCCTCAGAGTTTCGGACATGAGAAACCAAATGGGTATGCCGAGTGCGGGTGCCCAGGCCTTCCAGTCCTGGCACCCACGTTCCTTGAGGAGCCTTTTTCGAGTCCGGGCTAGTTGCAGGGCTCCCGAAAGGCGGTTGGCACGAAATTGAAACCTCCAGGCGTTAAGTAATGGCATGGTTTCGGTCTGTTTGTTGACAATGTGCTTGGCGATCATCTGAAGCGGTGTTCTGACGACGGCGACGGCAAAAGCTGCGAATATGATTGTAGTGCCCCAGTGTCCTGTAGAGCCGAGGGAGTTTAGCCAGATGAGAGCCTCCCCGGTCGCTTGGACACTGTTTTCGACATAGGCGCCCATGGAAATGTTTCTTGCACCTGTAGTCCTCTGGATAGAGTGTGGCGCCATCGGCCTCAGGGTTGGGCGAAGAAAGGCAGACTGCGAAAGCGAATTTGCTGTTGAAAGGCCCAGTGGTTGGCGCAGGCCGGGCACGATGGCGCAACGCGCCGCTTTGAGGGAAGCCATGATGAGATGATCACGCGCTCATCAGAGGGCCTTTAGGTTCAGACCGAATCACCCGGCCTTTCAAAGTAGCCGGGAGCTTCTGTATGGTTGACGACTCAGCCAGAAATGTCAAGGGTTGATGTTGAATTTCGCGGTGGATGAGAATGAGATGAATCAATGATTGACTCTCAGTGGTCAATGGGGAGCTGCAAGAGTGGATCCCTACATGGGCCATTCCGCTTCGTCTCAGTCAGGTAACGACTTGAATGGCACAATGGACATGCTGCTGTGGGCCTGGCGGGCGGTGAGGGAAGCTGAGAGAGAGCCACAGAGCCTCCCGTGGTCGGCCAGTGCAGATCCACCGCTCCCGTCAGCGCGTCACCAGTTATCCCAGCGCAATGTGGCCCAGTTCGCCGGGCCGGAAAAGACCTGGACCCTTGTGGGGGTCCACTGACCAGTGCCGCAGTGCGAGGAAGGCATGTGCGGCCTGTAACTAATTACGCTGCAGCTTCCCCCGCCCCATTTTCTAGCTTGCAGTACAACCTGGCCTGTTTCCTGTCCCGTCTACAGCACCTTATCCCACAACGACGTCAACGGGCAATGCTGAAGCTAGACCAGACCGCCGCCATCTTCGGCTTCAACCGCCCTTTCTTTTCCTGAACACTACCGCGGTCACTGTGCAGCAAAGAAAACAACAATACTGAAATCCATTCACCTCGCGATTTCCTCGACCTCCGATGCCCGAAACCTGCTCAGCGCCGTCTGGGCAGAAGCCCTTCTCCTTCGGCATCGATCCCTGGACCCTCGCCTACGTCGTCGTTCCGATCATAGCCATTTCCCCAATAGCAACATATATGATGTTTCCTCTCATCATGCGGGGCCTTGGGTCTCTGCTGGGATGGTACCTGCGAAAGAAAACAGAGGGAAGGAGAGCACAGCTCTTGGAGCTCATGAACGCGGAGCAGCAGTCCTTCAGGCAGTCACCTAAGAAGGGTGCAAGCGGCAGCAAGAACAATGTGCAGGCACAAGCTTCCGGAAGCTCTGAAAAGAAGGACGCAGACTGGACCGGAGTCATCGGCTTCTTCCACCCCTTCTGGTGCGTCGATTGTGAATGACAACTAAGGGCAGTTACTAACGGCATAAAGCAATGCTGGTGGAGGCGGAGAACGAGTCCTCTGGGCTGCGATCAAAACCACCCAGGAGCACTACCCGAAAGCACTCTGTGTTGTCTATACTGGCGACCACGAAGTGAACAAGCAGGCCATGCTTGCGCGCGTCAAGGTTTGCCTCCCGAACACGTAACCCCTCTTTTGCGCATGCTCACAAGATGTCGCAGACCCGATTCAACATCGACCTGCACCCCCCTACTGTTAACTTCCTCTACCTGAGCACACGACACCTTGTGCTGGCCTCGACATGGCCTCACTTTACACTTCTCGGACAATCGCTTGGATCCGTTGTTCTGGCTTGGGATGCCTTCCAGCTCCTTGTCCCGGACATCTTTATTGATACCATGGGCTACGCCTTCTCCTTGGGTCTGTCCAAGCTACTCTTTCGCAGAGTCCCTACTTGCGCCTACGTGCACTACCCCACGATCTCGACCGATATGCTGGAGTCGCTTGACCCTAAGGCTACGACCGGAACACAGGGCGTCAATGCTGGCAAGGGAGTTGGTCTCCGAGGCAAGGTCAAGAAGTTTTACTGGAAGATGTTTGCGGCCTTGTACTCTCGGGTTGGATCTACAGTCGACGTGGTCATGACGAACTCGACCTGGACCCAAGGCCATGTCCAGAGGCTCTGGGGCCCTTACCGTCAGGCCAAGGCCAGAAACTACCCCATCGCCGTCAACTACCCGCCTTGCGCCGTTGAAGAGCTTGAAGAGGCCGTGGAGGTCTCCGAAGCCAGCGAGAAGAAGCGCGAGAAGGCCTTGGTCTACATCGCCCAGTTCCGCCCCGAGAAGAATCACACCCTCATCATCCAATCCTTCGCCGAGTTCCTCAACACCAAGTCCGAAGCCGCCGAGGGTGCGAAACTGGTCCTCATTGGTAGCGTCAGAGACGACCACGACTCCAAGCGGGTGTATACGCTGCGCCTTCTGGTTAACGAGCTCGGCATTAAGGATAGAGTCGAGTTCCACCTGGACGCTTCGTGGCCCGAGATCCTGGACTGGCTGCAAAAAGCCTCGGTGGGTGTCAACGGCATGTGGAACGAGCACTTTGGCATCGGTGTCGTTGAGTACCAGGCTGCTGGTCTGATCTCGGTTGTTCACGACAGCGGTGGCCCCAAGCTGGATATCGTCACCAAGGTCGATAGTGAACCGACAGGTAGGTGGCTGACAAACATCCTTTCGAAGCCACACACTAACATGAGTACAGGCTTTCACGCCACGAACGTCAAGGAGTTCGCCGAGGGTTACGAGAAGGCCCTTTCCATCAAGGACACGCTCCCCATCCGTCTCCGGGCACGCCAATCGGCCAAGCGGTTCACGGAGAGCGAGTTCGATCAAAAGTGGATCGCCCAGATGGAGAAGCTGGTAGCCCTGAGGACATAGTTACATTTGTTACTCTTGTTTGTATTTTTCTATGTACCTGATAGACTCGAGGATACCCCTTCCCTTCAGATAACCTCAATAAACATGAACTATGCTCTATAGCCTCTAATCATCTTTGCGTGAAGCCAGTCTACATGATTTTCTAAACCGTAAACGCGCCGCTGTTCTTCTGACGCGGCTCGCTCGCCGCCTCAAAAACACCGCCATCGAAGATGATACCCTGCACGGCACTGCTGCCCTCGGGCACCCACTTCACATGGTGGCCCTTTTCGAGCATGCTGGCGACGGTGTCGTTGTCGAACGGGTACTCGAAGGTGACGGTGTTGGGCATGAGCTGGTCGTGCAACCGCGGCTCGCGGAGGGCCTCCTTCATGGTCCGGCCGTGCTCGAGGACGTGCCAGGTGACCTGGGCCGTGGAGCTGATGATGCGCGAGCCGCCCGCGGCGCCGACGGTGGCGTAGAGGGTGCCGTCGGGGTGCTCGACGATGACCGGGGTGATGGAGGAGAGGGGCCGCTTCTTGGCGCGGACAAAGTTCGCGGGGGAGGGCTCGAAGCCGAAGGCGTTTCGGACGCCGGGGATGGAGAAGTCGTTCATTTCGTTGTTGCTGGTGATTTTGTCAGTGGGGGTTTGTCAGAAAGTAGAAAAAGGGGGCTACGAACAGAATCACACCGGACAACGGATCCATGATCTGAGCGCCAAAGAGAAGGTTCACGGTCGTGGTCAGGGACGTCGCCATGCCTGACTTGTCCGCCGTCACAATATGCGACGTCCCGAACCCTTCGCTCGAGTACATCCCGTGCGGGTCGTACCGCTCGACCGGCTGCGTCTGGTTATCCAAGATCCTGCCCCGGATGTCCTTGGCTGTGGCCTCGTCGATGAGGGTGTCCTCGAACGGGCCGATGCCGTCGACGAAGTCCGGGTCGCCGAGGAGGGACCTCGCGCCGTAGGCGAAGCGCAGCGCCTCGTCGAAGCGGTGGACGCCGAGCTTCGTGTCGGCGCTCTCGGAGGGGTCGAACTGCTCCATGATCTTGAGGGTGTTGAGGCACACGGCGCCGCTGGCGGGGGAGCCGACGGAGACGAGGCGGTGGCCGCGGTAGGTGATGGAGAGGGAAGGGCGTGTAACGGCCTTGTAGGAGGCGAGGTCGTCAAGGGTGAGGGTGCCGTTTGTGGCGCGGACGGTGGCGATTATGGATTCTGCGATGGGGCCAGTGTAGAACACGTCTGGGCCTTCTTCCGCGATCTTGGCGAGGGTTCTTTGGGCGTTTTTAGTTGCGGTGGTTGAGAGAAAGGGGGAGGGCTAGATGGAAGACTTACGCTCCGTAGCGTTTGCGGTAGATTGTGTCGCCGAGCTGGAGAAGTGTGCCTGGAGGCTGTTAGTCATGTTACAACTGGCTGAACATGCCAAAGACTTACCGTTCGGGGCGAACTCCTCAGCCCACACGGGGTCTTCCACGAGGAAGTTCCATTGTCCTCTGATGGCGTTGGCCATGTATCGCACCAAGTCCTCGGAGACTCTAAAGCCCGCAGTCGCCAGTTGTGCAGCCGGAGTGACAACACTCTTCCATGGCAGCGCCTAAGCAGTGAGTTAGCCTCGGTTTTGCTTCACTCAAAGTCAACTGGGTTGCTTACTCCGTACTTCTTGTGGATGTATTCCAACCCACGAACCTCACTCGGCACGCCCACAGCCAAGCCCCCGTAGACGCTCCCCTTGATGTTGCCCTTGTACATGTCCTGGAACGCCGCGGCTGGCGCCGCCTCTCTGAAGTCAACGGACTCATAGTTCCCATCGGCGTCTCTGATCACGACGAACCCGCCGCCGCCAATGCCAGAGTGGTACATGCCCACAGTGCCGACGCAAAAGGTTGTGCCGACGAGTGCGTCAACGGCGTTTCCCTGTGCGAGAGTTAGTCATGTGTGAAACGGTACATGGTGAATGCCAGAATAATTCCAGAAGCCTCCTGGATTTGCCGGGTTTATGAGAAGACGTACACCTTGCGCGATCAGGTCGCGACCTATCTTGCTGCATTCCACGGCCTCACTCGCGACGGCGCCAGAGCTGCCACTGTGAGGGTTAAAGACGAATTGCGGTACGGTCCCGGCCGAGATTGCGCGGAACCCGGCCAGTAGGAGCAGAGAGGCGTAGCAGCGCCATGTTGAATGAGAGGATGGTTCTGGTGACAGTCAGTTTTGTATGTTCAAAAGCGCTGAGCACACTTGATGGGACGAACTCACTCATCTTGAAAGGTCCAGAAGCAGAAGGGCGGCTGTCTGTGAGCCAACACCAGACGGTTCCTCCGAGACTCGACGGCCGAAGCTCCGATAAGAGATAACGCCAAAAGGAGAGAGGTGAGCAACTCTGGAAGTCGGCACTCGACTGTTGTCTCTTATCTGGGGAACAACCTCTCTTTCCTTACTCTACGAAATAGCCTAGGAGAACAAGGTGAGTAAGCTGGGGCCATTACAAACCAGCCCATTCCGTAGTCGGGGGGTCATGACTTATTTCTACTGGATCCCCCCCGTCGATTGCGACAGACCGAGTCCCTATTACAAGTTCCAGGGCGGTGCGCCCCAGATCCGGCAGGCACTGATAAGCGACTTAAACTGGGGCGCCGGGGTGGAGGTGCGCATGATGGCGGTCATGCTGGATCGCGGCCCCACACCGCGCGCCCAGCGCCCCAGGGACACCAATCAGGGGCTGGCGAATTGGGTAATTCTCAGCAACCTTCAGAGCTGGTCGATAACTTTTTTTCTCACAAGTCGCATGTCACAAGCTTCATTCTCACTGTTGACGGCGATTACTTTTCTGAGGCCATTGCACCACGCTCTCTGACTCGGAGCCGCATCTCTTAACATTTGTTGGGTCACGTCGTCAAGCTAGTGGTGGTCCCCCAACCGTAACCAATCCCAAAACCTTCAGCCGAGTATCTGATGAGTCTGTCCCTACGGCTTCTCCCGAGACTCACTTCATCTTCACTCCGCCCGGCGGCTCTCACACTCATCGGCCCTAGCCGCGCTTATACCTCGGCCGCACCTCGCAGGCCACTCATACACAAAATCAAGATGTCGTCAAACACAGACACACCACAGCAACAGCCGGCGTCCAAACCGGCTCAGGAGATTCCCTCAAAGCCGGCAGCACCAGCATCTCAGCAAGGTCAGGGACAGGGACAGGGCCAGGGGTCGGAGCAGAGGAAATGGCAGAGTAACGGAAACAAGCCCAATGGCAACAAACGCGGGTTCCAGGGCCAGGGCGGACGGGGCAAGGACAAGCAGCGCAAGTCGAAGCGTGAGAGGAACATCACGGAGGGGTCCTCGGAGGAGGTCTTGGCGGCGGACGTGCAAGCGCTCATCGCATCCCGTAAGGAGTCTCTCCCCGAGCCGGCGCCGGCGCCGGCGGATGCGGGTGCGGATGCCAAGGAAGGCGACGCCGAGGCCGCGGCTGAGACCGCCCCGGCACAACCCCTTCCGGCCCCCTTCACCGAGATCGAGGTCGAGGTCCTCGCCCTCTCCTCCACAGGCGACGGCCTCGCCGTGCACGCCGGCTCCCCGCCCACCCAGATCTATGTCGTCCCCTTTGTCGCCCCCGGCGATGTGGCAAAGGTCAAGGTCATCCGGCACTTCCCCGCCGAGTCGTACTCCATGGCCGACTACCTCTCGGTCGTCACGCCGGGCCCGCTGCGCGACGACACCCGCGTCAACTGCAAGTACTTCACCAAGTGCTCCGGCTGCCAGTTCCAGATGCTCAGCTACGACACCCAACTGGCGCACAAGCGCACAATCGTCGAGAAGGCGTTCCGCAACTTCTCCAACCTCAACCCGGAGCTCGTGCCGGAAGTGGCCGAGACCATCGGCAGCCCGCTGCAGTACGGCTACCGCACCAAGCTCACGCCGCACTTTGACGGTCCCCCGGGGCACAACAAGAGGAACAAGCCGCGCCAGGCGCTCGACCGGGTACCCGAGATCGGCTTCAACGTCAAGGGCCGCCGCGCGGTGCTCGACATCGAGGACTGCCCCATCGGCACCGACGCCGTCCGTCTCGGCATGAAGCGCGAGCGCTCCCGCATCGCCCGCGAGTTTGGCAACTACACCAAGGGCGCGACCATCCTCCTCCGCGAGAGCACGAAGCGGTACCCCAAGAAGGTCATTGGCGGCGACGGCGACGCCGCCGACGCGGAACAGGAACAGCCCCCCGCGGAGACCCCCTCGGACGCGATCCGCGTCGACACCGACACCCACACCGACATCAAGACGTGCCTGTCCGAGACGGGCGCCATGAGCACCGAGTACATTGGCCGGTACCTCTTCACCAACCCCGCAAACTCCTTCTTCCAGAACAACAACTCCATCCTGCCGACCTTCACGGGCTACATCCGCGACCACGTCATGCCGCCCGCGGGCCCCAACCGCGACCGCACAAAGTACCTCATCGACGCCTACTCGGGCTCGGGCCTCTTCACAATCACGCTGGCCTCGCTCTTCCAGGGCAGCACGGGCATCGACATCGCCAAGGACTCGATCGAGTGCGCGCGCAAGAACGCCAAGCTCAACGACCTGCCCGAGTCGCAGTGCAACTTCATGGCCGCCGACGCCCCGGAGCTGTTCAAGCACGTCACCTACCCGGCCGACGAGACCGTCGTCGTCATCGACCCGCCCCGCAAGGGCTGCGACAACGACTTCTTGAGCCAGCTGCTGCGCTTCGGGCCCCGCCGCGTCGTGTACGTGAGCTGCAACGTCCACACGCAGGCGCGCGACGTCGGCGTGCTCGTCCGCGGGGACGGCGGGGACGGCACAAAGTACGAGATCGAGAGCCTCGTGGGCTTCGACTTCTTCCCGCAGACGGGCCACGTCGAGGGCGTCGCGGTGTTGAACAGGGTTGAGAAGACGGCTTGAAAAGGGGGGAGAGATCGGGATAGGATAGATAAAAGCATTGTGATACCAGCATTGGTCTGTAATAATCCAAAAAAGGCAACAGCCACAGGGGAATAAGAACGTGGCATCAAATCGGGTTAAACCCCTTCTTTAGTCTTGTTCTCTTCTTCTTTCTTCTTTTCGTGTGATCTTCCCTATCTGTCTACTCGATATATGAGATGCGTCTGTACAGAAAAGGAGACCCGGGCCCCAGTCTTTTAGCCTTCCAATGCCCGGTTGTCCTCGAGCAGAATCTTCAGAGCCTGCACCAGGACCTCGACGACCTCCGCCCGCCGGCTCTTCTTGGCCGCCTCCTTGAGCGCCTCCAGACCGCCCTCCTCGATGATCTTCTTGCGGGCGTTGGCACCCGACGCGCCCTCGGCAGCCACCATGTTGTAGACGATGAAGCCGGCGCGGTGCCGCAGGTCCTCGTTGTCGTCGGCGCACATGTCGAGGATGACCTTGACGCCCCGCTCGCGCTCCACGATGGCTTGCACGACGTTCTCGTGGCCCGTGAGGGCCGCCAGCGCACCGCCTGCCGCACTGCGGGTCCCTTCGTCCTCGGCGTCGGCCAAGGCGAGGAGGATGTGCAGACGACCCTTGGCCTGGGGGCTGCCATCGGCGTAGAGCGCCATGCCTTCCGCAGCCTGGACGAGGTTGCAGACGAGCTCGACCGCAGCCTTGGACACCCGCGCATTTGAGCAAAGCAGCTGGTCCTCGATCTGCGGCCATGCTACCCGGACGATGGCTCGTCTGGTGTCCAGATCGTCGGTAGATGCGAGGTTGGTAAGCGCCATGAGTGCCTCGAAAGTGGGGAGGAGATCACGGGTCTCGGCAGCCGGGTCTGGAGGAATGATGGAAATAAGAGGCCGGATCGCAGAGCTCTGCGGGTTAGAGCGGCTCCCGCCGAATACGAGGGCCGGGTTAGTGCTGATGAGGATGCGCGCCAGAGCTTGCGCGGCCGTGCGACGGCCTGCAGCTTCCGACTCGGGCAGAGTTGCCCACGCGACCAGGAGGAGCTTGACGGCGCCCTGCTGGGCGAGTTTTCCACGCAAAGATGTCGTAACTGAAAGTGAGTAAATGATAGCGACAGTGAGCGAGAGCGACGCCGGGGAGCCGTTCTTGCTATGGGTTACCAGCACTGGTGTGACGCCCGCCTCGAAGACGCGCTTGCACCGTTCTGTGACATGGTCGTTGTCGTTGAGGGGATCCGGCCCGGCGGACTTGCCAGCGGCGGCCGCGTACGCCTTGAGCTGGTTCATCTTCTTTTCCTCCTCGGTCAAATTAGGCTGGTACCTGGTCAGGTTCACCAGGATACTGAGGGCCCCGTAAGTCACAGGCGACTTGGGCGGGGCGTCAGCCAACGTCTTCACAAGCTTCTTCAAGAATTCCGCGTTCCCCGCCAGCTTCTCCTTGATGGCCGGCTGGATCGATGCGTACGCCAGTCCTTCGATGGAATGTTGGTGGCCATGGTCGTCTTCGCTCAGGAGCATGGAGGTGAATCTCGTCGACAGCTCTTCGATGGTAGTGATTGCAGGTGATATCTTCCCTTGCCCATCCTCATTCTGCGTCGGCGCGGAGGGCACTGCCTTCGTTCTGAAGTCAGTCAGATTTATGATTGGAGGGGTCCATGTCCGGCTGTTGAAAGGTCTGAATACCATACCCTCAGTTTCGCTAGGATGACGGCTGCCAAATTCTGGACTTGCTCCGAGTGTTTGCGCATGGCGACGGAGCCCTCCTTGGCCGAGTACTCTGGGTCCTGTTGCATCTCCTTGGCAATCTCATCAGGGTCCTGATCGACAACCTCCTCCAACCACTCGGTGCAGTACTTGTTCACAGCGTCGCGGCACTGCGAGTTCATGCAGGCGGCATTGAGCATCTCCAAGCAGGCCGTCTCAACCTTGCGGCTCTTCCACTTTCTTCTCATCAGAGGGCCGAGGGAGCTCAAGAAACCTTCACTGAGAAAAAGCTCTGAAGTGAGATCTGGCACGACCGGGAAGGTCGAGGCAGCGACGCAAAAGGCAACGATGTAGTCGTCATAAGTACCCCTCTTGATTTTGTCGAAAAAGAAGCCAGAAAGCTTCTTGGCGCCATCGTCACCGGCGGCCTTGAGGTAGGCGGAGGTGGCGATGACGGCGTGTGCGCGGACGATCTCTGGCTGTCTCATGTCGAGATATGTCAGGATGGTGTCGACACAGTCACTGTCGATAAGATTGCATATCGTGGGGGCGCCGGTCTTGGCCTGGATGAGTTGCAAGTCCTCGTTGAGCAGCTTGGTGAGCTGGTCGAGGTCGCGGATGGTTTCGTCGTCCTCTTGTCCGCCCTCCATTAATCGCGCAAGGACGAGGAGGGTCTCATCTTCTCGTGATGGCGCCGCCTTGGGAGCGGTCGCTTGGGTGACGGCGGCCATGGTTGCTGGCACTGTGCAGTTCGCTCGGGATGAAAAAGTGCACTGAGCGGTTGATTGGTGATAATGTATACTTGCGTGTACCGTGTCAGGTGCGTGGTTGAGTGAGGACGGAACAGACCTGGGACGGAAAGGAAAAGTCTAGAACAAAACGGGGCGGCACTGTGATATAAGTAGGTACCTCGTCTGGTTGTTTAGGGCGGCGGCGGCGGCGACGGACTGTGTGATGGGATGTGTTGGTCACAAGGTCCGGCGATGACAGAAGCGTGGAGGAGGTTCGGTAGGCCAGTCTCTGAGATAAGAAAGGGCAGGAGTCAATCCCTCGAGAGGTTTCACAAGTGAGACTTGTCACTGGTCAGAGAGCGACGGGCAGAGAGGCAGCGAGTTGGTATGGCATCATTGGTACTGTGGTGGGAGGAGAGGGACTGGAATCAGCCACACTGCACACAACATGCCCTGTGCAGTACGTACCAGAGGTACCAGACTCCAGGGCGTGGTGAGGTCAGAGAGTGCAATCCAGGTCAAGGTCTACATGTCCTTTAGCGTCTGTTCAACCGTCTCTGGACGGTTCGATAGGCCCGACTTTTCCTATCTCTTTTTTTAGGTGCCACGGGTGCCCCTCGTTGGATCCCAGTGCAGCAAACCTACCACCAGGGCACACGTTGACACACGGTACACATGTCACTGGCGGTTGCATCATATCTCTCCCATCGACTGCAATGCACCTCTCCAAGGCAGTGCGAATGGACCGGCTCTCGACGATTGGAACCCAACAGTTACACCGCCCGTTGCGCATGAATGTGATGGACTGAACCTTCGAGTTCCCTCTCGTGGCCTGCTTGCCTGCTGACTAGCGGAGGCAGGTACATCCCAATAGGGATCGGCTAGGAAATGCGTTCAGGGTGTGTAGGGGCGGGGCAGCAATGCTTGAATGTTCTTTGCTTTGCTTTGCTTTGCTTTGCTTGCACCTCACCATCCCAGCTTCCCTCGTTTAACAAAGCCCGCTCCGTTGCTTCAGCTCCAGGCTGAGTCCGGTCCGGCGTCGCGTCTATCGGTCCGTATTCCATCAATCAACGCGCCCCCCACGCCAGACCGCGCCTGGTGCGGTATGTTCCCCCTTGAACCATTTTTTTTGCAAACCCCAGCCGGGAAAAGTGCTGGCTCCCTTCGGAGCCTCTTCCCCGTCACATCCCCCACCCCCGGCCCAGTGCCATCCAATGACTTTGCCTTTCTTGCCATCCTGTGTCTGAAGCACGGGCCAGTTCTCAGCTCGGGCATGGTTACGGATTATTTCTGGACTGTGAAGCTCGTTGCATCACACCTCACCTCACACGAATCCCTACCTATCACAAAACCTCGCCCTGCTTGGCTCTTTCCCTCTTGAATGAGACTGCGCCAAGAGCCCCAATCCACTCGTTAGTCTCGAGAACGTAGGATTGGAAGGGTTCAATCGTACGAGGTCCCGGACAAAGTCGATACAATACAATCGCAAGCCGCTGGACCGCAGATGCTCCGCCGGTGACACCTTCGCTGCGACCTGGCGCCCGCCCTCCGAGGCCATCGCCGTCTCCCGCATAATCCTCCTCCTCCTCCGCCATGAACGCCGTCGACGCCTCGGACCACTACGAGGTCTCCTCGCACGAGGCCACGCCCTCCCTCCTCTCCATCGTCATCGACACGAACCCGCGCGCCTGGGCCGCTCTGAGCGACATCCTCCCACTCTCCAAGGCCATCGCCAACATCCTCGTCTTCGTCAACGCCCACCTCGCCTTCAGCAACGCGAACCAGGTTGCCATCATCGCCTCCCACAGCAACCGCGCAGTATGGCTCTACCCTTCCAAACCCGAGGCCGCGACGACCAATGGCGCCGCACACTCTGAGGACGTGGCCATGACCGACGCCGACTCCTTTGCGCCGACGCCGAACCAGTCGTCCGCCAACAAGTTCCCCCAGTTCGCCCAGATCGAGGCCGCCGTCATGAGCTCCATGCGCAAGCTCGTCGACGCCACCACCGAAGCCGACCTCGCCTGCACAACAACCCAGCTGTCGGGCGCCCTTACACTCGCCCTCGCCCACATCAACAAGACCTCCCTCTCCCTCAACGAGACGAACAAGGCCCCCGATGTCGCCCGTCCCACCTCCTCCGCCCTCAGCCGCCTCCGCGCTCGAATCTTCATCCTCTCCGTCTCCGACTCGGAGCCCGTCCAGTACATCTCCACCATGAACGCCGTCTTCGCCGCCGCCCACTCCCAGATCCCCATCGACACCCTAGCCCTCTCGGGCGACGCAACCTTCCTCCAGCAGGCGAGCTACATCACCGACGGCACCTTTATGCAGGCCGCCAGTCCCCGCGGCCTCCTAAGCTACCTCATGTTCGCCTACGCCGCCGACGCCGAGGCCCGCTCCTCTCTCATCCCTCCCACCCACCACACCGTCGACTTCCGCGCCGCGTGCTTCTGCCACGGCCGTGTCGTCGACACGGGCTTCGTCTGCAGCATCTGCCTCAGCATCTTCTGCGACGTCCCCGACGGCTCAGAGTGCCTCACCTGTGGCACGAAGCTCTCCCTCGGCAGCTACGGCGCTAAGCCCGCCGTCGTCCCGCGCCGGAAGAAGAAGAAGAAGAAGACGGTTCTGGCCAATGGCCACATCAGGGAGGAGACGGGCAGCGCTGCGGGCACGCCTCGTCCAGGATAAGGCAGGACACAGAGAAACGAGGAGAAAAACACAAGTCACGACTTGAAGAAATTCACCGGACAACACCGGTAGAAGGTGTTCTAGTCGTGTAGTGGGCAGGACACGTGACGGTGTCAATAGATGCTACAGATAGCTGCTCACTGCAGCCCGCTTGGCCTGATGAGAGGCTTTTAGCGCAGAACTTATCAAAGTCTACATAGAAGGGAATGGTTCGCTCATGCTCGAAAGAGATAGCAGCGAAAACCCGAGGCATAAAAGTCGAACCGCATTGGATTATAGAGTCTGGATTGATCAGCTTCTTCCGACTTACATATAGCTGGACAGAGAAAGCCCCCCAGATCGTGTTCAGGGTTGAACCGGGGCATTTGGAAGGGGGTGTCTTTCTGCGCCAAGGATGACCTTCAGGGCTAGATCTAGATATTTATTCCAGAGGCATAGTTGAATAATGGGCACCACCATGTCTTGACCATACGGTTTTAACCAACTTATCTTGAAGCACTTGTCTTATTCTTTATGTATGAGCCTGCGAAGTGGTGCTCTAGGAGGACAGGTATGATGTACACGAAGGGGTATCACTACCGAATAACAATATTAGAGGGCCGAATCTTGCGGCCCCTACTGGCTCAGTCACCTCGCCAAGTCCTGCGTTGCGGCGCAAAATATGGCCTGACCACCGCAACGCACCTTGAACAGACTTGTCTACCCACCTTTCCGTTAATGGCTGCAACAAAAAGGAGCCAGCTGCGGCAGTGGTTTTTCTGTCATGATCCTAGATCAACCCGTATCCTTCGAGCGCCGCGGGTAACTTGTGTAGTCTCGCCCAGGCGGGACATGACGCAAACAGGCTCTCTGTCGGAACCACCCATGGAGGCTAACGCGAAGGAGTCAGTATTGTGGGCGAAGTATAGATAGTACCCCGTCCGCGTCTTCTTGACAGTCATCACGCCAATCGCCCCAACAGAGTTACAGTCTCTGACGCCAGGATGGCCCATGAAATCATTCGTGATGAAAGATTCCATGATAGCGTCCTCGTCCCACTCCTCAATATCTCTGCCGTTCGGTCCTCGGCGTGTGTTGCCATAGATCCGTTCGGCACATCGTTGAGACGCCATAGTGGTGGCCATGTGCTCTCCCGTGCCACTGGTGACCGTCGCAACGCTGGTCTTGTCTGGGTCGTCCGGATCACAGGGCACAACAGCTGTGCCAATACCCACCAGAGCAGCAGGACCTATACGCCCCCGATGTTTCATTCCAATGCCGCCAGAAGACGAACCTGCTGCAATGTTTCCTTTCTCATCGATAGCTATGGCTCCAACGGTATCGGTGATGACATCCTCGTGCTCCAGCTCTGTTGCAGAAAATGGTCGCTTAAGACCGCGAGGGCTGCAACCCTGAAGCTGTGCAATTGTGCTTGCGAACTTGGGGCCATCTGTCCATTGAGGGGACATCGTGCCATCGCGGTTTCCCTCATTCGCTAACTGACTAGAAGGTCCTGTCAACAGCTCTTTTTCTTGAAGTATGTGAGGCCGAGATCTGTTGGAGGGAGGCACAGAAGCTCCGACAAATCCCAGAGGAGAACGTTCGGTTGTTTGTCGAGGAGATGTCGTCCGAGAGTACGCCGATCCGGGCGAAGAGTTTCCCTGATGATCCCCCTGCATCTGCTCGAGCGCCGGAGAACCCCGTTGTGGAGAATCTGGCTGACCTTCGTTCCATGTACCACTAAGGATAGCATTGACATGGTCCCTCTGTTGGTTCTGGTACATTCGGACTGGTGTCGGCATGGTCTCGTACTGCTGGCAGCTATCAGTGGCTTCCCCAGTTGGTTTGCGTGCTCTAGCCTGCCTCAGCTTCTCTTCCGCCCGTTTGAGATCTTCTTGCCATCGCAGAAATCGGTCACGCGCGTTTTTGGAGATCAGGTAGTCGTTTGGAACCACCTGCATACCGTTCTCTGTGGCAAAGTTTCTGGCACCCTCTCCAACAAGAATATTCGGTGGAACTCGTCGCAGGGATAGAGGCTGATTGCTTTTGTCCAAGATCAACTTCGCGAGGCAGACGGGGTTTTTGATGTCTAGCCATGGTGTTAGTCGTGGCCTCTGACCACAGCCTTCGATAGGATACAACTCACTGGGGACGGCTCCGCAGGCACCACTTCTACCAAGATGGTCGACGATTGTTGCATCGCACTCAACAGTCCCATCCATTGATAGGTTGGACCCGTAACCAGCGTTGGTGATCTCCTTGTCTTCGAGAACGCGTAAGGCAGCTTCGACAGCTTCGGTGGCCGAAGCACCCGATTTCAAAAACTTCATTCCCATGGAAGCAGCACTACTTTGGTTAGCAGATGAAATTGGACGGAATAGGTTTGGCTTACTCGCTACAGGCCTCAAGGTGAACTCGTTCGTTTTGGTGGCTATGGAAACCAGCCCCTGCATGGATGAAAATGGCCCCAGTGAATTTCCCCTTGTGCATTCGCTTCAAGACTCGGTCGACTGTGCCATTAGCGCCTGCCATTGTCTTTGCATGGTTGTTCAGGCCGCGAGTATGAGTGTTTTGTGAGGAGAGCGTTGTAGAGCCTGCAGCTTCGAGTGCTGGATCGCACTTGGTCTCAGCGACCAAGTGTTCCATTCCACGTATAGTGCGATCAAGGGTGATTTCGCCTCGAAAGAGTCCGACTGGTTCTTTTTTTCGATGCAAGAGTGTTCAGCCGCTCAAGTCAGGGAAAGCGGATCTGTTGTGGGTTTGAGTGCCTGTGACAGTACAGTCGGCATTGGTTTTGGGGGGTAAAGATAATGCTGCGGTTGGTGACTACAAGTTCTAGGTGCAGGCCCACGATTAAAGATAGTTGGTGACTGGATGATGGAGAACTAACTCGGTGTTGGAAAATGTATCAGGAAAGCCAAATCCGTAGTTAAGCTTAAGAGAGTTGGTGATGGGATAATGGGAGACGGCGTAAAGGGATAAATAATTAGACGTGATGACCACAGAAGGGCTGTCCCAGGACCTTTCGGCTGCCATCCAATAAGTGAGCGTGACGGAGATGTGACTCAGGAGAAGAGGAGAATCGAGGATGAAGTTTAGGTAGAACGGGTTGCGGCAAACATGTTGCAGGCAGTTCGAGGTCTATTGGGGCTTCCGGAATAATGCAGTAAGGCAGTTGGCTTGCTGAATAGGGAAGGGACAGCCAATGTGGGAAGTTGCAAAACGCTCAGCATAGCCAAGCTTGATCAGGCTCTTTCCCTGCTGCGGTCACTCTCTCCAGACCCCAGAGAGCTTCTAAGTCAAGAAGGCGCAAAGCCGCGTATGTCGCACGTCGAAATTTCGACTAAACCAGCTCAACTGAATAGAAGAGTTACCACTCCGACATTTCCGGGTCAGTCGGTGACACTTGCGCAGACAGCTTGTCGTCGGACTCAGTGTGTCTGGCTCAAATACCTGCCGGCCCTGGATCCCTAACACCAAGTGTCTTATCGAAAAGATTTCAAACACTTTAGCAAAGAACTTGAGAAAGACACTGTAATGCACCAGGGCGCGAATGGTATCGTCGAATTTCAACCAAGACAACAGTATGCTTATCTAATACGAGTACAGTGTACTGACACAGTTTCATGTAATTGATACGGTCTTCACTTCCTGGGGTGCTTGGTGGGGCTGTGGTGGGGCACCGACCTCTCCATGGCTGGAGAGCCCACCCACTCTGATGCACAGCCGCAGGTTGGGAGCTTCCATCGGTGACAAGGCACACATTTCCGGCTACCTTGGACGTACGTCGTTACCAACATCACGACACATCCGACACCTCGACGGCCTATCCTCCCACTCATTGATGCTGCAACTGAGCTAGAGTCTTCCCGAGCGCATCAAAACCAACTTCCAAGATGGCGAACCAAACGCCTGCCGTTGTCATGGACAAGTAAGCCACCAATGTCACCCTGCCCCGCATCCTCCGAGGCAGACGTCAGTGAGACCATCGCCAGCTAACGGGCCATCAACAGCGGCACGGGATTCTCGAAGCTCGGTACGCCAATTGCACACCTCCATCGTCCGTCTTTCGAGTAATAGCTCTGACTTCCGAACTAGGTTTCGCCGGCAACGACTCCCCGTCCTTTGTGTTCCCGACCGCTATCGCAACGAAAGGTGCTGCTGGAGGCAGTGGAGGAACGGGCTCTGGCCGTCCAGCTGTCGCGAACAAGCCATCCTTCCTTACCGGCGGCGCAGGCCCCGGCGGTCACCTCAACTCGAAGCGAGGAACTGAGGACCTGGACTTCTTTATTGGGGATGAGGCCATTGCTGCCTCTGGAGGACCTGGTCAGTTGGACGCGAACATCGTGACACGGATGGCCAATCGCTGACGGATATTTCCAGGCTACGGTCTTCATTATCCCATCCGCCACGGTCAAATAGAGAACTGGGTTAGTTCATGTTTCGCCAGGAGGATGCCGAATACGAGCTAATAGCTGGCAGGACCACATGGAACGATTCTGGTCCAACTCCATCTTCAAGTACCTCCGCGTCGAGCCCGAAGACCACTTCTTCCTCCTCACAGAACCGGTGCGACCCGAACATCCGCTGCCGATGGCCCAGAATCTTGAGCTGATCTTGTCATAGCCCCTGAACCCTCCCGAGAACCGCGAGAACACGGCCGAGATCTTCTTCGAGTCCTTCAACTGCGCCGGTTTGTACATCGCCGTCCAGGCCGTGCTTGCTCTCGCCGCCTCGTGGACCTCGTCCAAGGTTCACGATCGGTCTCTGACCGGTACGGTCATTGACTCTGGCGACGGTGTTACCCACGTCATCCCTGTCGCCGAGGGCTACGTCATCGGATCCTCCATCAAGTCGATCCCCATCGCTGGTCGCGATCTGACCTACTTCGTTCAGTCGCTGCTGCGTGATAGAGGCGAGCCGGACTCGTCGCTCAAGACGGCCCAGGAAATCAAGGAGCAGCACTGCTACGTGTGCCCTGATATCGTCAAGGAGTTCTCCCGCTACGACCGCGACCCCACCCGCTTTATCAAGCACCCCGTACTCCAGCCTGGCGGCCGTCAGGTCACCGTCGACGTCGGATACGAGCGCTTCCTCGCCCCCGAGATTTTCTTCAACCCCGAGATCTACAGCTCCGACTTCCTTACGCCCCTCCCCACCGTCGTCGACAACGTCATCCAGACCTCGCCCATTGACGTGCGTCGCGGTCTCTACAAGAACATTGTCCTTTCTGGTGGCAGCACTCTTTACAAGGACTTTGGCCGCCGTTTGCAGAGAGACATCAAGCAGTTGGTCGATGCGCGCATCCGAGCCAGCGAGGTCCGTAGCGGCGGTGCCAAGTCCGGCGGTTTGGAGGTTCAGGTCATTACGCACAAGAGACAGAGACACGGCCCCTGGTTCGGTGGTAGCTTGTTGGGTCAGACACCCGAGTTCCGATCCTACTGCCACACCAAGGCTGAGGTAAGTGCAATTTGTGTGAATAACTTACAAGGCCTTTGCTGACTCATCTGATAGTACGAGGAATACGGTCCCAGCATTGTTAGACGGTTTGCGCTGCTGGGCGGCCCTGGCGGTTCATAGATTTGGGGGGGTTCGTAGACTACAGGCCATTGTCACTCTCCGAAAAGCCGACACTCCCACCACATCTACTTATTTACGAGAATTCAAAATCATGACCATCAGTCATGTCTTTTTATGCGTGTGGGTGGGATCCGACTATTTCCCCTTTGGCTGGCGACGTCAAGCCGCGATTGTGACAATAATGTGATGCCGGTCGTCCTTCGCGTGACCCTGAGCTGCGCTTCAATGAGACTCACATGTGGCATTATGCAGATTTGATAGCATCCAGGACGAGTGGGATGTCGCTGGTCTGGTGGACCTCTGCAGCGTACACAGAAAGCTGCACATTAGTAGGTTCAAGGAACTTCATTGGTCATTATCAGATTTATACTATGGTGTTTCTCGCGAGCCTACTTCAGGGTGGGTTTCTGAGGAGCTGAGATTCCTCGTCGTGGACAAAGTACACGCGCGCGGGTATTTTGAGGCTGCAAGCCTGCGGGCTGTCAAGACGAATTGCCAAATTTGAGGTCAAACAGCTTGAGCGTCGGGTGGAGAGAAGCAACAAGATGCTTGGATCATGTCAGACATACCATCACAAATGCCCTGCTCTCGACGGTTTTTCTCTTCCAGAAGGCCCCGTTGTTTCTTGACTCCCTGCCGGCCCTTGTCTTTGTTACCTAAACAGAGTACCTCTTCTCGCTCGCAGGCGCTGTTAATCTACCCCTCATTGCACCCTCTTAGGACTGGCCCGTCTCTTCCTTCTCATCCTTCGCTTCCGGCTTCCGGCCCTAGACTCCATAGCTAACCCAATGGATAGCCAAGTCCCTTCCTTTCAACTAGATGGAACTTTGGTGGCGAATACTTACACATCGTAGTATGCACGAACGTTCGAGTTCTTGTGCTCGTTCCTGACTTCGGCGCAGAAGACGCTTGCCTCTGCCTGTGACCATCCAAGCACGCGAGTAAAGAGAGCCATCGATACCGCCTCGATCCCCATAAAGGCAGACTCCTGCGTCCAGAACCCAAGGTCCTTGTGCTTCTGGTCCTTGGCCCACGGGGTGAAAGGCCATATTTCCCTCTTTTCTACTACGTCGACAAAGCCGGCATCCTCTAGCATCTTCTTTAAGCTAGGGGCAACAGTGATCGGGCGGCCGGTTATTTCTGTGGCCTCTATAAGCAGCTTCGTCCACTTGTATGGCTTGAAGTCATCAGTCATTGTGCCATCTTGGCACTTGAGTGGGAAGACGCTGTCCTGGAGCTCGATGTAGCCGCCTGGCTCGAGGTTTCTGGATTTCCAAGAAAGTCAGCATAGCGTAAACAGTGTGAAATGCACGCTTAAGTCTGCTTACTGGTAGGCTTTGGCAATGATGTTTTCCCAGCTGGAGAAACTCCCAATCATAGATCTGATAAAGATGAAATCGAAAGGCTGCGTCCAGGTCCACTCTTTCTCGACGTCGTCAACCTCGAAGGTGCAATTGGGAGGTACACTACAAAGATCTGTTAATGGATTCCTGAATACTATCAGTCACAGGAAGCGCTAACAAGCCGGGCTGAATTGGGCTTAGATCAACGCCAATAACCTATAGACACATGAGCTGCCTAATCGGTTCTCAAGTCTCCTGCTCTTATACAAGTACTCACAGTTGCGTCAGGATGATCGTCCGCTGCCAAAATGTCAGCTATGCGTGGGATCAAGCATCAACAATCGGCGTACCGTAGTCCAGAGCCCAAATCCCTGTGCCAGTACCCAAATCCCTGTGCCAGTACCGATGTCTAAAACCCGCTTGGCACCATCCTTCTTAGGGCTGTTGCAGAGTTGGTCGTCCCTAGTCAAGAGCCAGAGGTGGTGTACCAGGTCCATGGAACCGTTAGCCCTTTCGATGAGTCCCATTCAATAACACATACCAAGCCGGTCTTGTTCCCTTTATGATCTTATTAGTACATCAGAGATAGTCTTACATGGATTACTGGGCCACAAGCTCTTACCTCGTCGTTGGGAAGAACGTACTCTGGTACACGACAAATTAGCTCTTGGGCTTGAAGCAGGCTCAACGAACCAACCACTCACTCCCGTCGCTCATCCGATGGTATGTGCGACCATTCTCTCGGCGGTGGTCAATGACACTTGATCGCAGGGATGCTAGCGAATCGCCCGCAGACTATGCCGTGTCAGTGCCAAGAGCAAGACGCCCGGTCATAGTGATAACTCACAGAGGCGCCGATGGTAGATGCATCATTATCAGTCCGAGGATCCTACAGTGAGTGTCAGTACAACAACACCTGAAGAAAAGGAAGCGGAGTCTGGAAGAAGCTACCTCGGCTACTACCTGCTGCGCGGGATCAGCCATTTTGCGACGTCAAGTATAAAGACCGGTCTTTCCGTATGCAGAGACCAGTTGTTGGAAGGAGAGTCAACGGCAAGACCAACAGCCCAAACGAGGGGGAATGGGCTGGTTATATGGCATTTGTGTCCTTCTGCAAAGAGAAGGTCCATTGCTGTTTTTGTTGTCTCCATGAACGTGCGTGGCCACTCCGCTTGGTTGTGTCTGTTGGTAGTTTGAGGTATACATCGGACAACGTGATTGGTTTGCCTCGATACTATCGATATTATCAACTCAGGCTTGCATATGTGAAGTGACTGTGTACCAACATTCGAGTGTTTCTGGTCCGGCAGGGTCGGCGCAACAGGCGATGCATTGCCGACTTTTAGAAAAGGGTCTCGGCATGGACGGCTGAGGACCGCCTTTAAAACAACTAGGCAAAGACATGAGCAATGTCACCAAGTCAAACAAGCAAGTCATAGATGTCGAGTTTTCATCATTACTCGCTCCAGTGAACAAGATAGAACATATCATACACGCTGAACTCCCACTCCCAGGTTAGGTATCTGTGAAAAAGCCACAAAAGGACGTCAAATCATCCGCTCCCCCACCGTGCATTATACCCAGCCGCCGCCCCCGCCCCCCAACCTTTTTCTTCTTCTTCGGGCTTAGAACCACTCACCTTTTGATACTGCTCAATATATGACAGGGCAGACGCTTATTTGCTGGTGTCGACGACGTAGCGGCCGGCAATTTGGCCCTTCTTCATCATTTCGAAGACCTCGTTGAGCTGGCTCAGGCCGACAGTCTTGAAAGGGGCGTTGATGAGGCCGCGGCGGAAGAAGTCGAGGGCCTCGGCTGTGTCCTTGCGGTTGCCGACGTAGCTGCCCTTGATGGTGATCATGCGGATGACGGTGTCGAACACGGGCGCGCGCAGGTAGGCGTTGGCGGGCAAGCCGATGCACACAACGGTGCCCCGGGGGCGGACGTACATGGTGGCCTGCTGGAAGGGTTTCTCGCTGACGGCAAGGAGGATGACGGCGTGAGGGCCTTGACCCTCGGGGGTGGCCTTCTTGACGTCCTCGACGAGGTTGCTTGAGGAGGTGAAGTCGACAAACACGGTGGCGCCAAGCTTCTTACACATCTCGCCCTTCTCGGCGCCGCCGTCGATGGCGACGGTGTGGATGCCCATGGCCTTGGCGTACTGGAGAGCCAGGGATCCGAGACCGCCGCCAGCACCGACAATGGCGACCCACTGGCCGGCACGGACGCCGGACTCCTTGAGTCCCTTGTAGACTGTGATACCGGCGCAGAGAACGGGAGCGACGGCCTCGAGGCTGACGTCCTTGGGGATGCGGGCAACGTGGGCCGCCTTGGCGATGGCGTACTGCTGGAAGCTGCCGTCCACGGTGTAGCCGGAGAGGAGTGCATGAGGGCAGAGGGGCTCGTCGGCGTCCTGGCAGAAAGTGCAGGCGAGGCAAGAGCCGTTCAGCCATTTGATACCTGCGTAGTCGCCAATCTCGACGTCCTTGACAAGCTCGCCGCGGGCGACGACAATACCAGCACCCTCGTGGCCACCGACAAGGGCATCTTGGTGTCCAGAGGCCAGTCACCCATCATGGCGTGCAGGTCGGTGTGGCAGACACCGGAGTACTTGACGTTGATCAAAACCTCATCAGAAGCGGGCTTCTGGACGGGGATCTTCTTGTAGACGGCGGCTAGAACCTGATGTTAGACACAACTGCGATTGAAAAGTGAAAAGGGGTTGGCATACGTCCACCGGTCTTCTCGATGACCTGGGCCCATTGCTCGGTTGGGATATCGGGGGCAGACATTATGACGGCTGGTGTTGATGATGTTGAAAGGGCTCTGAAGAATAGATGGGATTCTGGTATCTTCCTGTTAAAAGATTAGGAAGAAACGGATGTATAGGATGGAAAACTGTTGAGCTTGGATCGCTTGCTTTGATCAGACGAGAACGAAGAGCATGGCGACGTCCACTTTATATAGAGATGAGAGCAACATGTTGGACTCGACCAGAGACGGCCGTATAAGTCAGGTGCAGGGGATACGAGAGCCTGGCACGGCATTGGACGGGTTCGTGTCAGGGATGCATGACCTCGCCAAGATACTTTGGTACATCTGTCATGTCGAGTCGAACATAGTAGAGAGCTGAGGAAATAGGGTAGGATGGACAAAGCCAGGCGAGATGGGAGAAAGAGTGAGGTGAGGTGTGGTATCAGGGCCGACTGGGCATCCACCGGGCAAGGCTAGAGAAAAACGTATGATGCTGACGACAGGCCAGGAACCGCAGTCGACGGAGCTTTTACCCCTCACAGTGGGCAGGAGAGTTTGAGACACCCGCACACCCGCACACCCCAAAGGCCAAGATCCCGGCCGGGTCGGACCTGGGCCGGATCACCGCACGTCAATCAATTCTCTGGAAGCGTTGGAGAAGAGTGTGCTGGACTGTTGCCCAAACTGTGTGCAATACAGGCCCGATGTTGATTGGATGGGAGGTGTGAAGTTTTCAGTTTCGGAGTCGATAATGCTGGGTTTGGCTGCGCTTCCTGCACGTCCTGAGTCCTGCACTTGCAGTGAGTGACGGTTCGCCCGCCCGCGCTCGCTCCACCGGGTTGGAGGATTGTCATGTTGGCACCTGGAATATGAGGCTAGTCACAATGGATAGATGTTTACCCCGCGCATCAAGGACAAACGGCAGCGGAAGAGGATGGTGGCGTATGCGCGTGGTTGGCCTGAGAAGTAATGTCTCCTGTACGGTGGGTGTACTTGAGAGACTTGTGGTGTCCCGGGATGCGTCTTTGATGCACTATGTAATACTGACCCAACGACAAGAGACGCAAATGCCGGACGACGGGCAAGACTAAACAAACCTCGCGGAGCCCCTTTGGACCCTGAGCTGGGATCATGGGTTCGGCGTCAGGTAAAGATTCAATGGCAGGGGCACGCCGCGTCCAAACAGGTGGGCGTGGGAAAATGGAAGTTCTTGCAAAGCTTCGTTCCATTGGGACAGGGGATTGACGAAGGAACCGAGAACCTCCAGCTGACAAGTCGTGGATTGACGGATTGACGGATTGACGCTGAAGCACAGCACGCGGAGCGACGACGAGGCGAGTGGGGAGTGGGCTTCCTCCGCAGGCGTGCGCGTGGGAGGGTGGAACCACAGTCTCGTTTCGTTGGAAGTTCCTCTTCTTCCTGTTCTTGCAACCTCAGTCGGCTTTGTTTGGTGGACGGGCGTCGCCGGCAGGCTGGGTTGGGGCTTGTCGGTAGCTGTGTCTGTCGTCCCATGCCAACTGTGCGTCTTGTGTCGGCTGGATCAGCGGGCCTGATCTGATGTGACAGATACGGGACCGAAAGTGACGGCGAGCATGGAGGCGAGAGAGAGGGAGAGAGAGAGAGAGGGAGGGGGAGCCTTGGGAGCCAAGATGGCGGTAACCGGATCCTTGCTATTGCGGATTAACGCAGTCGTGAGACACGGCTAACGGATTGCATGTTCTGATGTTGTTGAAGAAATTTTGCTCTATAGGGCCGAAGAACAGCCAGCAAAACATGAGAAGTCGGGTTGGAGATGGAGAATCACCAGATGTGACGGATTAGACTCGGTCCAAGCCACCCGGAGTCGGCGCCACAGCAGAGCAGAAACAGCACCACGGAAAGCCCATTCCCCATTTCAGGAGGTCCCGGATCCATGTTCAGGTCCATTCCTTTTGCCTCCTAGGTTCCTCCACCGCTTGCGAGCGACTTCCGTTTGCTGCGTGAGCGGCTTGCATGGGGAGGACGACCAAGCCTTCGAGCATCAATCCTGCTGTACCAATGGCCGCCGCCGCATTCTATCCAACTTTCGTTGCTCGGAAAGACCAACGATGTCGGATGCTGCCTTCCTCTCCCAGCCAAGCTACTGCATCCTAGGCCATTTTGGGCGATGATCGAGCTCTAGTGGGGATCGGCTACAGGGGCCCAACACCCATCAGCTGGCGCCCGTCGCCGCAATCTCTCGGCATCTGGACGGCCTTACTACGAGCGTACCATCACACCACGCAACGCCACTACCACGTAGTGCCATGGGCACCAAAAACAGGCCACTCGCTTCCACCTTCCCGGGCCTTGATCGCGCTTCCCGATTAAGGCCTTGTCGAATTCGGCTTGGAAATTCTACTATGTAGTAGGTATGCCAACGTCTGTCCACCAGAGAAACAGCATAGCAAGTGACTCAGCCCTTCCATGGAAATGAATCCCCAGGAACTGACCACACCTCACCGTACTCACTTACACCTTGGGACGCCATGAGAAATCAACGTGGCCGCCCATCAAACAATGGAGCTTCTGTCGTCTGGCTCAACAAGGCTTCTCGACCACAAGCAACACACGGTGCGCCCCAAGCAGGTTCCAAATAGCAATCCCTATGCAAGGCAAAGGAGCCTGGACCCTGTAGGGTTGGACTACCTACATCGTACCACGTGAGGCACAGTAACAGTACGAGCCATATGTAGTATGAGTTTGCAGGGAGGTGGCTGCGAATAGCTTCACAAACTTCATCTCCGTTCGCCCAGAGAGGGACTGCGGATCATGCACCTCGCAAACCCAGCCCGACATGATGCACTTTACGCACCAGCGACAAACCACAGCACTCTAGTCGCAAGCCGAACGCTGCTACCCCGGCTCGTGAGCATCGTTCCCCCACATTCTCCATTCCCGGCACCACTTATTCGTCCCCGCGTGCGACCGTCTCTTCTGCGCGGCCGCCTCCCGCTCGCTATGCACCAAACTCAGTTCCGCATGCTCCAATGACGAGAAACGGCCTCCACACCTTCGCTCGAAGGGAGCTTCACAGCCCGACCTCCTGACGTAGTCGACTTGCTCTGCGCCCGGCACACTCGCCCACAAGCGTCGCGCCTCCGGACGGGGCCCCGCGATTCTCAAACGCTCCCCCATCAGTTCCCCGCATCGGGCTATCAATAGCCACCCTCTTTCATGTAAATAGTTGATCCCGTCTCGCTTCACCGCACTGCGGGGAACCTCCTGCAGCTAGGAGCCTTTCGGTCAACTCCCTCCGACTGCCCTTCGAAGTTCGACACTGTGTGGCGGGCTCTGCTTTGAGATCCTAGTCTCTGTCGAAGCCCCGGGTTCACCCCCGGGTCCGGCGGTGCGGCGGCTTCATGGACGAGCGGAGGTCTGCCTGCTGCGGCTACCGGTGGGCTCTTAGTTTCAACCCAATACAGTTACCCGGTTCGGGCGACCCCAACGCCAGCAGTGACCCCGGAGGACCGGAAGGTTCTACTCCATGTTCCCCATGGGCAACGCAGACGATGAGACGGTGCAGAGCTGGGGAGAACGGTTCCAGTGGGCTTGGAGAGTGCGGGGAAATAGTAGTGTGCCCACCCTAGACTCACTGGAATTCCGAGATGGAACTGTGACGAGAATATCATGGCTCCACGCATGCACAGCTTGACAGGCAACCGCGGGCACCAAGCGGCGGGACAAAGAGGAGGCGCTGAGACACGGAACTTATTCGCAGAGTTCATTCCGCTTGTTCGAGTCCCATCGTCCTCCGGTGCAATCCTTATAGCTGTCTTCCTAGCTTGCCTCTTTACAGTGCTGGCCCTATCCAATCTGAATAGATGTGGTTTCCAGATTAAGGCATGCGTTAAGTACGTATATTGATGGGGCAACACAACCAGAGTCGACCGCACCTCCTTCTTCCTCTAGTTCATCTATATTCACTACATAGTCAACCACAACTTCAGCTGGTCAAGTGCCTATGAAATAGAGTTGTTGAAAGTGAGCCTCGCCGATCTATGTCGGAGAAACGTACGGTACATTGGAGTTTCGGGTCTTGTAGAATATATGGCCGGCCTTGCTTCAGGCCCCTTGGTCAGTCCCGTGAAAGCCAACGCCCCTCCGAGCCCTTTGGTAAGCTGCCAAAGCCCACCTCGTCATCCAGTCAGTCTCCAGCACCTTAAGTACGTCTCATCGCTCGCAGGGCGTCCATGCGAGCATCCACCCCAGGAGCCTCAACAGCGCGTCTCGCTCGTCCTCCTCCATCGTCTCCATATCCCTCGACCGCCGCGGGCGCTGCACCCACTGCTCGAACCGTCGTCCCCACGGCCAGATATCCGACGCGCTTCCCAAGGGCCTGCCGGCGTCGTCATACCAACTCGGCCGCTTCTCCCATTTGCTCCGCCACTCGGGCGGCAAGGGACCCTGCAGCTCGACCTGCTGCGCCGTGATCTCGTCCGCGGCGCGAGGAACCCGTCAATGAGCGAGCGGTGGGCGAGAAGCTCGAAAATCACACAGCCCAGGCTCCAGGTGTCCGAGGCAAATGTGAGAGGCGTTCCTGGCTCGAAGAAGGCCTCGGGAGGACGGAGTTGAGCGGCACGTATGACTCGAATCGAGACTTGTTGGCCGGACGGAAGGCAACTCCAAAGTCGCTCAAGATCAATTTGGCCTCGCCTAGAGTGATTTCATTGCTTGGTACGCCTAGCCACACCGAAAGCACCGCGTAGGACGGGACTCCGGGGTCCGTTGATGGTGCCTGGGTGTCGAGGCGAATTACCAGCTCTTTCTCCGGCTCGCCGTACCGCGCGTACAATTGCTGTATCGAAAGGTTATCCAGAGAGTAGGGCAACTGTAATAGGAAATTGCCAATACGAAGATCTAGAGCATAGTATCAGCCAAGTTGCCGACTTTGAAGAACGATGGGAATGGGACGCTCACCTCCGTGGGCGTAACCTTTCGAATGGGCGAGGGAGACGGCTATGACCAACTGCGCGGCGAGGGACCTGGCAACATCAAGCTGAAGTCAGGAGTTACCTGATGCCTCCTTTGCGTCCCGCAGGCTGCACCGTGCCGGAAGGGTGACAAGGCACGGGTGGGTGCCGTTAGGCCCGCTGAGGTTGAAGCGATCGAGAATGACGGGAACCAGGGAAAAGTTCTTCTCCGGGTCGATGTCGCTTGCAGCGCTCTGTGTAAACTGAGAAAGGACATTAACCCCGGCGCAGTCCGCATCCGCAGTGCCGACTTTGACAGCAACGTACTTGGACAACTTCTCGTCAACGGCAAGCCAGGCGGTCGAGAACGTCCCGTGGCCGAGCTTGTGCACTACTCGATACCGTTCGTTTAGTCGATCGTCGATGCGGATTGGGTGATAGACGCCCGGTCGATAGTCACCAAGATGCTCTACTCCGTCAACGTATCCGTCCTCGACTGGCGGTGTTGACGCTGACGTGGTTGAGCAATGTGACTGTAGGCGTAATCGCATGCATTGTGAGAAACAAAACCTCGCGGAGTAAACCCTTGGAAGAACATAACACGGTAACCGACTGGTTATCTACAGACCGTAAAAGGTCATTACACCTGGTACTGAATGAAACTCTCAGCACTCGATGGCGGTTGTGGAGATGAGGGTGTACCGGTTTCTGACGATTGAAGATGAGAGACTAATTTCCTAACTTGATCAATCGCGTTGAGGCGACCCTGTTCTGTGTACGTCCTACAGTGAGTGACCCCAGCGGAACAGGCGGCATGCTGAACATCAACAACCTGTTCAAGGGCCTCACGTACTGTAACTACGCGCGGTTTTTATTTGTATACATGCCAGCTAGTGAGATAGTCCTCAAGGCTATGGACAAGACGGGCGTCAATGGGGCTAAAGACTGTTTTACTGACGATTTGGTGAATATTGTGTAATCAGTCTCCTTACTTTATAGGTCAATTTACTAATGTTATAAAATATTCTTCAGCTGTCTGACAACTTGTTCAACAACTGCAAGAGTGCGGCGAAACTAGCTGTCTCTGCCTGAAAACAACGTATCGCAGTTCCAGACCGGCCACCTGCGGGGCTGCGCAACGTATGTTAGCGTTTTTATCCTTATTCAAATCAAACAACAGCACGACTGGAACTTGGACGCAGATAGATTGGGTTGACCGGCATTAGACCAGCTTGAATGATCGACAAGGCCGGGGTGAGTGGCGCGATGGATGTTAGAATTCTAGGTAGCTGCGACATATTTTACTAGCTAAATATGTGAAATCTAATACCACGTCTATTTAGGCACCTAACAAAAGGCCAGCCTGTAGACAAGGGAAAATTCCAGTTCAACAGACCTAATGGTCACAATAAGGGATATGCTATTAAATAACGTACTTTGACACATTGCTGACAGGTCAAAGGGTGTTGCGATTTTGAATCTGGAACTGTCCACGCTGTGACCCGTCCAAGTCTGCCTGGCGCAATGCCGTCTGAGTGCTTCTCCCATCGGCACGTCGACTGTCGATTGTACGCGGCTCGGCTGAGCCCAGAGGCACCCCTTTTTTCTTCTTCGGATCGTTGTTGACGAAGCAAAGGTATGCGTCAGTTCCTCGTAATCACATGCGCAATTGTTCGACGACAGTGTGGTCTTCAGCCCTAAGCAACTTGGCATGCCGAGGCATCATCACCGACTGGCTATTCAAGCTGAACCTGGTCGCGATCTCCCGCCGTGTGGAGTCTGTCAGTGCGCCGCGGGGAAGGCATGCCCAGGAGCCTGATTGAGAAAGGAGTCTGAGTAATCAGGGCTACATAGTTTGGTTATCTGCCGCTGCCCATCATCCAATGACCTGAGTCGGATCGATAGCTCAGTGGTAGAGCGAGAGATTGCAGTTCCACGCAGTTATCTCTAGGCCCCGCGTTCGAACCGCGGTCGGTCCTTCGATTTTTGCATTTACTCATTCATCCCTTGATGAGTATTCGTGTCAACCTCATTTTAAGCTCTGCACTTGCAGGATCTCAGCCATTCCCAGGGTTGCATGCCCACAAACGAAACTGGACGTGATCGAGCAACGGTCAGCCCTCGCATCAGAAGCTGTTCAGAAGCCGTTTGAAATGCAGTAGTGACACATCGGCCGGCGTCATGCGGGGGAACTCAGCGGGCTCCCCCGCGTCTGCAGCTCCCGTCTCTGCATTGCAAGTGATGTTGTGCCGGGGCCGACGGGCACCTCCAGAAGTCGACCCGACTTGGTAGCAACGAGACAAGCACGCTTGCATGGCATACCCTTGATGGCCCGTGTCGAATGCTCGATCGCGATGCAGAGCCAAAGTCAACCGGCCAATAGCCTTTGTGACTCGAGATGATGGCCACCAGACCCAAACGAAACAAGAGAAAGCATACCCCGACTTGGAGGTCGAAGCTAACCGCGGTCTGAGCAGGCAGCCTTCACATGTGCCGCTCGGTGACCGATTGAAACAACTCAGTTAAGACGATGTCTGCTCCTGCCTCTCACCTGGCTCTGCAAGGGCAAACATCGGTAACTGCTAGCCGCAAAGTTCTATTGTCCTGAGCTTCTTTTTCCAATCCCTCTTCTCAATCTACATCCTCTCATCTGTCCCGGAGACACCTGTCACACCAAGGATCGCCATCGTAGTAGACTTGAACCTTCACTTCATCCCCAAGATGGGTTTACTAGAGGGCTTGCTGGCCACCAGCCCGCTCACCATCGCGGGCACCCTGCTCGGGGCCTTCGTCCTGCTCCTGGTTTTCTACAGAGCCAGGGCAGAGTACTATATCAGAAGATCAGGCGGCATTAGAGCACCAATCGTTAGCTCCAACCCGATAACAGGTAGCTAACCATGATGCTCCCCCGCGTTGCGAGTCCCGGCTGACAAGTGTAAAGGGATTCCAGTGTTCCTCCGTATTGGACGCTACCAAAAAAAGCACCAGCTCCTCGATGGCTTCAACTCCCTCTTCAGCGTTGCTACCCCGGAGTCCCCGAACACGATTGAAATGAGCTTCACGAGCAGGGTCCGGTTCCTCATAACCAAGGAGCCGGAGCACATCAAGACGGTTCTCACCTCCAAGTTTGCCGACTTTGGAAAGGGCCCCATGTTCCATCAAGTGTGGTCACCGTTCCTGGGCGACAGCATCTTTACCACCGACGGGAAGACGTGGCAGGATAACCGGAGCCTGATCCGGCCCATGTTCATCAAGGACCGTGTCAGCGACCTCGCCATCTTTGACAAGTGGACCAACACGATGATGGAGAAGTTCCCGGCGTCCGGCGTGGCCTTTGACATCTCGGATCTCTTTTATCGGATGACGCTTGACGTGACGACCGACTTCCTGCTTGGGCACAGCGTCAACAGTCTTGGGAAGTAAGTTGAAGGGTGAACGTCTGCAGCTGGCGAGAAAGGATGCTGACGTGTGTAACCAGCCCGAAGCACCACTTTGCCCATGCCTTCAACGAGGTTCAGAGTTACCAGATGTTCTATACCATCATGGCGTGAGTTTCATGACGATAATTGGCACTCGACTCTAGCTGATGCTTCAACAGGCCCTTCAAGCCTTTGCTCCCTCACGGCAGATACAACCGCGGCATCAAGGTCATTGAGGAGTTCATCCTCCCCTTCATCCAGGAGGCACTCGACCTACCGCCCTCGGAGCTCGAGAAGCTCTCCAAGTCGGACAAGGACTTTACCTTTCTCCACAACATCGCCCGCTTCACGCGCGACCCCAAGATCATCCGCGACCAGCTCATCGCCATCCTCCTCGCCGGCCGCGACACGACGGCGGCGACGCTCTCCTGGACGCTGTACGAGCTGGCGCGCTACCCGGCCACCTACGCCAAGCTCCGCAACGAGATCCTGACGACGGTGGGCCCGAGGCGGGCGCCGAGCTACGACGACCTCAAGAGCATGAAGTACCTCACAAACTGCCTCCAGGAGACGCTGCGGCTGTACCCGGCGGTGCCGTTCAACGTGCGCTCGGCGCTGACGACGACGACGCTGCCGGGGAGGAACGGCGCGCCGGACATTGCCGTGCTCGAGGGCGACTCGGTGGTGTACAGCACGATGGCGATGCAGCGGAGGCGGGACCTGTACCCCGAGGTGTCCGAGACGTTTGCGGACCCAGCCATCTACAGCCCCGAGAGGTGGGAGAACTGGCAGCCGAAGCCGTGGCAGTACGTGCCGTTCAACGGCGGTCCGAGGATCTGCGTCGGGCAGAACTTTGCCAACACGGAGATGGCTTTTACAAGTGAGCGAGGACCCCCCCCCTTCTTCTCACCCCCTGGCTGTCATGTTGCAAACAAGGCATGACACGGTTGCCGATCCAATGCTGACAGAAAGACAGTGGTTCGGCTTTTGCAAAAGTTTGAGAGGCTCGAGTACCGCGGCGACTGGCATGCGCAGTTCTTAAAGGCGGAGATCGTCGGCGCACCTGGCCACGGCGTGCCGATTGCGTTCTTCGAGGCCGTCGACGGTGAGATGGCGTAAGAGAGAGTACTCTGGGGTCAACGAATGTAGGAAAAAGGCATGGCTGAAGGGGATGAGCAAAGGGCTCTATGAGTTCACGAAACAAATCATCAAGAAAGGCTGCGGGCCGGCGGCTGGCCATTGGGACATGGGAAATTTAACGAGGGGGTATTCAAGGTTGGGCTGGTGAGATGACGATTATCATCTGGGAGAGTACAGTCACATCGATAGTCTGACAGATTAGCGAGGACTTTTTCCGTGGCTCAGGCTCGGTAGTCAATGGAGCTGGCGTTTTGATACCATTCCGGTTGGGTTGCGTCGTGTGAACACCATGAAGAAAACGTTTACGAGATGTCGGTGATGAAGCTATTCTCAGCAGAGATATCAGCAACTCGCAGAAGCGGCACTCAGGGGGACCTGATGGACTTGCAAGCCGGCGACAACGGCGGTCAACCGTCGTCGACTTTTCCAGTGGTGGAGAAGAAACGACGATGCATTGAAGAGCGACAGGGACCCCTGGCAGCATCTCATTTCACGAGTGACGACCGACTCGTCTCTGCAGGCACCGTAGCAGCAGCGGCGCACGGTTGGCACGATATGCTCAGACGGGGGCGACATGGGAGAAACGGTCGACGGAGAAATATGCCATGATTAAACGCGCGCGGGCGGGCGGGCGCTGGCTGTCAAACGTGTGTCAGGGGTCTTCTCCGAGGACGTGTGTGAAGGCCGTTTGGACGCTGGTGCCTCTCGTCTTGTAGTCGATCTGCTCCCCTTTCCGTGCGGGTGTGCAGGAGCGGTTGGTTGATGGCTGACGTTTTGATGTTGTTTCTTTTTCGAGAGCAGGGGGGTTTCCGGTGATGGCGTTTGGCGTTTTTGGGAGGACTTTGGGGTGGGGGGGCGGAAGGGCAGATAGTGGTGGATCGCTCTGATGGGGGTGAGACATACCTAGTACTATGGTACCTACAGAGCACCATAGTAGGTACATACTAGATGACGGACGGTCTGGCGCGGGTTCTTGGACCTCTTGCGGGAGGAAATGACGGCATATGTCGGAAGGGGACAACGACTGAGACCTTGTGGAAATTCATTCCTGTGGTCCGCGACGGCGAGCAATGCCGGGTTCTTCACACTCGACGTTTGCGAGACATGCCGCCGAAGAATTCCTTTGTTCTCGTTGTTGCATCAACAGCACCAAGCAACCGAACCGCAGAGGGAAAAAAAGGTTGGTCGCTGCTGGAGAACCTCACTTTTCCCCGTCTAAAGGTCTAAAGGTTTTTGGCGTGTGACGGAGGCTGTGATTGGACCCGTCTGGCCAGACCGCCTTCAATAACCCCTCCAGCCGGTGGATTGGGATGCCCGTTTCGGGAACGAGCTGGCAGGGTTCCAATGCAGAAAAGAGCACACAACCCAGTTCATCAACCCCCCCGCGCTCGCTCGCCGATGCTGCGGTGCTCTTCTCTCCCACCACCATCGCTGCATCCCATCCATCCCACCCTGCTCTCCCAGCTCCTCCCGCTCCATCCTGCAGCTGCGACCCAACCGGCGGACCTCCTCTACAGCACAGGGCAAGCAGGCAAGGAAGGAAGCAGCACACGCACTGCAGGGTTCACTCGAGCTCGCCTCACCAAAGGCAAAGGCCATTCTAACCCTTCTCCCCAGACCAGGGCGCTTCCCGGCAGGCTCACCTTGGGCCCAACCGGCTCCAACCCTGACCCCGTCCAGCTCCAATCGCTGGGAAAACCACTCTTCCACAACCCTCCTCACCTTTTCGGCACATCGCGTCCTTTTCCTCTTCTTCCACTCTCGGAGACCAGCCGTCATCTTTTCTTTTTACACTAATTCCTGCAGGTTCTGGGGAACGTCTCCCTGCCTGATGTCACTGTAAGCTCCCATCTTTCGATGCACAATTGACTGTTCTGCCAATTGCCTGAGACATTCCCAGACTAACAATGTCTTCGCAGCTTTGCATCCTCTTAGACTCAGACCGCCAGCGACTTCGCTCTCTCTCTCTTTCTCTCTCCTTTTCTCCCGACTTATACCGCTCGGCGCGCCTATCGTTAATTCCTTCTCCCGCCTCCTCTTGTCGACGACGACCGACCCGACATACGCTCTTTCTTTTTACGCATTCTCCATCACGTCACCCACCTGCATGACCTCTGCCCCGTAACTCTCTACATCTCGTAATTCCACCACTTTTGCGACGCTCGCGAGCCAATGGCGACACAATGAACGCGACTCCTACGAACCGGCTCAAACTTACGCCGGGAAACTCCCCCTACCTCCAACAACGACCGACCCCTCGGACCCCCCTTAGGGGACGCTTCCCCCACGAATCCCGCCTCTCTCTCAAGCGGGTCATCGGCACCACCTGCGCCTCGCCCACAGGCTTTGACACCGTCAACTCCTCCTTTGCATACATCGCGGGCGGCGCCGTTGTGGTCGTCGACGTCGACGGCGAGCACTACGCCCAGCGATTCTACCGCGCCCGCCCGACGGCCGCCCCCGTATACGGATCCGCGCCCCTGTCGCATAACAACCACTCGGCACCCTCGACCCCCAAGGCCAACGATAGCAGGAACCGGGTCGCGGCTGGCATCCGGGAGTCACAGAGCTGGTCAGACTCGCCGAGCTCGACATGGACGAGCCGTGAGCGCATCAAGGCGGCAACGTGCTTGGCGCTGAGCCGGGACGGGCGATATCTGGCGGTGGGCGAGACTGGGTACGCTCCGCGCGTGCTCATCTTCAACCTCGAGGATTCCTCGTCTGACGTGCCGCTGGTTTCTATCAGCGAGCATGGGTTCGGCGTGAGGGCGGTGGCTTGGTCTTCTGATACCAGATGGCTTGCTTCTCTGGGAACCTCCAACGACGGCTTCCTTTTCATCTGGAGAATCGACCCCCGTACTGGTGCTGCCAAGTTGTACCAGCAAAACAGGTGTACTTCCACCATCAAGGGCATGGTTTGGATGGGCAACAGCCTAGTCACACTCGGCGTGCGGCACATAAAGATATGGCGGGTCGAGGAGGCCCAGTCCACTTCACCGTCCAAGTCGAGGTTCAGTGAAGCCAATTCGACACCTCAGCCTCCCCAAAGACTCCTAAACGGCCGCAATGTGCTTCTTGGCTCACTACTGGAAGCTACTTTTAGCTGCGCAGCCGTGGTTGACGAAACCAGCATCATTATCTGTTCCGAGGCCGGCGATGTGTGCATGGTGGAGGACGATGGCAAGCAAACGAGACTCATCCGGTGTCTCAATGTCGACTTTCCAATCTCCTCCATCACCATCAGGCATGCTACCGCGTACCTCTCTGGAAAGGCCGGCCAATTCGCGACGCTTAGCGTGAGGGCCGTCCTGGACAGTCTCCCGGACGCAGTCCTTTCCAAAAGCGTTGCGTCCTCTGGACTGGTAGCCATGGGCTTTCTCACGGAAAATCTCATCACTATCGATGAGAAACACACCGTCGATATCTGGAGCTCAAACTACCTGCCAGGGAAGACCGAGGGAGATCCTTCCCACATTTCTATACCCGGCCACGGGGATCAGATTTTGGGCATCCAAGCCTTGCCGAAGCCGAACGATCAAGGCGCCGATTTCTTCACGTGGTCCGGTACTGGCAAGGTCATCTTCTGGGATATGAAGGGCAGGATCAAGTGCTCGATCGAAGTGCCCATTGAACAGGCCATCCCTGAAAACGAGATGGATCCAGTTAATCAGCTCAATGTGGTCCGAGCCACCAGGGCCGGGAAGATGCTTGTAGCAGCCGATAAGTTTGGAGTCCTCAGAATCATGGACCTGTCGACAAAGGAATGCCTGCTCGAGACGAAGGCGCATTCCTCGGACTGCCAGGGCGTCACCATCTACGAAGACGACAACAAGTTCCTGCTGGCGACTTGTGGCAGGGACCGGACGGCCCAACTCTTCCATCGCTCATCAACCGGAGATTTCCGTCACTTCCAAACGCTCGAGTTCGCCGCCAGAGTCGTACAGACTCTCATTCCGGCAGACGACAAAATCATCACATGCTCTCTGGACAGGACGTTGCAAGTCTATGACTTAGTCTGCAAGGAGGACGAGGTTGACGAGATCGCCGCTCTCCCCTCTCGGACAAACACACTAAAGGCAGCGCCGACGTCCTTCACTCTAGGTCTGGACGATAGGACCGCCTTCGTCTCGATGTTGGACCGTTCGGTCTGCCAATACGACCTCTCCAACGGGAAACTCTTGAACTGCTTCAAGTGTGTTGACGAAGGCGGATATGAGTCTGCCATACTGGACTCTTTAATATTCAGTCAGCCTCCGGGCAAAGACACGGGTGTTCTCCTGGGTGTGTCCAACACGGACAAATCTGTGCGTCTCTACGATGCCCAGTCGGGCCACTTTGTGGATAGAGAATGGGGACATACAGAGGCTATCAACGGCGTCACGTTGACTGACGACGACGATGGCTCTCAGAGGGTTATTAGTGTTGGATCAGACGGCACTGTGATGTTCTGGGGCATGGAAGGAGAGGACCGCACGCCTTCCATTTGCAGGGACCCGTCACCGATGAAAGACGGATCCGCTGCTGCTAGGCCACCTCTGAGACGGGTGCTCTCCAAAGCGGAACTGGCAGAGTTCCAGCGACCCTCTTCTGCGCAGAGCGGTCGTCGGTCGCCTCCCAGAACCATTCGGAGGCGACCGTCTCGGTATGGGCTGAGCAACAACAGCGTCAGCACACCCAAAACGGCCATGCAGAGCAGCCCGCTAGCCGAAGATACGCCATCACGACGCTCTTCTGGTAGCCAGTCTGGCAGCCCGCCCATCAGCCCAAAGTCGAAAACGTCTAGACGGCCCTCGCTGCCGTCCCTGGGCCTGCCGCCAAAGAAGAGCTCGCCCAACCTGCGCGGCTTCGGCAGCCTCAACATGTCCACCGAGCAGACCTGCCGCACGCTGAGAGCGTATAGAAAGAAGCTCTCGTCCACAGAGCCTCTCAGTGAGGACGTCATCTTCGAACTCGATCAGGAATTGCGCCTGACTGCCGCCGCGCTCGGCGAACGGGCCTCGAGGACAAAGGCCATGCACGACACCGTCCTCCTCAGCGGTCTCCTTGACCAGTACGAGGAGCGTCTGGCTTCCATGCTCGATGAGAAGCTGCGGAACACCTTCCAAGCGAGAGAGGTCTCCACTCCATGTGAGGAGCGGGAAGACATACTCATCCCCAGCGGCCGGGCACGGGTGACGAAACCACATCTACATCATCATAGCACACGCTCATTGTATTTTTTATGCACTTTCTCACCGGACTGTACAACACTTGCTGGATACAACGGCGTTATCTGGACACGATTATCTGGCGTTTCTTGAGTTGGAAAGAGCATTTATCACCTACAGCACGAAGCCAGGCTTTCAAATGCGCGAGGCCATGGACTTGCGGGATAATTCTTGCGGATGGGGGCACGCGAGCCCCCTTTTTGATTTGTCGTTCTACCATCGCTCTTTCGAAACAATAACAGCGGCAGCAGTAGCGGCAGCGAAGTTTTTATATTTCTTCTTTTTTTTGATTGCAACAGAAATCCCGCCATACAGGGGAAATCGGGTACGGTAGGCGAACCGGAGCTTGGAGTTTTGTACATTTGCCCAGGGACATACTGAGGAACAAACGGCGGAGGGGACTTGGAGATGATGAAAGGCTGGGGATGAATGGGTACGGAAAGGGGCAAGAAGCCGAGTTGGTTTGCTCGTTTTTTTGCGCACATGTTTGGACTTTACATAGTATTTTGCCCGGGTCGCGCTCCTCGTTTATTTTCCTTTCTCTCTCTATGTGGAAGGCGCCGGAAATGACATCACAAGACGAGGCTCTCTGCCCGTCGTTGACCACCTCAGCATCGTCCCCGAGCCAGATGAGACGTGACGTGACGTGATGTGACTCCAGACCGTCGAGCCGGCCGCGCGACGCTCGCATTGGAATTATGTACAAGCTGAAAGTGAGAGAGAAGAAAAGAAAAGCATGACCCGCCCAAACCGGGAGTTGCCTTCTTTAAAATAATAAAAAGCCCTGTGGTTTCCACCGGCCGGGTGCCGTGTTCCAAACAGAAAAGAGGTTTTTCTATCCAACGCCGCAACGAACTCTGCATGTTCTACATGTGCACCACCGCCGTGATGACTCTAGAAAGTATCGTAAACCCCCAATCCCCCCCCCCCCCCTTCCCCCCCGTCCCGGACGACGCCGCGGCCGCCCGAGCATCAGACCACGAGGCCCTCCTCGAGCGCCTCGTCCCTCTCGAGCTTCTCGAGCCCCGTCGCCACGGCGCCGTACACCCGCAGCGGGACCGCCACCTCGAAGCTCTCGCACGCCACGTTCTCGACGGCCACGAGGACCAGCCCCCCGCGCTCGTCCCGCGAGATCTGCTCCAGCAGCGGGTGCGTGCTGGGCGCCTCGCGCTCGAGCTCCGTCTCCTGGCTCGGCACGACGAACTCAACGCGGATCTTCCACTCGAGCGACACGCCCGTCGTGACAAACTCGGGCGTCGCGTTGATGGGGATCGTCGGCGTGAAGACCATCCTCCGGGAGTAGAGCGTCGCCTCCGACGCCGACACGTGCACCTTTCGCGTGACGCGGTGGATGGACGCCTCGGAGCGGATGGCCAGGTGCGGCTCGATCCGCTCGGCGGACTCGAGGCACGAGTGGACCGCGTAGCAGGGGATCTCGGCGTCCGTGAAGTCGATGGCCATGGTAACGACCTCGCCCAGACGGTACGAGGGGCGCGTGAGCATGACCACGCCGACGCGCTGCCCGTTGCGGGCGATCTCGAAGCGGTTGGGGCTTTGCTGGCCCTCGGATGCCATGTTGCTGCGCATGATGGCCAAGTTGATGGCCTCCGTGGCGGTTGCCGCGTCCTCAAACGCAGACGGTCGTCGGGACCCGGGGTATGCCGTGGGCGACAGCAGGCCTGCACTCGACCCTTGGCGTGGTCTGGCGAGAAGTTCGTCCACATAGGTGAGGAACTCGTTGATGGTTGTATCCGTCTTTGGCGCCTTCAGCTTCTTGATCTCGCTTAGTGTCGACAGCTTGTCGACGGTCTTGATCTTTGCCTGGTCGCGGAGGATAATGTAGGGGGTCATGAGGTCGTGGCCGAGGATCTCCCCGTGGCTGTTCACGCTGCCCAGCACCCTGAAAGGTATCTCGACAGAGCGGACTTGCTGCTCTTTCGAGCCGCCCGCTCGTTGTGTGCCAATGACCAGGTTGTAGGATATTTTCACCGCCTTCCCCTTATGTGTCGGTGGAAGTCCCTTGGGAAGCTGAAAGGAGTACTCAAACGCTTTGTGTTCGCCTGGGCCCAGGTTCAGGTCCACAAAGAGAATCGACTGAGGTGTCGAGAGCAGTGGGACGGACTTTGAGCTCGCGATGCCGCGCATGTCCTTGATGCTGCTGACTTCGCCGGCTCCAAGCAACTCTCCGATCGAGTTACTGATGCTTCCCCAGCCAAAACTTCGAAGAAGTCCACTATCCCGTTTCGAAGGCTCCACTCCGATGACACCGCCTCCTTGGCCGCCTACTACGGCCTTTCGTTTGACTTGCTCAAAGGGGCCCAGGTTAATGAGCGAACCGTCAAGTGTGAAGGAACCCTGGATCTGGGCGTAACCCATCATCAAAGACTCCGGTTGTTTCGGGTGGTGAGACGCGAGGTTCGAAGACCGTCGGAAGTGCGGCGGTCGCATCGGACCTCTTGTGGGCTGCGCTGGGTACTCGGAAGCCAATGTTTCTGTCGAGTTATTGCTCATGGAATAGAACTCCCCGCTGCTGCGTGGCGTCCCCCCTCCCATGCTTGTCGTAGATAGTATACGCATGGCCGGGGTCGTGGGTTCGTTGTAGTTGGCATTGGTGCCATCTTTGGACCGTATGACAACGTGTGGAGCAACTTCCATGTTTGGGCTCAACATCCCATCGTGATGTGCTGCTATAGGTGTACTTTGGGTATCTGACAGCGGAGACTGGGCCATTGGAAACCGAAACTCCGCCAGCGCGTTGTTTGGAGATCTTATAGGGCGCTGTGTGCTGGTTGCGCCAGGGGTATTCGGTACGGTGGAGGATCGCGAGGTCCCGGGGGGTGAGTCGGAGGCGGAAGTCGAATTGAACAGAGGCGAGCTGATGTGCCTCGGTGATGCTGCGGCGTGTTAACAACCGGACTGCGGGTCAACAGAAAGCGGCAAGACACTGACCAGAGTGAGGCGCGGTAAGCCCCAGACCCAGGGCAGTTCCGCGAGGGACGATCTGGAGACTGGAGGCTCGCGCATGCCCGCGACCAGACCGGTGCGACTTGACAGAACCAGCATTGCTCTGGCTGTCATCGTGTATCGTGCTCGTGGAGCCAATCGATACAATGGAGACGGACTTCTTGTGCCCATTGCCGCGATTTTCGAGGGCGTTAGGGGGATGCGACGACGGCCATGGTATGGAGCCTGCGCGGCTTCGCGCCTGGGCGGCTGGTACATTGAGTGACAGGGCGGATCGGTGACCGCGTGTTTGAGCAGAGTTCGGCGGGGTTAAGCCGGCGCTGGATTTGCCTCTCAGCAATGGCGACACATGCCTCGGGCGGTCGGTAGGTGCGAGTCGCTGGGACTGTCGTTGTTGGCTGGGATCGCGGGCAATGTTCTTGAAGGTGATGGTGCACTTGATCTCCTCGCCAGCGAAGACAGTCTGGTCGTGCCAGCGGATAAAGACCCGAATGTTGCTGGAGGCCTCTGGAGACATGTTGACGCTCCTCCGGTCGGAGAGAAGACGAGAGGAGCAAGAAGGAGAGGGGAAGGATCGATTGATGTTACAACGAATCAGCAGGGCATCACATGTCTGGCATCAACCATCGTCGCATCTGAACCTGTGGATTGGAAATGGACAAAGAGTCCTGAAAGGTGCTTTGAACGTCATGGGCTTCCGAGTTGGCGGGAGACGGGAGGTTGAGCGAGCTGGGCTAGCTCCAGTGTCGCTACGAGTCGGACGGGGCCCCCTTCGGCGCGCGCTGCAGGGGTTGAGTCCACATCCCCGTTTCCTTTCACAGTTTTAGCGTCACTGTCACCTCGGCGCCTTACCTCAGCAGGCAGATCCACTTAAATGCAACGGGGGTCGGATGGTTGGGAATCTATCGGTTGCGGTACGTATCCCAACCGCGACTTCAACTCTTTCCACTTACACCGAGACCTCTCTTCCATTCTGTACCATAGCACTGAGATTTGACGCTTTCCTGGCTTTTGGCATCAAAATAACATGATCTTAATCACTTTGGATATTTGATCCTTTGGCTTTCTATCTACGTCAACTAGAAAGAGAAAAAGAGATTCACTCTATGGATGTAAACCATGTTGCCTTCCCCTATCGTGGAAGGAGGTACCTGCAAGACCGCACCTTCTCACATCATGAAGTGCAAGGCGCACCTGCCTTCAAGAGGCAAACCAATCTTTATATTAAAAGCCCTGAGAGTTTCTCTAGGACATCGATCTCTTTTCTTTTCAACTCTTGGACCTGGTTCTTCCTCCAGCACTCGGCCTTGTTGTCTTTCGACCATCCGTCTTTTACCAATCAATGCCTGACTTTCTCGAATTATTACCACATCCTTCTCAACATCGATCTGAAACCCTTTTTTTCGAAGGTTTTGCTAGATTGTTTTCATTTGCTTTCAAAGTCGCAAAAAGGTTCCCCTCCAGGCACACTAGCTTCGATCCTGCAGCACTTTCTATGCTGACATAGGCATCCATTCCCCAAAAATGACGATTATCGATACTCTACCAGCCGTTGATGTGTCAATTCAATTAAGCAGCTCGCTTAGAAACGCAGATGAGTACCCCGACCCAAGTCCCTACCGTCGAGAGCGATACCTGGGAGGATTCGAGCGTTGTGCTCGAAACTATATCGAGAGTCAAGATGGTACCGAGTTTTGCATCCATGTCAGGGTCGGAGACGAACGCTCAATAGACCCTTGGGTCTACGAAGAATATGGTCTCCTTTTCTTCCTGTACATCGATGGGCAGTTTATGGGCAAGAGCTTCTGTCAGAGCAAGGACTTCAGACAGGGCGATTGGCGCTTTACCTTCTCCTCTAGAAGATACCCCAACGATGATCGCTCTGCTTTAGTCGAGAGCAGATTCAAGTTCCAGTCAATCATTACCGGTAAGGCTGCTTGTCTCGGATCTGTATCCCAGTTCCTTCAATGCCACATACTGACATTGCGCACAGTCGACGAAGAACCTACCGATGGCGACTTTCGTCGTGCTCGCGACCTTGGCAACATCGAGTTAAAGGTTAAGCTTGGCAAGGTGTCAGGAATGCTCGGCCGTCAGCAGGGCAGGAATCTCGAGAGAGACTTCCGCGAGCCGGATGTGGACTACTTCCAGATCCCTGAAGAGGCGCTCAAAGGTCGCCCTATCTACCATGGCACCTCGTGAGTTGCTTTCCACTTCTGTACGTCTTCTTCTGACAAAAAAGTCATAGCTTCACTTCGCCAAAAAGTCTATCTGAAGGACCACCACGTCACAGCGTTTTAAAGACTACCACTGGGGCACTTCTGGCAACGTACAGCTTCAAGTACCGGTCACGAGGCAAGTGAATAGATGGCAGCACTCTTGGGAAACATAGAGCTGACGTGCTTCCAGAGACCTTGAAGATCGAAAACATCATTCCTCGAACACCGAGCCCTGACCCTATGCCTAGGCGCAGATCAGTCTATTTCGACGAATCAGGTGGCTTTCCTCGATTTGAAGATCTACAAGACGACGAGGTGGAGCGTCTTGCTCGAGAAAGGCTAAGACAGCTGAGAGTACGACACATGTGTATCCAGTACTGTTTCGTTGACTAACACGTTCTTTAGGACGAGAGACTTCAAAAGTCGAGTTTGAAAAAGCGCACATACGACGACTACTGTGACCTGACACAGGACGACGATGAGCAGCCGGCACGGCCCTATAAGATCATCAAGATGAGAAGCGGTCACGAGACTATCGATCTGACGGGCGGCTACTAGAGATGTAAGCCGCGAGATTATAAGTTCACCGTGAAGAGCGAACCGGCGGGCGACGATAAAAGATTTCAGATGTTTCATTCACCGAGACTAGTTGAGACAAGTTCTATATTCCACAGAATGGCTTTGGTCGTTACAGGCTGTCACTTACGAAAAACTATAACTCAATGAACTATGTTTAGTTGGAGGAAGGCAAGCTTGCTTCGATATGAAAGACTCGATTTGACGGAAAGGGCAGAAGAACGGCAGAAGATTGCCCCATAGCCCGTGGAGAGGTCTTCACAGCCAAGTATGAGTACAGATAATATGCACAGACATCGCGCGCACACCGCGTTTACTTCGTCCTGTACTTCGTTACATAGCGTGAGGAATGGCCGCAGTGGGACTCCTGATGCTATGTCCTCATTGCCATATCGTCTTAAAGGACTCATTTACCTCTCGAGACACATCGACTTCCGACCTAGGGTACGCCCTTTCTATCTTGTTAATACCGACTCAGCTGCAAGATTAAGGTTTGGTATTGCGGATAGTAGAGGGTAAACAATGAGAGTATAGCAACTTCGACGAACGATCGGGACTTAGCACAATTGTTGTCCTTCGGTTGCACGTAACCTGATGTCCCGCACTCTCTTGGGCCCATCGGAATGGATATTCTTGAGAACTGATCTCAAATGGAAGGTGCAGACTCTCTTTTGAGATGACCAGGAATTCAAGAGCACCTCATCAACCAGAAATACCCATAGCACCTTGCCTCGAGCGTCTCGGCAAGCTTCTTTGAAACCCAAAACATATAGAACCAGCTAAAACCAAGGAAGTGGGGACAATTGCGAATTTCAACTTTTCTCTCTATGCTCGAGTGGCGATAAAGATTAACGGAAAGGATGCTGTGGAACACAACGACCAGATGCGGCGAAGACCGAGCTGGAAACACCATTCGTGTGTTGCAAGCTTATCAAAGTAACGGAGAACGCCTTATTTTCCATAGAGACTCTCCTGGGCCGCGTCATTCAAGATATTCTACAGTTGATGGCTCCAGATTGATGGCCACCGTTCGTCTCAGGTCCCAGGAAGTCATCGGGCATCTGGTAACGGACAAGACTTCATGTTCCGGAAAGGCACGACAGAACCGCCTCATACTGACAGGGGCTCATGATGAAGTCAACAATTCGAGCGCGCTGCCGGAATGCGGGAAGCCCCTGGTTCACACAGCGACTAAACCCCCTGAGGATACTATAATACTGCACGCATTCGAGAATGAGAAAGAGGAAGTGAACTGTCTGTATGCAACGCTTCAAGCACAAAGAATCCTGGCCAAAACTCAAGGGTGAAATGCCAGACTGGGACTGAAGATGACGAGACCATCTCAATTAAGTTAGTTGAGAGCAGGAAACCTGGATCGTGTGAGGAAAACCGCCTCAGCGTTCGGCGATAGATCTCCGCCACGACCTAGGAAGATAATCGCGCTTTCCGAGTAGACTATAAGTTATGGGCTCGTATTGCAGAGAAAAAGAGCTAGGTCGGCATGGAGCAACAACCAAGGCTGCTTCACCAAAGTTGCCATAATACGGACCTTTGCAAATCGATGAGATATGGGGAGACAGAATGCTTCAGGAATAGATAGAAGAATAGCTTTTGTTACCAGGAGAGAGTAGTAGGATCAACATACAGATGTAAACTCGTCCAGGAAGTGGGGATGCCGATTTGAATCCATGACGGTTTTGTGTACGATTATGGAGGTAATAAGTATTGAGCCACCGCGGAATTGGGTGGCATTAGGTAGTATGTCATGAATACGAAAGAGCATTACACAAGGCCACTCAAAGAGGTGATTTCGTTGCTACACTTTATGACTCTTAATCAAACTATTGGGCGAAGTAGCTGAGAAGCAAAAGGAAAAAAAAAAAAAAGGGGGGGGGGGAGGACCGCTCACTGGGGGGATTACAACCTGGACCAGGAAATCAGGTGCCACTTTGCTTACTTCGTAGATACTCAAACGAGTGTAGTGTGATGCGGCAATCTTGAGTCTATTTCACCATGAACCTCAGTAAAGCAATCAAAGGGGGAACAAAAAGGAGTATATCACACTTCTTGCTTCTCAAGCAAGTAACCATACCACCCCCAGATCCTCCATGGTGCCAAAAGTTTTATGCTCAGAGTCGTCTGAAATTAACACTTCACTCAGTGAGGTCGATAGATCCATCTCTAGCAGTCTTGTAGACCTTGCGCGGGCGAAGGTTGATATCACCTTCTGCCTCTCGCTTCACACTCGCTTTAACCTCCCGCTTCACTTTGGCCTAGCGAGATATCAGTGGGTATGTCTCAGATCTATTGCTCAGCTGAAACTTACCAGCTGATCGAGACGCTCCTGAGCGAGTCTCTGCAGCTCAGCCTAGGGAAGGTCCGCGGCGCTCTGGGATTGAGGTTCGGGCGATGGCTCAGGAGATAGATCGCGAGGGATAATCCCTTCGATTTAGAGAGCGGTCTTAGACTTATATCGGAAGATGAACCGAGCAAGCCGAACTTCCCCATCAGGATATGTGAAAGTAAATCCACGTCTCTTAGAGACTTCTCGTCCCTCCGCGAAACTATTTGGCATTGGTAAGTCAAAACGAACACGGCTCGAAACGAGTTTGAACTCACTCAGTGCCATGTGTCAAATTCTTCCCTTTCATAGCTTTTTCGGCAACATCTGTTTTCGAAGTCACCGCAATAGACTCCCTTGCTTTTTCTACGCATCTATCGGCACGGAATATGATGATCTCGATGTTGCCAATATTCTTCACAACTTCAAGGTCCTCGGTGACGCAAGCGCCTCCCTCCTCGACTACCTATATGATCAGACGTTCTTCCTGGTGACTGGAGACAGAAGTGGAGGAAATACCTTGTTTGATTGCCGTAGAGATGAAAGGCTTCAAAATAGCCATTCCGGGTGTGGTTAATACCTCGGTGATTCTCTCTACAGACGTTCGAAGAACCTGACATTGGAGGAAGATCCCCGTGAGTGCGTTCCTGCTGACGCGGTTCCCGTCGACGTAAGTAGCTACTCCAAGGCATCGATCACCTTGGATCCAACGGCCAGCATCCTGGACTTCATAGTGAACGGAGAATTTGGTGTCATCTTGGCTCTCAATGATTTTTGAGATGGAGTGAGTCGCGGTGCCGCGACTTACTGGAGTTTGGGGGAGTTCGGGGTCGTTATATTCGGTGCAGTCTTCATTCGAACCATTGACGCGAATAGAGACCTTGATCTCCGGAAGGCCGTCGATTACAGTCATGGTTGCTGTTGGAGGGCAAGTTGGACAATCCGCCTAGATTACACTTGGCTGAGAGCTACGGAGTGGGAGACAAGAAGTAGTCGCGCGAACAGAGAAGAGAGTGTGAAAATAAAAGGAGGTGCGGAAACGCGTAAAAAAGACTTCAGAGATAACAAAAATATTTATCCATTAGCAAAAGAAGAAAATGGGTGGAAGAGAAGGGGCAAGAATTTGAGGTTGGAAGCTGGAAAGAGCGTTCGACGCAGCTGCTCGGCCGCGGAAGAAAAGACTCTTTAAAACGAAATGCGTTTTCTCTGAATTCTTTGACAGTATCAGAGTTTTCGCTTGCGCGGTTCCTTGCAAGGTACTCAATTAGCTCCCGTGAACGGCAGACGTTCTAAGATGCAAGCACGGCGGTGGTAGTTTAATCTGATTGAGAAACTACGATCTCCATGGATTTACGGTGTTTCACGACAGACAAGGGCAAGACTTCCGTGGAACCGTGAGAAAATTGAGTTTAATCACTTTCTCGAATTCTGAAAGCCTGAAGCTTTTTGTCGACCAGGTCAAATAGGAAGAAAGGCACGGAGGAATTTGGCCTTGCCAAACTTGTACCTCGAGCCACACAATTCTGATGCAAGAGTTATATTCGCCCAGTTCTTGAGGTCTCAGAAGCACCATAAAAAAACCAAACCGATCAAATACTGAGTACTTTGCTAGTTCATGAAAGCGTATGGAGGAGCAAACACCCGCCAGATTTCACCTCAAGCCCGCCAGGCCCGAGGGCTAGCTGACGTTTACTAGATGGCCGTGATATCTGAACAGTCTGTCTCGATTTGAAAGGTGTATCTTGCCTCGAGCCAAAACCTCTGGCAAGGTGGGTATCTACCTTAGCCCATGCCGGAGTAGCTCAGGCGGGGAGCTCCCTCGATCGCGGCCTGTTTGAGTCCACTCTGGACCGTTGGTGCAGTGGGATCTGCAGATACCCGGCGCTATTCAGCATGGTTCCATCGCTAAAGCGGGTCAAAGTCGATGAGATCGCATTGTCTCTATGAAACATGGTGAGAAATGAGCCTTCTGATGAAGAATAGATCGATGCTTTAGCTAAAAAAGGAACGGTATGGAACAGGTGTATATGGCGACGATATCATGCGACTGCCTGGCGGACGATGATGTGCGGGAAAGAGGCAGGCTGCATTTCGGGAGCAGGCGTCTACTGCCGTGACAGTGAATTACAGTTGATTTGGCCCCACTTCTGCCTGGATAGCACCAATCACGCCGCGATCGCAACCTGTCGTAAGGCGTCTGCAACTGAAGCTCCCTCAAAGTGGTAATTACTTGCCTTTCGGTCGCGACCATCTCCCTCACTCTCATCCAGCTTCACGTAGGGTATCACTTTCTCCTCAACCTAGTTCTACTCCATTCCTTCCGCGTCAACTCCCCACCACACAGCCTGCACCGACTGCAACCCCAGATAACGCACAACACACTCCGACTGAGCAGCCCACCACGTCTGGTCAAAGATGGCCATCATCAATGAGTTCCCCGGCGTCAAGATCACTGTTCAAGTCGACGGCCAGGACGCCGTCGAGTATGAAGACCCGGATGGCTTCGAAACCGACATCAACCGGAAAAACGTCCGCTGGCGCACCTTTAATTACGTTGAATCCAAGGACGACGCTTTCTTCTCCGTCCGCTATCAGGTCGACAACAGCCACCGCTGGGAGAGTCCCAACCACGCATTAGCTCTGGTCTTGTACATCGACGGCAAGCGTACCGACGGCCTCGTATGCGAGGCTCGGCACTTTCTCAACCTCGACCCATTCTATGTTTGGAACGCCACTGTCGAAGGTTCTCGGGAGAGGTCTACTGCCTCGGGTTACGAGCGCCTGAACAAATTCAAGTTCTCCAAGGTCACCACGAGTATGTCTCGGCCTCATCTGGTGCCGCCAACGCTCCTACTGACTTCATCTCAGTCGACGATGCCGAGAACGAACGTGTTGAAGTGGACACCAAAAAGGCAAAGTCACTGGGTGTCATTGAGGTGTTCATCTATCCCATGGTCATTACCGGGCCGATGACTTACAACACTCCTGGGAACCATTACGGAGCGCAGAATGATGGCTTCGAGATTGCCGAGAAGGCGCTAAAGGGCCGCGCAGTCTCTCACGGCACCTCGTGAGTATTCATCCTGTACCCTTGAAGTACAATCGTTTGTGCTTACATGGACAAGGTTCACCGACGGTGGTATTATTTCGAAAAAACCCATGGTTACTGCAGAGTATCTCAACAACCGCAATCCCATCGCGGCCTACACCTTCAAGTATCGCTCCCGAGGTATGCGCTCAATCTTCCATGCCATCATGGTAGAGCGGCTAACATTTCCTAGATGCGCTGCACAAGGAGCTGGTCATTCCCAGATCGCCGAGCCCTGGCCCCATTGATGGGATGTCCGAGGCCGAGATCCGCCGATTAGCCGTGGAACGCCTCGACGATATTAACGTCAGTATCGCCCAACTCTCCCACCAAGCAACCAAATACTGACCGTTTGAAGAACAACCGTGGCTCTCCAGCCGTCAAGCAAGAGGACGGGCGTCCGATCATCAAGCGGGAATACGCCGAGATAGTCGACCTGACGGAGGAGCCAGTCAAGCGGAAATGGAAAAAGGTCAAGATCGAAGGCAACCGTGTGGCTATTGACCTCACCGACGACTAGACTCTCCCCAGTCTCCCCAGGCGTTTGTTTGACGGGCAGGCTCTTACTTTCATTCCTGGTGAGTGATATCGGATTTTGCTCATTCACCATCGGCGCAGTTTCCCCTGATTTTCGGCACGATTCGACGATTTCTTTCATCTTTCGAGCACTTCGAGATCGACAGTACCAGCCCGCAGTCAACGAGATATAGAGTATCACTGGACACGGTCTCGGAAGTCCGGCTTTGGGACGGTTATAACACGAGCGACATCTTTTTCCTAGGTCAGGAGTTCAGGGGCGAATCGGGTATACCCTCCTATTGCACTTATTGTGCCTCTCCATTTGCAGGGAGGCGGCAGGACATCAAAGTCAGATTCTAGATATCGGATGACAAGAGACAAAGTTATATGATTTTCTACTATTCACTTCTTACCCATGTCTGACCGTCTGACCGGGAACGTGCCCATAATCTATGCGCCAACTTTTATCAGTCACTTGCATGCCCCACGGCTGCGTCATCATTATTTTCTTGAATCGCCATGCCTTTTATCCTTTCCGCCATTTTTTCCGCCTTGAGTATGTTTACGGCCGCCTCCGCGGCCTTGACCTTGACCTCGTCCCTGGTAATGCCCCCGTCAACCTCGACGACGCACCGAGTGCCGACCAAGACCTTGCAGAGATACTCCTTGTCGCCGTCGTCCGTCTGCCGCACGTCGAGAGCATAAGTCACGCTTTCCTTGTCGGCGAGGTGTCCCAGCTCTTCCTTGGGATGCAGCACGTGCACGTTGTCCTGTATGATGCGGTCCAGGTATCCCAGGATGCCGAAGCGCTCAACAACCTGGGCGCAGACGTCCAGGTCTCCAGAGTCGATGTAAACGGCGCCGAGAAGAGACTCGAAAATGTCCGAGTAGAACTTGCGGAGCTGCATGCGGGCGAGGAGTGCCCAGGGATACGTTTGGCCCCTCTCCATCGAGTCGATGATCTGATCCCTGAGCCTGGTGTACCGCTTGAACACATTAATCTGCTCAAGAGCGATGGCGGGCGACTGGTGGCGCATGAACTTCCATAGCGGCAGGGCGAAGCGGGAGTGCTGCAGGTTGGGTTCCTTGCCGCTGTGATCGCCGAGGAGGACCTCGTCCTGGCTGACGGACTGCTCCAGAGAAAGGAAGCCGAGGAAGTCGCCGTTTACCATGGCTGTTTTGAGGAGATGCATAGTCTGGTGCGGGAGTAGAGGTTCGACGGCGAAGAGGCGTTTGACAATGACGTAGTCGAGAACCGAGTCTCCGATGAACTCGAGGCGCTCCAAGCATCCAAATGTATTTCCAAGGTTGAAGGAAGCGTGCGTCATGGACTGGATCAGAAGAGCTTTCTTGTTGAACTCATAGCCGACGAGCTGCTCCAGAGGTTCGAGGGTTGAAGGAAGCTCCACGCCAGGGGGAGAGACATCGTACAACGCCTGTCTGCAGTCGCCCAGGGTCTTCCACTTGATCTGTTGGAGAAAGATCGACATGCACTTCAACGCCTTCTCCAGGCCGCCGTCGATCATCGCGGCCCCAATAAGAGCCTCGACAACATCCGCGAGCGTCTTGGTCGAGATCTTTCTTGTGGACTTCGTCTCGCCGTGTTTGAGAACGTCGTCCACGTAGATTGGTCGCCATTTCTGCCCTGTGAATGGTTTGGTGAGAATGAATTTGTCAAGACCATGCTTAATGGCAGCTTTGCAGAGAGTCGAGTTCGCGACAATGCCGTCTTTCTTGAACGAGAGAAGCCGTTCCGGCCAATGAGGGTCTGGAGGTGTTTAATATTAGTGCGTGCGTCGTGCTGCATACGTGTTGTGGTCTGCTTACTCAATGCGGCCACGTTAATCGTAGCGGAAAATTTGAGGATGGAATCTCCGAGAAATTCAATCCTTTCATAGTTGGTGGGTTCGGTCGCACTCCCCGTACTGATGGCTGTAAGTACGAGAGCTGGATCAGAGATCGCCAATGGCCTCAGAAGACCCATAGATAGCTCTCGTGCGACAAGGTAGGTTTCGATGCGATGCAGAATGGAAGGGATTAGCACCCCAAACTGAGCGTACTTGGCTGGTATCGTGTCCACCTTCGCCCATGGCATCGGGTAGACTCTATTGTATGGCTTGGTAGTACTTTGGCTTTGGCTGGGATCGCTTTGCGGCCGATGAAGAAAGTCTGATCTACGAGACCATTTTTTGAGTGCCATGTATGGCACATCATCGGGGGCCGTTTCGAACTCGTGAAACGTCTTTTGTACAGACTGGGGTGCTGGCTTGTTGGGAATGATGCCGTCGTAGATGTAAGGGCACCCGGACTGATCACGTATGAAGAAAGCCGGGTCGTGCGTTGACATCTGTCCTTCGACGAACTGATTGACTCCAATTTGGTTCATGGAGAGATTAGCGCCGTCGGCTACGCTGAATCTGACGATCTGTTGGAGGTCTGCCGATACCCAGCGGTGGCCGTACGGCAGTGCGAGCAGCACACCTGTGTCATCATTGCTCGTAAGCTCGTCAACGGGAAGCTGTTCCCCGAACTCGAGTGACCATGTGGTGTTGTAGTCCAGGTAGATGGGTATCGTCTGCAGCCCTGGGATCCAAACCGGAAGAACCATCTCGTATTCTCCTTGGATAGCTCCAGTTGTATCCTTGAGTAGAATACTGGTCGACCTCAGACTACCGCCGGTTTTCCAAGCCTCGGCAACCTTGATCCAGGCATTGTGCAGACCGTTGACCTGCAGAATGGCTGGTATTTTGTCAACGCCGGGTACGAAATCCTCCGGTCTAAAAGGTAAGAGGTTATCGTTGACAAGCCCTGCCTTATAGAGGCTGACATAGGCCTGGAAAGCAGCATCTTTGGTAGCATTCTTCTCTGATTTCCACGCCTTTTGGCTCTGGGCGATGCGGACGTGGGATGGGAGATAGCTCGGCAAGGCCACCGTGGCTTTTAGATCAGGCGCATCTGTTGTGCCAAGCTTCTGGATAATATAATCGGGTCTCCAGTCGATGAACTCCCCTGGTGATAGCATCCGGCAAAGGTGGTCAAGATGCTGCTTGGCGTTGTCGAGATCCAAGACTGCCCCTGTCTGGTCTACCAGGAAACTCATCTCTTTGGGCTCTTCCGTATTTTCAATCTCTTGAAGATGCTCAAGCTCTCGCTCTTGTTCTTCATATTGGCTCTTCATCTCCGCTTCCATGGCCTCCCACTCACTCTGAGTGGACTCTGAGGCGTCGTGTAGAATCAAAAGTTTGGAATCCTTCATCCGAGCTCGCCCACGGCGTTGAATGAAGGACTTCAAATTCGGCGGGTTGTCGAAACAGAGGACCAGGTTACAGGCCGGTACATCGATGCCTTCCTCAAGAACACTAGTGGCAATGAGCAGGTTGGTCTTCCCAGTTCGAAACTGATGCAGCGATTGCAAGTCCTCAGGCCGAGAGAGATCCCATATGTCTCTCTTTCTGGCCTGCAACTGCGAAGTGCCTACCATAGCCCCTGTCCGATACCGTGCTCGGAGCAGCTTATGCGATGCGAGCAAGTGACACAAAACCGAAACCGTTGCCCTCTCCCGGGCAAAAACGATGCCAATGATGTCGGTCTTGTCTTGTAACAGCTGCTCGATAAGAATGAAAGCCTTTTCTGAGAGAACCTCGCGACTTATGGAATCCTCCGACGGGCAATAGCACTCGACCTGACTGAGAATCTTGGCAAGATATTGTTTTTCGTCGTCCTTCCACGTGTCCAGCAAGATGCTTTCTGACCGGTATGCAGCCATGAATCGTGATATGACTACCCAGATGTAGTAATCTGCGGCCCAAGAACCTAGGTCACGAAATATCTGATTTGCCTGGCGACCAAACGACGTCATTTGGTTTTTTGTGTAGGTGTTGTGGCTCTCCAGAACTTCCATGAGGGCGCGCTGGCTGCGGTCGGTCCCCTCAGATTGAAGATGAAGGACATAAGGGTCATCCAAGATATTGAGGCATTGCATGGCTTCTTTCAGGCTTCGCAGGCTATTTGGAGTTTTGTAGTCTCTCCGAGGTCGAAAGGAGACGTAGGCCATATTCGGCTTCTTGACACAAGCAAGAAGATCGGTGCGGTGCATCGTCGGGCTCTTGCAAACGGCGTCCAGTGTTGTTTCAAGGGCATTGATACCCTCGACTTTAGAACCAAATGTTGGACTTGCCGTCAAGCCCAAGATGTGAGGTGTATAACGACCTCTGCGCTTCTCTTCATGATAGAAGACCGTCATAATCTTGCTCCCCGGAGACCTGCCGATGCAGTTGTGAGCTTCGCAAGAGTCAGCTTGTGCACCGTTAAGAGTGTTTTTGAAAACATGCCTTCGTCGAAAACGATCAGAGACAACCTCGTCATACGCACGAAAGCATGTGACAACGCATCCAACAATATTTGGTATGTTGACACAACTATCCGCACATTATGAAGTACCCCATCCCACGTTCCCTGATCGGACCACGAGTCGACATTGTCATCACCACTGAGAAACTTGATTTGAACCTCGGGAATCTGAGACTGGAGCACCGCGAATTGTTGAGCACAGAGTGATACTGTGGGTGCCAGGAACCAGACAATCTGCCTCAATGAGCTCAGGTCATGACGGCACGGGGTAGATTAAACCAACATGCTCTGATGAAGTTCTTTCCACTTCTGCTCTTATACGCAAGACAGCTCTGTTGAAGCTCGTGTAAGTATTGCACACTCAGAGGCTTCCAAACAAGTCCACTAACACCTGTGTTTTGCCACTTCCAGTGTCCATCTGCCGGTTGTTAGTTCTCCATCGGCTGTTTAAAATTGAATTGAGTTTGCGTGACTATCACTCACAGCCACAATGATGTTTTGCCTCATACTTTGGGCAAACATTTCAGTTTGGTACGCCCTCGCATTCATGATGACCGGTGTGCCTGCAGTGGGCTCGTCTGAAGGCGATGAAGCCTCATTGTTCAGGAACACCTCTTCGGCGACGGCAGAGACGCCTTCTTGGTTAAGAGTCCTGGAGGCCGGTGCATAAGCAGGCGTAACATCTTCCGACGGGTCAGTGCCGTCGGAGGACGACGACTGGAGACAATCATCCATTGTCAAACGGTGCTAGTGTGGACCTGGAGACCCAGTCCTAAGGTCCTCGTCAAAGTCCTAGGACGCCAGGTACTTCCGGATTAGCCAAGCAGAAGCAAGCAGTTGCTGCATACTTGGAGTACTTGGGAGGATGATAAGATGACCCCGTCAGCGGTGTGGCCGGTATGAGTCAATGTGACCAAGCCAGGTAAGGTTAAATGACGCGGCTCAAAAAGGGAAATTTAGCCATGCCTTCGGGACCCTCAGAAAGAGCTCGGGTGATACGGGGAGTATGGACACGGCGTGCTCGATGTAGTTCCCGGGGTGCGACTCTAGGCCGTCGCTGGGCGAGCAACGACTGCCTGACGACGATTGCTGACTTAATCGCGAAAACTGTGGATGGTGCCACGAGTCTTGTCGCAACAGCGCTTGCGTGTGTGGGTACAAAAGTACCCAAAAAAATTTAAGAACTTTGGAACTCGGCGCGGTGATGGATGCCTAGCAATAATTTGTGGGGTTTGCAGGTTCTTATTTGCAAGCGACGTGTCGATGGGGGAGGGAAACTAACCTCAAAGCCCCGCGTGCGTGATGGCAGTTGCGTTTGCAAAACAATACGCACTTGCGTACTCTCCAGGTTGTATTAGGTTCAAGACTATGTAGGAGGCCGACCCACCTCTAGTCAATGCGTAGGCAACTTCGCAACGAATTACGCACAGCAAGCAAAGAGTCATCTTGGTTGTCGAAGCAGGAACCCTTGAGGAGTTGTCGGAAGAGAACGGGACATTAGGAAATGACGATGGCGCGTAACATGGTAGCTAGCTCATGACTCCATTGCGTGCGAGCAATGAGTCGTCGGCACGAGCGACGGGGAGACCATAAGGCGGCTTACCCACCAATACGATGACGAATCTGAGCAGCGTTCGTAGTGGAAAACCCCAAGAGCGAAGCCGGGAGAATGGAGATGGTGCCGCTCGGAGGAAAGAATCAACGAGTCTGACATGGACCCTAGTGGATCAAATCTTGAACTTCGGGAGGTTGAGGAGGTGTGGAAGCACCATTTGCCGTTTTTGAGAGTGCCCACAATCACCCGCACCCACCCCGGGCTGGGGGACCTGGTCTTACCGGGGCCGATGCCAAACTTTTCGGAATCCGGGACCCGAAACTACGTGGCTCGAACTCATGTTCACTCGCTCGTTCGTTCCTGCAGTGAGACACTTCCAGGGGGCAATAGCTATCTTGGTATCACACCAACTGGAAGGCAGCCGTGGCTGCGGATAAAAGCGCAGTGCATCATCGACGTTCGATCACCAGCGTTGCATCTCAGGCTCAGCCTCGGCTGCCATATAAGCTTCTCATTTCGGCTACTCAACCGTCTAAGGTAGGGTACCGTCAAAAAGCCGTCTCGGGGCCGATGCGAGTAAAAAGAGAGTGACTAAAGATTACCCCTCTCTTCAAACTTGGAACGAAGAGTGGCGAAGTGCATCAACAACTGGGCCATACTTGTCTACTTCGATTAGACAAGAAATCGTACCCAGTCTTTGTGCAAAACACGTCGCATGATGTCGAGATTAGGTACAGTGCATGGCGGACGTCCGAATTGGGTGTGATGTTTGATTGGAGTCGAAGCCGATGGTATGGCGCAGTACCGTGTAATTTGATTCAGTGCATGGGAGGGCGGCGGCGGCTCTCAAGCGGCTCATTGGGGTCTGGTCAGTCTGGGCAACGTAGAATGCCGTACAAGCGTCATCTGTCGACTGATGTGCAGCTCGAATATAATAAATCCCCTTACTATGTCGTCAAGTGGGACCATCAGGTGAGCATCTATACTGTATCTTTGCGGCACAGTTATCAACGGGCGTTTCAAAATTGGAGAAACCAATGAACTGTGGCAGCCGACAACGTCCGACATTCGTGAACGGCTTCGGCAGTGGACAGCTGCAGCTGCTGCCTGATGAGTTGCAGCGCCTTCCCAATCTCTTGTCAGCAGCAGCCCCGTCTTTCTTGACCTAGAGGGACAATGGCGATATCGGAGCGGAGAGATGTCTGCTCCGTTACGGACTGTTCTCTATGTTGTTGGGACAGCGCATTCATAACAAAAGCGTGCACTTGCAGAGTCCAGGCTAATGCGGTTATGGATATTCACAGGTCAGCATGTTTCGTAAAGTCATCATTGCAGGCCATCCATTGATTCTAGAGCTCGGAGATCCTCGCTGCCCCCCTGTCTCTATGCTGTTCTATGATACAAGGTTAGACCGTTCCAGCCGTCACGGAAATTACAAGTTCGTAAGATAATCCTCGATTTCCTGAGGACTGAGCTTCCTGAAGCGGGGGCCTGTGGCACCCTCAACACCCTCGATTCCGAGCAAGTGGTCCGCTGGGGGTCCGACGATACCTGTACTTCCAGTTAGATGTTTATATGCCATGTTGCAAGCTTCAGGTACTCACCGATTTCAATGGTCTCTCCATTCATCTCTCCCTCAATGGTCTCCTTGAGCGTGAGCAACGCAATGTGCACGGCATCCTCAAGCTCCAAGCCCTCGGTGTATCTCTTCTCCAGGAACGTCTTGGCGGACGTGGCACTCTTGCCGATGGCCGTCGCCTTCCAGGGGAAGTAACTTCCAGAGGGGTCGACTTGGTACAGCATGGGACCGCCCTTCAGAGTACCACCGGTCTTGCCAGTGGGTTTCTTCTCCTCGCCTTCCTTGGTCTCGGTCTCGTCCTCGGGCAAGATACCCTCGTCCCATCCCGCAATGAGCAAGCTGACACCATAAGGCCGAACACCACCAGACTGAGTTGCCTCCTGCATCACGCGAGCGACGTCCTGCACCAATATCCGCGTGGGCGGGTACTCGTTATAAATGCGCTTGTAGCCGGTGTGGGACACCTTGCGAGCCTTGTCCACCAATATTCTGTAGTCGGGGCCCATGCCTGAGTACACCATTCCAATGTTTGGGGTAACGTGGCTGATCTTGGACAGCGAGCTAGGGTCGGCAAGCGGCGATGATGACTTCTTCTCGGTCGCGAGGACGATACCGTTGGTGGCTTTCGAGGGGTTAGCATGGGTTGTGGAAGGAGGGGCAAGCGGGCCTGCCTTTAATGCCAAGGGCGGTGACGCCCTGGTTGACGGCGTTCAGAGCATACTCTGGAAGATTGTTAGCTCAATTGTCGAGTCTTTGGCTTCATCGTCGTAGCGAATAAGCAATGGTGGGGGCAGAGTGGAAGCGTACCGATCTGAACCAGCTTGCCGCTTTGTCAAGTCAGCACATGAACGTCATACAACATTGAATCGAGCGACATACCTGGGCGAGAATGTCGTCAGCGAGAAAGAGTAACGGTCGGCCATTGCTTGACTGTTGAATTGTGTTGTTGGGGTTTGCTTTCTGGGATCAAGGTGACGTGAAGTATGGAAGGTGGGTTAGCTGCGGTCAAACGAGACGAGGTGTGAGGCTGTCGGAGCTACGAAGCTCTCCCTCCTAGGCAACTCGCGCCGCGTCAAGCTGCCCGCCGTATGGGGCCTCCTGGGGAAGGCGATGCACGTGACTTCATCGGCAGTCCTATTATTCCGGCGTTGCTTGCTTATGTAATTAGAGAAGGTAAGAAGCTATGACCACCCAGCAGGAGCTCAGAATAAAGTGGTGCTGGAATATTCTTTTTCAATTCTATCCAACGCATGACCTTCGTCCAAGATCTTATTCGCTTGGCACCATTTCCGAAAGGACAGATGGTCAGGTATTCATATCATCTACGTTGATTTCCTGCCATGTAGGTGCTGCCTCATCTGGTCAAGTCAGGCCAAGACCCCCCCTTCCCGAGTCAACCGCTACTTTCAGCTCAAGTTTTTATTCTCTGGCTTTCCGTCATCTTACAGGCTAGCGTAAAGTCAAACCTCACAACTCAGACAGCTCAATGCTTAGAGAGCTCCGCAGACACCAATTTGCCAGCCTCAACTCTCCCACTTCCTCGCTCCATCATGGAATCCGCAAAGCCTCAGTGGAATTGGCCATCTGACCTTCCAGATGGTCCAGAACACTCTCAAGCTGCCGAAGCCGAAATACCACAATTCAGCCGGCATGCGACCCAAAGCCGGGACGAGAAACACAACCAACACCAGGAGCAGCCCCAACCTGAGGCTCCCCCCAAGCAACGATATTATGGCTCGCGAACGTGCCGCATCTGCTTCGAAGTGGTCAACCCCACCTTTGAGGAGCCAACGGTCATGAGTGGGTTCATGAGCAGGCCTCCACGACCGATCTACAAGTCCGAAGACCCTGAGTCCGGGCGCCTCATCTCACCATGCAAGTGCAAGGGATCTCAGCGCTACGTCCACGAGGGTTGTTTACAGGCCTGGAGATACGCCGACTCGACTGCCACACGAAATTTCTTCGCATGTCCTACTTGTGGCTACCAGTACAAACTCGAGCGACTGTCATGGGCGAACCGCTTGCAGGGTGCCTTTGCACAAATATCACTGACCATACTCATCTTTGTTGTCTCGGTTTTCATCCTCGGCTTTATCGCTGATCCGATTCTGAATATTTGGTCTGATCCTATAGGCGCAATTGCCGATGTTGCTGCAAACGTGCTTGAAGACATCGAAGCCATCCAAGAACCCGCACCGGAGATGCATGAAGAGCCTGGAACATGGCTAGAGCATTTCTTCAAGGGATTCTTATCCCTCGGCCTACTCGGATTCCTCAAGACCCTCCTCCTCATGACACCATGGCAATGGTGGCAGCTTCGATCTAGCGGTTTTCTTGGTTCGACTGGCCGTCGAGGCGGAACAGGACGTGCGCGTGTCGAGAACATGAACATGGCTCTTGTCTTTTTGGGTGCAGCGACCTTCATGTGGGGTGTTTGGAAAGGTGTGAGAAAGTTCAGTGCCTCTGCTCTGCAACGCGCGAGCGACCGAGTATTTGATGTGGGTGGCGGCGATGACGAAGATGAAGATGTCAAGGAAGACTAACGTAGGGCGGACACTTGAGACAATGCGAACGGCTGTTATCATTCATGGAGCAGACATCGCTTGATGCGCAACATGCCTCTTGTTTCAATGATGTTTGTCCCGCACACTCTTAAGTTGCCTCGAAGATTCTCTTCCATATCGTGTCAACTAGTCTGTGTGCGGAGATCAAGTCCCCGTTCTGCCCTTGAGCTTGTCCGTTTTGGTCAAATTCATTCTGGGCAGGCGGACGGCATCAGGTTGTAATTTAATCAGTTGACTTTTTGTCGACTTGACCAAAGCCGGCGCCATCTCTCAATACCTTTTGAGTTGGCAAACGCGCAAGCTGATACAAATACACAAGAGAGTTTACTGGATACGGCTTTGCAAACCAGTGACCAGTGATGCGTCATCTTCAGAATAGAGAGCAACCGCAAACTCACCCCAAACCCTTTCAATCACTTATTCGCGACCTTTGCCTCATGAGTAAGGAGCCGTGGCCAAGTCTGCCATCTCGAGAGACCTAAGCGTTGCCGATCGATTCATGGGAAACCCCCCCAGCGTCATGACACCCCGCAGCTTAACGTCCTTGGTTGTGGGGCCCAATGCAACCCTGTATAGGAGGGGTTCAAGGGACCAGTTCAGCGGCAATGATGGTCCGCTCATCCGGACAATTATATCACCGCCCGAACCAATCAGCCGCGGTTTGTGGGTCAGGGATGATGGCACGGTCTAGATCTTATGTTCTAGAGTGGACCTCGAATTAAACGAAGCTATGCCTTCCGAGTTCGTGTTCAATCGCCTGTCCCTTGACTGGCTGCCTTCGCCCTTGCACGACTGTTTTCACTTCAAGAACCGCGCTCTTCAAGGTGTTATTCGCGCTTTTAAAATCACAAAAAAACTCAACGTAATGCGTCTTTCTGGATGACTTCCCTCGAACTCCTCACGAACCATTTCGACCCTCGAGGCTCGCTGACTCTTTCTTCCCTCCTCTCTGTGCCAAGCCTCTAATTGCAAAGGCCACGGTCAGCGTTCCTTCTCGTATTCGACAACCGCGGAACTTCGTCCCAAACGACAGTCCTGCTGGACGCGCCGAATATAGACACTGGTCCGACCGCGATAAACCGATCGATTGCGATTCGAATAGTTTGCCATTTTGAACTACTTCACCTTATTCGAGAAGATGCATTTCGCATATCCCCCACGAAAAAGCTCGAATCCGCCGCCATTCCGGGCAAGGACCTCGAGAATACCGCCGCTGCTCCGTCGCAGCAGGCTGAAGGTCATTGCGGCGGGCGCCCTTGTGTTCTTGGCCTTCCTATACCTGCTCTCCAGAGCCTTCAAGTCGCCGAGCGGGCCTCGAGCGCCGTTGGGCGAACCACCTGTGGTGATAGTAACGGTGCTGGACGAGGAGAACTACAGCAAGAACTACTTGTCAAGCATTCGCGACAACAGAAAACAATATGCGCAGCTCCATGGTATGTTGGGACAATTTGGCACTTTGGCTACGGAGGATGCTAACGGTCTTTGTCTAGGGTACGAAGTGATGTTTGCGAAGACAGGAGACTACGATCTGAGTGGTTCACCGGCGTCGTGGAACAAAGTCGTATCACTGAGGCATGCCATGACGAAGTACCCAGAAGCTGGATGGTTTTGGTATCTTGACCAAGACGCTTACATTATGGACCCGTCAACGTCTGTGGAGAGCCTGGTTTTGAAGTCGGATAAACTCAACAGCTTGATGATCAGGGATCAGCCGGTCGTTCCGCCTGACAGTATCATCAAGACGTTCCCCCACCTCAAGGGCGACGACATCAGCTTCGTTCTTACTCAAGACAGGGAAGGATTGTCGGCAGGCAGCTTCTTCGTCCGGAACGGCGAGTGGGCGAAGTTCTTCATTGACACGTGGTTCGACCCACTGTACCGGAGCTACAACTTCCAGAAGGCCGAGGGCCATGCCTTGGTAAGTTGCCGTTTGGTGCCACGGAGCCATGCCAATCACTGACCGTCTCATTAGGAGCACATTGTCCAATGGCATCCCACCATCCTCTCCAAACTCGCCATCGTGCCGCAGAAGTTATTTAACTCTTACAACAGGTACGATAAGGGCGATATGTTCAAGGATGGCGACTTGGTTGTCCGCGCTGCTGGATGTACCAAATCCGGAGAGCGGGCCTGCGAGGAGGAGCTGAACAGCTACAACAAGCAGTGGCACGCGGCGTTCAAGGGGCAGTAGATGAATGAGACTAAAAAGAGGAGCGACGGGGGTTGGCCCCACGACAGGATATAGGGACGGGTTTACTCCAGGCGTTTTATTCCCCGGGAAGCATGTACTCAGAATTTCAAGTGTACGTGAGCTGGACGAGGGCGTTATTTGTGGTGTTGTTTTTGGAGAGAATTTCTCGATGATACGTTTCATACGGAGTCACTGAGAGGTGCCGGGAAGGTTCTTGAAAGCCAGCTGGCCAGCTGGCTGCATGAGACATTTGTACAGCGCTCATGATGGATGCTGTATTCCCCTCGTGGCCTCTTCGGGATGACGGCTCGCTGATGACGGAAGGCTCGAGTCTTGCGTGCTTTGTACATCATGAGGATAGAGGTTGGCCATCCTGCCAGGGTGCAGATGCTAATAGGGACTCAACTCCCAAGTTGGTCCAGTATCGATGTTGGGACATGTGGCTATCGACATGGTAGCCTCCACAACCGTCTGCCTTATTACCATGCGCCCATCAATAACTCTTGAATGCCGTGGCGATGCTAGTTAAACGAGGAAGCCAAACTGCCCTCCAATGAGGCAGGGGCTAGACAAGACCAAAGGTCTGTTGGCGCACGGCTGGGATAGAGCTGCAAGGTCATCGTCCGCTAAGATCGTGGTCCCGGACGGCGCTGGGTCCGCTTGGATCTCTCAGACGTTAAGGCTGCTGATGTGACGTGCTCGAGGCAGGGCGTGACCATTTAAGCCCAGGAGTTTTCGATCGAATGTGGGAGGGCGAAGAGAGATACCACACGGAGTCGGGCCTCGGCTGGCGTGCCATTGCCCATGGCCAACTGCCGCCGAAACCCCTGGATGGGCAAATTAATGACGATCAATGGCCGGCCAAAACGGCTTCGAAGTGAAATCGTGACCACCAAGCCGGTTGACGGGCGTCCGCGGGCCCGGCGCCCCGCCGCTCTGGTGGATCCCTTTTTTTTGCTACGGGCGGTCCGCGGACAGACGGGTGGCTTAGCCGATCTTCGTCGACAGATCAAGGCATTGTATATCACGTCCAAGATACTGGACTTTCAGGGAAAAAGAGTTTTGGATGGTCGTGAAGAGGGGACAGGGTTACAACTGCGAATGCAAGCGATCCAGACAGATAGTCATGCGCAAATCGGACAGACTGCCCAATCGGCCGAGGTCGAGGGTCCTCAGTTCGTGTAGGAGGAGGGATTTGTGACGTATCGCCCGCCGCGATAAGATGACAGGCAGGTCGCGCGGCGCGGAGTACTCTATTGGGCGGGAACTGGTGGTGTTCATCACCACCGCTCCACCGCTTTACGACACTTCGGATTGGGCAGAAGCCCTTTGACTTCTAACGACGTGTCGGCTCCCTTCTTGCAATTGCCTGGCCTGATGGAGGAGATGTTATTGGCGATTTCGCCGTCTCCCAGTGGCCTTTCTCAATGCAAAATGCACGCGGCTATCGGTCGGCCTCAAGGCCCCCCCTTGTAAATCGACTTGCCTGAAGGGTGGGACTGCTTGCTGCAAGCCAGACGCGGACGCCGTGGGAAACAGGGCCCCTCTTGCTTGTCGCGGCGCATGTGACAGCCAGGATCGCGACGATGATCCCCCAGAGAAGCGGACGCTCCAGAAGGTACTCCGCTACCTTCGCTGCAGCGACAGGGGTAAACGGCGCTAAGAAATAATCAAGAAGACGCCATGCCCCACGATTTTGCGCGTCGGGACTCCTCCCGTTTGACACTGCTCGCCACAGACAGTGGTTACAGCTTGTCTCCAATTGCTTGGGCCCGCGTCGGCGATGTTCTTGTTGGTGTTGTTAACGTCGGAACCTCCTCGTCCCAACTCCTAGCCTTGAACCCACGTCCCCAGTCTCCAGTTCTTTTTTCTTAACCTCCTTCCCCCCTCCGCCTTCTTCTGTTCTACCCGTTTATATATTAGACTCGAATCCACCCCCATTGTCCATTATTCCCATCCGTCTCCTCTTCATTGCTGCTGTCGCGAAACATAGCCACCCCCACCGCACCGAGCTTCACATCACGGCAGACAAGATGCCCGGCAGCTCCCGGATTCCCGCCAGCTTGCGCGAGGGCTTGAACCAAGTCAAGCGCAGTAGGCAAGCAGCTCCGCTCCTGGTCCTGAACCTCGACTTGTAAGTCACCAATGCTCCCGTGTTCCCCCTCGGCATCCCTCCCGATGTAACTCGGCCCCCGGCTAATCGCGCCATCTCGTCGCCTCTAGACTGCGCAACGTCATCTTCTTCCTCTTCGTCTGGCGATGGACGCGCAAGGCCTTCCTCAAGCTCAAGGGCCGCGGCCTGATCGGCAGCATCGTCGAGCTCTACATTGATATCCGCAGGGTTCTGTACGGCTACTTCCTGCGCGCCCCCGGCGTGCGCGGCACGGTCCAGAAGCAGATCAACGAGTCCATGTCGAAACTGCAGGCCAAGATGATCCCCACGAACCTTACTCGATACCTCACCCTTCCGAAGGACGGCATGTCCGAAGACGATGTCCGGAGGGAGCTTGATACCCTGGCGAACATGGACCACACGAGATGGGAGGACGGTTTTGTCTCCGGCGCCGTCTACCACGGCGAGGACGAACTGATCAAGCTTCAAACCGAGGCTTTCGGCAAGTTCACCGTTGCCAACCCCATTCACCCCGACGTCTTCCCCGGTGTACGAAAAATGGAGGCCGAGATTGTCTCCATGGTGCTCAGCATGTTCAACGCCCCTGCCGGCGGTGCCGGTGCCACCACCAGCGGTGGTACCGACAGTATCCTGATGGCCTGCCTCAGCGCGCGTCAGAGGGGATACCACGAGAAGGGTATCACTGAGCCGGAAATGTACGTACTATCTCTGACATCGTCACCATGGTGCTCGCACTGACAAGCCGCAGGATTCTGCCCGAAACCGCCCACACCGCATTCCGCAAGGCCGGTGACTACTTCAAGATCAAGATTCACTACGTCGCATGCCCTGCACCCAGCTACCAGGTTGATGTCCGCGCTGTCTCCCGCCTGATCAACAGCAACACCGTCCTGTTGGTTGGCTCCGCCCCGAACTTTCCCCATGGTATCATCGATGACATCAGCGCTCTGTCCAAGCTGGCCGTCAAGAAGAAGCTGTGCCTCCACGTGGACTGCTGCCTCGGTTCCTTCATGGTGCCTTTCTTGGACAAGGCTGGCTTTGAGACCGAGTTGTTCGATTTCCGTCTGAAGGGCGTTACGAGCATCAGCTGCGACACCCACAAGTACGGATTCGCGCCCAAGGGCAACTCTACTGTCTTGTACAGATCTGCGGAGCTCCGCAAGTACCAGTACTACGTGTCGCCGGATTGGTCTGGTGGTGTGTACGGTTCTCCCGGCATGGCCGGTTCGCGTCCAGGCGCTCTGATTGCCGGCTGCTGGGCTAGCTTGATGAAGGTCGGTGAGGCCGGCTACGTCGATGCTTGTGTCAAGATCGTCGGCACTGCAAAGAAGATTGCTGAGAGGATTCGCGAGACACCGGCCCTGGACCACGAGCTGGAGATCTTGGGCAAGCCGCTTGTTTCGGTCGTTGCTTTCACGGCCAAGAACCTCGACATCTACGACATTGCCGATGGCATGTCAGAGAAGGGCTGGCACTTGAACGCTCTCCAGAGCCCTCCTGCCATCCACATCGCTGTTACTCTCCCGATCACCAAGGTTTTCGACAAGTTGATGATGGATTTGGAGGCTGTTGTCGAGGCCGAGAAGGAGAAGGAGAGAGTCCGTATCGTTGAGGGCAAGGGGGCTAAGGGCAAGGCTGTCGGCGACTCGGCTGCTTTGTATGGTGTTGCGGGATCCTTGCCGAACAAGAGTGTGGTGGTTGATTTGGCCAACGGTTTCTTGGACCTGTTGTACAAGGCGTAAGGAAGGAAGGAGTCTGACGGTGGTTTCGTAAGTGCATTGGCTGGCGGGCATTGAATCTCGATCCGGGGGTGCACATTGCCCAAGATTCATATAGCAGTGTAACAAATACATCTTTTCAGCGTTTCTTAACCTCACCGACGTTGCTCCCTTTTGCCCTGCTGACCAGAGAAGGGTAACCAGGTCGTTAGGGGCTGGATCACGATTGTCTACTTGCGTCTCGCTTCAGATCGGGACCACGCGGCGGTACCGCCCACCAGTTCAAGACATGTGTTCGTTCGGAACTAAATTTACGGGGTTGGTAATCTCAATCCATTGGGCTTTTCTTCGACAAGCGGAAAGGTTGTCTCAGCACTACCGTTCCGACCCTCATTTGCCGATAGGCGCGAGTCGTGTAAGAAGTGCCATTATCTGGCCGCCAATCCATCGACTGAAGCGACCAGCCGCGCGGGCGTGCGACCCATTTTCGGTGGACGCCTTGCCGGGGACAGCTACCGGGGCTTCCGGGGCGTCCGGGCGTTACGGCCCCAACCCCGGGGACTGTCGTTGTCCTCTGCACCTTCATGCAGCATCCCACCCTTCAAGCTTCCGCGCAGCAACTGAAAGGACCCCAAGCTTGCGTCTCAAGTTGGCGCTCACGGGCTTATCGAGACCTCTTGGTGGCACGGCAACACGCCCCAATAACACCATAATGGCCGAACGCTGATTGCCGCCTCAGGGCCAGGGCCAGCAAATAAATGTCTTATCGCCTGACTTGTGCTGTTCGGCCCAACGTGGACCATCTACAGCGACACCCGGCATGACTAAAAACTGCAACTCGAAACGATGGGACAGGAATACAGACAAACTTTTTCGTCCCAGGCGGGAAACTTTCTGGCTTCTCGAACGCTTATGGCCTCAAAACCGAAACCCTCCCAATGTCATCACATTACCGGGTAAGGGCACATCCTGGGCAGGCTTTTTTTTCTCCTAGGATAAAATCGACACAAACGCTCCTTCCTCGCCTCTCCGATCGCAGCGGCGCGTCGAAACGCGGCCGATGTGTGATGTACCAAGCTTCGACACCATACTTGCAGCCCAATGAGACAAGGGTCGGCCAAGTTGGATACCGGTGCACGGCATCGATAGGCAACTTTGTGTGGCTCTCACCACACCTTTTGCCCGGCTGCTTTGTGCGAGCCACCTACCGCGCACAGCCTGCCTCCCCTTTCACCCACATGTGTTATTTTTGCGAGGGGAGAACTGTAACTTTTAACCTCTCCCTCGCATCCTGAAAATGCAGATTCCCGCAGCACTAATGCCGCTTGTGGTGTTGCCTCCGTGATCGCCTTCATCATCGTCCACCCCATTAGCCCGCCTGACGCAGAGGAACTAGATGTCAACGTCTCGTTGCGGAGCTCCTCCAAAGGGTCCAGCGCCGATCGAGAGAGTTATGGATCTGTAGCTATTGCAGTTTACTCTTTGCGTTATCTGCTCGTCATCCAGCCTCCCTTCGTCTGTTTGCTCGGTATATACTGCGGTCGCTCCCGCGCCAACTGCCCAATCACTGTTTTATTGTTGTCTTATTTGTCTCTTCCGCACTACCTGGCAGATAACATAACCCAAGCCCGCAATGACTGCCGCGCCGGGCGAGAAAGCTGTGCGGCTGAGATTGAACACCACCACGAACTGGTCCCTGCCGAGAGACGCCGCGGGCCGCTCGTCCGGGCCGGACGAGAAGATTTTGCCGCTATCTCCTAGGGGCGCCGCGGGGAGTTATAGATGGGACGGTCAAAAGGAGGACCATGGGCACGAAGGTCTTTCGGATGGGCGGCAGCAGCAGCAACAACAGCGGCAAGGGCCTGAGAGTCTGGGTGTGGAGTCGCTCATCTCAAGACCTCAGGATAGTCTTGGCCATTTGCCTCTCGACGTGGTGGAGGAGTTGAAGAAGATGATCAAGGAAGAAGGTTGGTTGCTGCTTTGTTCCGTTTGCAGAAACGACCTGTTGACTTACACGATGAAGTTGCTCAAGTCGCTCAGGTCGTCCAGCTGAAGAACAGTGAGGCCGACACACCCACCGACACGTCACGTCTCTCCCCCTTATCGGGCCAGAGCTCCGTCTTCACGCCATCGTATCCCAGTCCGCCGCCATCGGTCATTGAAGCACTGAGTTCCTCCAAAGTGTCTTCGCCTAGGGATCGAAGCCCAGAAGTCACGCATGCGAAGACGGCGCCACCTTCGGTCCCCATGCCGGCAGGTCAGTCCACTCCGCCCGTCAGCCCTGTGTCGAGGGCTGTTCAATTCCGGAGCAGGGGCCCGCCGGTGATTCACGGCCAGCCGCGTGCCGACTCGAATTTGGAATCCGTCTCACCTACCATTACTGCTGCCGCAGGGCGGGTCGAGCTGAGTAGTGTCGACAAGGCCTGGGGAATGTTGTTCGACTCTAAGGGGTATTCTACGCAACGTCTCAACTCTGTGCTCAGGGGACTGGCGAAATTCATGGTATTACCTAGGTTCTGCTGCGAGAATCTTTCACTGGCTGACTTGTTTTCAGATTGCCGAGCTTGGGCACCCAGAAACTTTGGTCGTTACCCCTGATAAGATGCTCACTTTGTACACAAAGTATAAGGTCGAGCCTGAGAGGTTCCAATATGAAGGTGAGTAGAATCTCAAAGCTTCAAGGTCATCAAAACGGGCGCTGACCTCCATCAGAAATCTTCAGATCGCGTTCGGAAGACGCACTGAAACGGATCGAGTTCCTGTACCAGGACTTGGACTGCCAGTACCACCTCATCCAGGCCGCACCCAGATCTCACCCCAACGTACCTGGCCTGACCCCCATGGGCTTCGCCAAGTGGATGATCAATAACATCCTCGCATATCCCGACCCGGAAGCCAGGCGTCTGCACGCCATCGTGTCCGCTCTGCCCATCAACGCCGACGGGCCTGTCCTCGACGGCAAGCCCGAGAGACTACCCAGGCAGCTCTCCCGGCATCTCTTCCCGGAGTCACACGACAAAAAGGTCCGCAAGATCCTCGACGAGGCGGTGTGGGACTGTCTCGAGGACGTTGCGCCGCCTCTGCCGTCCATCCCGAGGGCCAGGCCCAGCCCCTCACACGAACTGGCCCTGCCTTCCGAGGCGAACACGCATGCCCGACGGCCGGGCAGCGATCCTAGGCGTCCTGCGCCCGTACCGCATCGGAGGACGTACGACCGCGGAAGCCACCGACTGGCACCACACCCCGCAAGGCTCCCCCGTGCCAACTCGGACGCGGGCGCCCCGTTGCCCAGACATCGCGACCTACCGCCCCCGCCGATGGGACGACACTCCGTCCCCGGGAGACAACGCAGCCCGGCCCCGGTCAACCGGTATAGCGCCTCGTTGCCGGCCATCTCGCAGCACCACCTTGAGTCCTTGTCGCCGTTGTCGCAGCTCGCCTCTGCGTACGACATCCGGGGAAGCGACACTGACTATGGCGTGTGCTCTGGCCGAGACGGCCGTGGCTCGGATCTGAGGGACGAGTCGCCGCGGTCGCCTGGTCTCGGCAGGCGTGCTGGCGCCGGCGCGGGTGCAGGTGCGGATCGGGGCCCGACGTGGGAGGAGGTGTATAGTCACAAGGGGTCCTCGGGCGGGAGGGGGTCGTCTGTCGATGGGGGGTCGCTTCGTTCGTCTCGTTGATTTGGCGATGAGATCTGGCTGTGGGGGGAATGAGATACGACTGTTACGAATTACGCCCCTTTCCTATGTCGCAGCGTCGCCAAGCTTTCGAGTCAGCTTGTACACAGGGCGAGAAGAAACTTTGTCTCAGTATGGTAGCGTGACTTTGTATCCAGTCCAGTAGGGACGGGCTTTTTGCTTCGAAAAGGGTGGTGTGTTTCTTTCATTTACTCCAAGTTTTGTTGTTGAAGACTCGCCGTTCGATTATGGTCAGTTGACAAATGTGGGATGGTTGTTTTGGTGACTGCTCGCTTCGTGAAGAGGGAACGCGACTGTACCCTTATATCTTTCGCAGGGAGATCAAGGCGTAATATACGACACATGCTCATTCATTGAGGCCTTTGAATTCTTGGGAAGAGTTTATGCGATGCCAATAGCCTAGTAACAAAAGTGATGTGTTCGTGCTACTGAAGCTCGGAATATCTGTCATGTGCCCGGTTAATTGAATTCAGCATCAACTATGTGGAGCGCACGAGAGGGAGAACAAGGAGCTGTGAGGAAAACACTCAACAATGCGAGTGTTTCGCGAAGTTTTCTCGTATTATTGTACTACATCCACCGATCAGTCATGCTAAAGCGACTGTGGTATCATCCAAGTATCATTCGTACATCTTCCTCCTCTTTTCTCTCGCCCATGATCTCCAATGGACGGCACTCACACACCCACACCCCGACCTCCTATGTTCACATTAAACACGAGCAGTAGGGTTATGCTCCTTCTCCTGCTTAAACTGCTCCCGGTGGTACGCAACATCCCCAGCGAGCGGCACAGCCGGCGGCGTCACGTTCTGACGGAAAACAAATCTCTTCCAGAAATAGAAGAACTGTGCAAGCCCGTAGCGCGCAAATTTCCTCAGCGGGACGCTGAAGACGGCGTCTAGTTCCTCGAGGGTCTTCTCCTTGGTCTCGGGAAGGAAGAAGAGGACCAGGAAGAAACCAACAATGTTCCAGCCGGCGTACCACCCGAACGCGCCGGTCGGGGTAAAGGCCTCCTGCAACGAGGGCCAGGTGACGGCAAGGATGAAGTTGAAGAACCAAGTTGTGGCAGTTGCTAAGGACATACCGATGGGGCGAATGTATAAGGGGTACGCCTCGGCGGAGTAGGTGAATGGCACCGGGCCCTCACCAGGGGAGTAGACCATACCGAAGAGGTAGATGCCAGTGGCAATGCAGGCAATCTTGGCAGGGTTCGTAGGGATGTAGAACGAGAAGCCAGTGAAGAACAGGCAGATGGCCATCAACGGGAACGTCGTCAAGAGCAAGTTGCGTCTTCCAAAGGTGTCGATTGTGTAGAAGGCTGGGAGGGCAAAGAGCCAATTGATGACGCCAAAGCCGAGGGACGCCGCCAAAGCACTGACTTCTGAGAACTCTGCGGCCAAAAAGATCTCGGAACTGTAGTAGGCTGCTAGATGTTAGTATACAATCAAATGTGCACCATAACGAGCCATTTTGAGATTTTTCTTTAAGCGTATAACCATATTTGGAAAAAGGTATATATCCCGCTTTATGTAGTACGTATCGTTATAAAATGATGTATGTACTTACCGATGACATTTACACCGCAGAATTGTTGCATAAACATAACAATTTCTGACGCAATCATTGCATTTCTGTTACGTCTAATTGTATAAAATTCTTTAATGCGATTTTGTTTACCAATGCCTTGAGACTCCTGTTCAGCTTGAAGGAGGGCATTGGCGTAAAACAGGTCACGGGCAGCTTGGACCTTCTCGAAGCGCAGTTGACACATGGCCTTGAAGGCATCAGAGTGACGGTTCTTGGTCAGGTACCATCGGGGGGACTCGGGGCACATGTAGCAGCAGGCGCAGACGAACACCGCAGGTATCATGGCGCTGCCCATCATCAGCCTCCAGTTGAGGCCAATGATGCCACCCCTGTCGGGTACGTAGTAGAACGCTAGGTCAGCAACGTAGCCCAACATGATTCCGAACGCTGTCCACATTTGCCACTGCATAACGAGGGCTCCACGGAGACGTGGCGGCGCGCATTCGGCGGCGAAGATGGGGGTTGTGGCGGATTTGGGGCCAATGCCAAAGCCAAGCATGAACCGGGCGATGAACACTGGAACTGATCTCAGTCACACAGCCAAGAGAAGGAGACAACGATGGAACTCACTGTGCCACCAGGTGTTTGTGAATGCTTGCCAAAAGCAGGCAAGAGCAGAGATCAGACAGGAAATGAAGACTGTGCCGCGGCGGCCAAAGGCTTTGTTCATGGGTTCGGTGAGCCAGCAACCGATAAGGGCGCAGCAGAGGTAAGGAGCCGAGTTGGTCAGACCGAGTAGCCAGGTGTCTCTCTCCGTCTTGCCTCCGATGCCGAACTGGCTCTTGTAGAACGATTGGGCACCGTTGACAACGGTTTCGTCCATTCCTTGTACGACGGCGCAGAACGAACAGACTTGGACACATGTCAGTCTCCGCGTATCTAGAAAAACGAAAAGGGGCAAGGGGAAGATGTCATTCGAAACTGAATGGCAAAGAACAGAGAAGACAGCAAGATGACTGACCTGCAACAACACCGTAGAGCATCTTTGGGTTCCGCCATTTATGAGTGGTTTCGCCATCAAGCACTGCACGCTCTTGAGCAGTAAGCTCAGCCATTGTGTCGTACTTGTTCATGTTCCCAGCAATCATGGCGCCGAGACGAAAAGCACGAATGTCTTCCTCATCGTCGATGCCATGCTTGTGGCAGTAATCCTCGCCTTTTTGGGCCAGCTGCTCGGGAGTGAGGCCAGCCAGAGGGTTTTCGAGCTTGCGGGAAGCCTCTATCCGCTTCCTCTCTTCTTCATCGATGGCCGTGGCTTCGGAGAACCGTCCTGGGTTGTCCATGTGAGAGACTTCAGCCTCGGCCCGGTCTGACGAAGATCGGTCGCCGAACTTTTCTCGCTTTGGATCCGCAGCCATCTTGGTGACGGCCACTGGGTCTCAAGCCCGTCAACGAGCGGGTTGTACGCTAGTACGGAGAGAGGTGAAGCCAAGTGAAGACAAGCACTTGGCGGCGGGGGTAGAAGGGCGGCTTGGTCAACGCTGCCACTGTCTAAAGTAATAGAAAGTGGATGGGAATAACGAGATGGAGATGAAGATGGTGAGTGGGTTGGTGTCCTAAGATAGCCAAGTAAGCCTCCCGGCTTGGGGACAGCTTGGCTACTTAAGTGTTCAGACACATCGCCAAGAAGTGAGATATCGAGGGCAACCATGGTGAAGAGCGCAAACGGAGACTTCTCCACAGAGATCAGGCCCGAACTACACCAGGAAACTGGAAAGCTAAAATGGTGGTCCTGTGGAGGAGGGTATGGAGACCGGGGGTGGATTCAAACGCGGGGAGGGAAACCGCGGGAATCGTCAATGGAGACTGGAGAAACAACGAATGAACTGGGGCCGCAGCGTGACAGGAAAGCCGTTGGTTCCCGTCAAACCTTTGCTGGAAGGATTTCGGACGACGTCATGACGCTTCCGAACCTGCAGTTGCATTCGGGGAAGGGATTGTTTGCGTCGACCCTATTCGTAGAGTCGTATAGATCGGGGATGTGAGCGAGATGAGATGAGCGAGGTCGCCGTCGCGGTCGGCAGGGATCGTTCTTTGGGACTACTATGTACACGGGGTGTTGTAGCTGGTGGTGTGTGAGGAACTGGGGAGACAAAGAGGAAGGCGCGCGTTTCGTCGGCCAAAGGCCCTTTGTGTGCACATTTGGCTCACAGAAAAAGGATGCGATCGACATCGGATGGGGGTGAAGTTGAGAGATGGCGTTGGAATTGTGCGAATTGGGGCTGGTTCGGCGCACCACTGATGGAGGGAGGAAAGAAGGAGGCTGCTGAGATGACGTTGAATTTGCATGAGCAAAATGGGTCCGTTGCATCGGCTGCTTGATGTAAATGGGCAACTCCCTGTCGCGTGCTAGCTCCTAGCACGGAAATAACGCCTGGGTGTCCTTGCCCGTAAGGTGAGGTGAGGTGAGATGGGGAAGTGAAGTGAACCGAAGGCCTGTGCCTCAGCTGCCATCTTCGATTTCGATCTCCGGGGTTGAGGTGGATCGCGTGGGTTTGGGCCTTCTCCAGAGAGAACCGCCAAGGACATCGCCCAGTAAAGTCAAGATTTATAATGCAGAAAGCTTCTCAGTGCCCAGGAAGCGCTAGGCGATCCTGCCACGGGTGGGAAGGTGCCACATTCCTTGGCCCTCCTCGATGGACCGACCCTGTTGACATCATAACCCAGGCCTCATTACCTGGGTTACTCATTTGCGAGCAAGGTGACAATTGCTTATCATTTTGGTATCCTTTCTACGAAATCGAAATAGAGGAATCGCCGAATGTAGCCTTTCATCCAAGTTGTCGTTGGTATTGTGTTTCCCGCGTAGAAGGAAGCTACGAAGTTAAGGTTGAAACGGCCAAAGTGCCCATCAAAAAAGGTTGACGGGACCCGTACAACGGCGTCGATTTGCAAACGTTCCCCATCAGGTCACATAAGTATCCTACCCAAGGCGCATGCACTCTTCGTCGGCCACCAGAATTAGCATGGAAGTTCCGGGATACTGTGTAAGATAGCCTATTGGGCAGTACGTAGACGGTACCAAGAGACATAACATTCATTTGTGTCTGGTCAAGGCCACCTTGAATCTCTCACGTCATATTGCAGCACCTGTCGTGCCGCCTTCGACGTTGTACCTGCGGTGGGGATCAACCCATGCACCCCGTGTTAGTGTCCGGATCCCTTACCATCCCCAGACAACGTCTCCGAGGAAATGGTGGTAGCTTCTCTTTGTTTCGTTCATCAATGTTCATAGCTTTCCTCGACTCTGTATAGAGGTAAAAGAGATTTGCTCGTGGATAAGCTTAGGAGATCGCCCGCTCCCCATAGGTAGGGTACGTAAAGGAGGCTTCTTTAAGAGGATATAGTTCCATGCTGACTAACCCAATGTATGTAAAGAACATTCACTAGCGAGGCAGCGCAATATATTTGAAGCTGTGGTCTTCATGGCAATTGTCATAATTCGGGCGGCTGCCAGTGACATTTATCATAGACTTTGAGTGACTGCTTACTAGGCAAACACAATTTGTCAAAGAAATGTCCAACCAGTACTCTTCAGTCAAGCGCTATCATTAATCGTACATAGTATACTTACGGAAGACCTTGGTCATCCTTTTTCTTACGCACACCATTGCTCCTTGGTAGCCGTCTTTACCCCGAACCTCTGGCCAAGGACCACCCACGAAGCGGTACAGATCAGCTTCCGGAACGCTCTCGGGCTCGCGTCGTCGCCGAATCCCTCCTCGAGCCACTTCTTGGCGCTGTCCCACTCGATGAAGCCCAAACTCTCAATGTTGTCCTTGCTAATCAAATTCTCCATCATCTTGTGTATGGGGCCGCCACGCGGCCACTTGAGCGGCGCCGAGTACGGATGCTTCCTCCGTTCGTAGAGTTCCTGCGTGATAAAGGGCTTGCCAGCCTCCTTGAGAATCCACTTTTCGCTCAGTTTCTGGCGTGCCGGGCTCAGGTCCTTCCACCACAGGCTCTCGCCAGTCCCGGTGGTGCCCGATCCGGTCGTCTCCCCAGCGGCGTCGAGGTAGCCGACCTTGACGCTTGGGGGGAGGTTGTTCACGTACTCCACCAGGTGGTGGTCCAGGAACGGCGGACGGGCCTCGATACTGTGTGCCATCTCGGTGCGGTCGCCCAGACAAGTCAGGATCATGTTGGCGAGGGTTCCCTTGGTGTACAGATAAAGACTCGTGTGGAGTGGATGCCACTTCGTCATCATCTTCCCGAGAACCTCGGGCGGGATTACTGTTTCGCCAAAACCAGGTGCTTTGTACGTCTCGCGTACCCAAGGCGAGAACGCATTCCATTCGGGTTCCAACCGCATCGAGTTGTTGGGACCTCCTGAGGAAGATTCGTCCTCGAACATGCCGATCCTATCAAACATCTCTTTAAGGTCTTGTGACATCTCCTTGAACATGTCTCCGCGGACCTCGTCAGTCATGGTAGATTGGGGCCACGCGGCGTCGGCTTCCATCAGGAAGGCCGGCAGCACGAACGGGTAGCCCGCAAAGTGCTCATCAGCGCCCTCGCCTGTTATCACGACAGGTACGCCATGCTCCCTAGGCAGTGTGGAAAGGCAGAACTTTCCCACGCTATTCAAGTCAAAGTTGTGATGCTCAGTGTGGTAGACTGCGTCCGCGAAATTGTCGGCCAATGCCGCCTCGTCCATGTCCTTCTTCAGGATTTGCACGCCCAGCCACTCAGCCGAGCGTTCAGCAATATCTGCATGAGGTGTCAGCACGCCCGTTCTTACAATGTAAAGATGGTTCTAGTCTCGGGCCGGCAACTCACCAGCTTCGTTGAAGCCTGAAGCTTCCGGGAACTGAATTGTGAAACAGTGGATACGCTTCGTTGCATCTTGATTTCCCAGCTTGATCCCTTCCTCACGGACAAGTTTCGTCACGATGCCTGCAATGAGGGACGAGTCGATGCCTCCAGATAGGTAGATCCCCACCGGTACATCGGCACGAAGCCGGAGCTTCACTGCTTCTATCAGACGCTTTCTCACTTCCACAATCATATCATCCACGGTCCGGGTCTCTACTTCTCGCTACTGTGTGTGAGCATTAGGCGATCAGGTAAACTCCTCGCTAGATGTCACTTACCTTGTCCTTGAAATCGGGGTCCCAGTACTGATGATGATCGACTTCGCCGTCTGGGGAGATCTCCATCCAAGTGCCAGGGTTCAGCTTCCAGACGTCCTTGAAGACGGTGTTGTGAGTTTGCATTGAAGATCCGGTAAGCAAGCCATGGACATTCCACTCAGGCTCCCAACCCAAGGCTTTGAAGCCCTTTATTTCCGAGGTAAGAAGCATCCGCTTGCTAGCACCTTCGCCATGAAGAGTCCCAAACATGGGCTTGATACCAAACCGATCTCTCGCAACAATGACTCGGCCGTCATTCTCGTCGTAAATAACGAAGGAGAATTCTCCGCGGAGATGCTCGAAGAAACCAGGTGCGCCATAAATTTTGTAAAGGGCAACCAAAACCTCACTGTCGCAGTGACCCTTGAACTCATAGCCGTATTCTTGGATCAAGCGTTCCCTGATCGCGTCGTGGTCATAGATCTCTCCATTCACCACGGCATGGATCATGCCATCGTCGCTATGTAATGGCTGCACTCCGTCCGGAGACAGGTCGTTGATGGCCAAACGGGCGTGACCCAGGCCTACCCCATGGATTAGTTGAGAGTTGCAAACCACTGTGATAATTCAACGTTCGTACCGATAGTCCCATCGTCACTAACCCATACTCCAGAAGCGTCCGGACCGCGATGAGCAATGGATTCAAGACTTTTCTGGAGCTGCTGGTGAAGAGTTTTGCGTCCTTTCAAGTCGGAATTGCCACTAGCTCCATTAGCAGAGCCGCTCCGCTGAAGCGTGATAGCCGCCGTGATGCCGCACATGATGCCTCTAGGTAAATGGACTGAGGTAGAGTGGAACAAACAGAGGCCAAAAAAGACGAGAGCCCTAAGCCTTTCATCTTCAATATGTTAAATGCAACGTCTGAACTATTTAAGATGGCAGGATCGGCAGACCGTTTACAGCCGCTGCATCCAGCTTGTCCAGACCCAAAACGCAGGAGTCCCAGCGCAAACATCTCTAATAGCCAACGCCGGGCCGAAGCTTGCAGCTCAGGAATGTTTTTACATAGTAGAGAGGGAAAAAAAAGGTATTGTAAATTGTGCAGTGATGGCGACATTAGACCAGATGAGCCACACAACAGCTACGTCTACGGTCCAGGGAGCCGGAGACTGCAATCCCGGTAGAACGGGTCTTGGCCCGGTCACAAGAACCTCAGCCCCAGACATGCTATGATCCGGTCTTAGGATGCAAGTCAAGACTCATGATGAGACGGGACGAACATACTGAGTTGGGGTAGTTACGTAAATAGGGCCCGTGAATGAGGTTCAGGTGGCGCCGGACATACATTTGCACGGACAAAAAAAAAGGTTTCGGACGCGGCTACACAGCGCATTGGACTTCATGATCTTGGACTGCATTGACCCAGTATCAGATTCATCATGTCAGTTACTTCATTCTGTGAGTTCAGAATGTAGCTTCCGGACTCTGTTGCACCTTTTTAGGACGCGGCCACCATCCATCACGTGCTACTGGAGAATGACCATACACCCCTCTTCCGCATCTGACCTCAAATTGTGTGAAACCAGCTACCTCCCACTTCCATATCCCGATTTTCCGCGAGCTGGAAGCTGCAGATGCAATGCGGCATGCATGTAAGCTCTCGACGGTTTACTCTCTGTCATCCCAATGCACCAGATCTCAAACACCATCCGCCTCCCGCAGAAGTTCCCCACATCAAAGCAACCAGACCCCAGAACTCCGTAAAAGCTCTACGATTCCGGACGTCCTTTCGGACGCAAGACCACCTCATCATAACACAACCACATAGTACACAGGCTTTCTCTTACGGCTTGGCTTGATGGCGCTTCGCTTCCAAGATTTCGCCGAGAGGGTTTTCCGTGTTCCAAGATCGCGCCTGCATACACGTTAAGACCTGTCATGGCATCACTACTCCGTGTTGAGCCTGGACATCTCTCACAGCTGGTCTTCAGTCACTTTTCACGTGTTCCTCTGAGAGTGAACAGAACCATTGGGCCTGCGTCGAGGCGCAAAGCCTGCTGCACTCTACCTCTCCGGCTACCAGCCAAATGACTCCACGACCAGTCTCGCCCTGGTTCCCTTTCCCTTCCTCACAATTTCCCCAAACACGCACCTCACCTCATCAATTACACTGCCGGGCCCAGAAACCAGCACGCAGACCTCCCCCTGGCCTCCGACAAGCTCGTTTTCAACACCTCTCTGACGGCCATCCGCTTACCGATGAACAGCTCGATCTCGATGCCAGAGAGTACGCCTGTGTTTTCCACGTCATCGACAAGAGCCCGATTTCGACAACCCCGATAGAGCTTCACGCGGCCCGGATGGCTGCGTAAGTGTGGCAGAATAGCGGTGATGCCGACACCGCCGGCAAGCGCAATGAGGGCAGGTGAGTTGTGCGGTAATTCGGAGAGCGGTGAATGTGATGGGTACCCCACCTCAAGGAGAACGGGGACTGAATCACGATGACGAAGGAGCGAGGTCATACCGGACTGCGTGCGAATGTAGAAGGTGATTCCAAGCTGGGGAGGTTCTCTCGCTGACTGGGAGGTGCTACTATGACGCTCGTCGGGAAGAGAGGTGCAGTCGGCTGGGGTAACGGCTGTGAGACGCTTCTCGACATCGTCACTGCTTTTCGTGGCATGTTCCACATGTTGACGCTTCGAAGGTAGGATGGCGGAGGCCACAGAAAACGGGTGGTTCTCCCACACGCGCCAGGTAAGCGCGGGGAAATATGCGTATGCGACGCCTGAAGCGAAGACCCCGGGGATCGTGACCCGGCAGTACTCCTCGTCGATGACTGTGATGAAGGCCGTCTTGACGCCGTGCCTTGCGAGTCTCACGACTCGAGAGACACAGTCGAAACCCCACCGGCCATGCAGACAAAGATCCAGACCTCGTAACCCCATTTGTGGCTGAATGCGAAGACAATGTGCCAGCAACAACCCGCGACAACCATGATGGCGATGACAACGTGCCAAGCCAAGAAATGCTCGTAGGCCTTTCTTCGGTTGGGTATAGCGGACGTAGGAAACAAAACAGCTAGGCCGACAGTGGCAACCACACCCCAGTACCAGTACGGCTCTTTCGACTCGGAAGAGTGCGTTCCGTTCTTGACGTAAACGTCCAGATAGATGATACTGTGTAAGATGGCTTGCAGAGTCGCTATCGCAGCGATCCATCGATGGAGCAGAAGGAAAGTCGAATGCGACCAGTCGGTGGCCCAGAGCAGAAGATTGTTTCGTCCCGCATACAGAAACATCAGTGGTAGGTTGGCAAAGCTGAGCAGTCCGAGGCGGTTGGATACCAGCATGCACATCCAACGCCAGCGGTTGTTGGGAAACCACATGCTGTGGTCAGCGTATTCGTAGTTGACGGCAGAGAGAACCGTGTTGATCACAATGAAGTAAAAGATGAAGAGAGCCTGTCCCCGCTTGGGCATCACTACAAGGCCGAAGAAGACGGGCGTGTCATGATGACTGCCAAATAGCGGAGGGTCGATTATCCAGGCGTTGAACCTGGAACACCACATTGACGGAAACGGTACGAAGCGCAGGAGGGAGAAGAAGAATGGTATCACAACGCCGGATAAAAGGATGATGAGGCTATGGCTGGTTACTAGGCGTTCATGGACTCCGGGACTCGATGGCGTGTTTCCAACTTACCCGTACTTGGCTTGCATGCTCTCCTGGCCCTCGAATATAACATCGGTATTGTAAGCCGCGTACCAAAGATCATGGGATACCATGCTTGTCTCATTCAGTGGCCCGGTGGCCGCATATACCGCGGCCGGAGTGCCGATGACCTTGGCCAGTGCCTGTTGATACGTCACCTTCGGGTCCGGCTGGACGGCGGCGGCCCCGGCAACGTTGTTTTTCCAGTACTTTTCAAGTCTCCATTCCGGGATTCCTTCACATCTGGCCGCCACGCACCAGGTGAGAGTTTCCAAGAACGCGTCATCTGTAGCGTAGCACTCGCCGTCCGTCATGACCATGCCGCTCATCCCTGACATGCCGCCCATTTCGTCGGAACCGACGGTGGAATAGCTGAGCGTCGCTGTGGAGATGGCATCGCGGCAGGCGAACGCACAGGGAGGGTCATGCATCTTGATGCCGTATCCAACAAGCCCGTGTCCCGCGCGCCCATCCGAACCCATAGCGAGAGAGTCGGTGGCGGCGAAGACGGGGAGAAAGACGTATCGCGGCGGCATTGTTGCGTACAGCCCAATCGAACGCTCTGTATCAGTCGGCGCAGGAGCCACTAGAATCTCGATCTGGAGTTGGCGTCATATCGTGTCGTTGTTGCGTGTGCCTGGGACTTATATACAGTAGTAAAAGTCGATACCTTCTTCTGATTGCTGGACTCGTCGTAAGAGGCTCTCATGACCCTTGACACGAGCGGAACCGCGCCATCGGGACGACGAATCGCAAATCAAATTTGTTTAGTATTCCTCTCCCTGTTTTGCCTAATTTCCGATTGAGTGTGTAGCTTGTTTCCACGCTGCAGCTTGGCGGTGCGCATTCATGGGAAACTGCCTCAAACTGCCTCGCCCGCTGATACGCTACGTTCTGCACCCAAGAATCCAGGAAGACCTATGAGATAGCCGTAGGAAAGAAAATTTCTCCATACACTTGACCGTAGGTTTCGAATTAAGCTGCGAAAGCACGCCGTCTTGTGGGCAACTGCAGTCGGTAGGTTTGCCAATGTGATAATGTTGGTACGGCACGTACGAACGGAAGAGTAGTGAACAAATGTTGGGCCAACACAGAGGTGTGGTGAAAATGCCTTCTTATCAACCCAGTCACGCACGTCGAGCCAGCCACGGAACTGCTGCATGTCATTTCGGGCCTGGACGCCCGGTCTAGCTGGTTAGTTTCAATCGGCACGAAATCTCGCACCCGTCACGGTCTCGGTGGTTCTGACTTTTTCATGGCTCGCCCAGATTGCGAGCGGATTATCAAGCCTTGAAGCGATCTCGTTGTACCTTTGCACATCGACACGGCGTCTTCTGGGTACTGGAAATGCGCCCGGCGTTCGCATCTTTCCTTTTTTCGGGCCCGTTCCCGGTTTAGAGTCCCCAAGCATATCCACGAGCACGGGAGCCGGGCGGACCCGACATAGGTTAAGACGAGCCTCGAAACCTTGTCAAGTGGCATTGTGTGACGGTGGCTGGTAGGCATCATTTCGAAGGTACCCAAGACTTCAATGTTACGTTTGGGGTGATGATAGGGTAGCTCTTCATCTAGTAATGGGATTGTGGGACGAGATGAGCTCATCTGATTGAGGCCCGCAGGTTGAACAAGAGGGAGGAGAAGTATGGGGATAAGGAGTTAAGCCAGGGTTAGTTACTAGAGTCAGGCATAGCAATCCCCAGTCACGAGGGAATAAGGTCAGTATGGGCTCACTTGGGCATCTACAAGCCCTGGAAGGTCATCATTGTTTGTATGCCGAGAACGGAGACGGCGGGGTGGTTGATGGCGCGTAGTACTGATGACTGTTAAGGAGGGGAGACTATCGAGATCTCTTAGGGGTTCAAACATATATGGGAGGCTAAGGAAACCGAGGAGATACGCAAGTTGTTGCTGGAAAATGACTACGACGGTATGAGGGCGCCCTTCGTTTTACAATTGCGAGTCAAAATGACCACCTGTCTACAATTTTCTAGGTCACTTGAAACAACGTAAGTTATTTCTGTTTTAACTCACCCTTTGTTTTCTAGTTCCCAATTCTCCGTCTTGACAACTACTTCTATACCAGCTTCGGAGTCTTCTGATCTTCCCCCAGTCAAACAATGTAAACCTGGCTCTCGTTCCCACTCAGTCTACATTTAATGAACCACTTCATCCATTCAGGCTTTACAAGTGTGGAATCCCGAGTAAGAAGAGGCTGAGCTCCTTGGAGTTCTTCCCATGATCCATTTGGATCTTCGAGGCCAAGGTAATCCCAGATACCCCTGATTCTAAACTTTTCATCGATCCAGTTGAAGAGTTGGTCAATGCCACGTTGCAAATTTCTGACGTGAGTGTCTTCTTCGTCCTCGGTGACACAGCCCGTCTCGCCTGCGGAATCAAGTTCGACCCAACCGTCTCCCACTTTCTTTTGCCAGTGACCTCCCAATTTTGTGTTCCGCAGTATTTTTGGATATCTGGTCTCACGGGTGAGATTCGTAGCGTAAAGACTCTTCACGGTGGCCCATTCGGCTGAACTGTACGTCAGCTCTATGTATCCGTCGACTGTCCTGGCCCGGTGATTGTCGGCTACCTGATCCTGTAAAAGTCGTTCCAGACTTGACCCGCAAACGATCAGCGGTATGATGGCGCTAAGAGGGGTGGCCTCGTTTCCCGGGAGGATCTGACAGAATTTAATGTTGTTTACTTTAAACATTTCTGACTTTTCGATTTCTTCGTCGAATCGATACAAGGGAGCATCCCAGTTGTGTTTGAGGACTGTGATGCTCACAGAAAGGCTGTCCTGGATGCTATCCAGGGTCATCTTTCTTTCCGAGAAATCGATAATATCTTCACAGCAGAACCGAACGTATCGCACACAAGCTATCAGTATGAAAGCTTGGCCGGATACTCTACGTAGGAAGACGTACGTAGGTACTTGTGGCTCCCCACCGCTATCCGTAGCGTCTGAGTCGAGTATATGTAGCTCATCTCCTTCAATCACCAGGTCTACTTGGTTGTCTTTGCTTGTGACGTACATGACGACAATAGGATACCCGAGGATGACTCTGTACAAAGGTCCAGGTCCAGGTCCAAACATCATCCATTCAAAACCCTGCGCTGCTTCGACTGTCGATACACCTTTTGATCGAACGGTGAACAACCTGGTTGTCCATATACACAGACTCCCCGTGTTAAGGTCGACGCTGGCCCGTTGATGCCAGGGTCTACTAGTAGTTGAAGTACCCACGGTGAATTCGAGGGACTGATAGCGGCCAAGAACAATTATACCACGGGTTTCCGACACGCGACTAGTTGGCTGTTGTGAAATTTTTTCAGCTATCCATTCCCAGCAGTCTTGCTTCTCAAACGGTGGCACCCACGACGGCAAACGTTTTGTTCCACTTTCACACATGGAGGTACATCGCGCAGCGAGGAGCAGGCTGATGTTGCGTCGAGTAACAAGATGGTGGGCAAAGACTCCCACAATCATGTGCTGGTAGGAGATGGAATAATCGGGGATGAGCTGATTGGCACCAGGCTCTCGCGGCAACAGACCCAATACCCCGTATAAGCTGTCGCGGGGGTCTGAGGCTTTTGAATGTGAGGTCAGAGTCATGATATCGAGCCAAGGTTGGCCATGGAGTCCCCCTTGGGCCAAGATTTTGAACCATGGCGCTGAAGTACTCTCCCAAGACCACTGTCGCTCCACCTCGGATGCATTACGGTCCCCTTCAATTTGCTTCAAGGTTAGGCTGTCTGCCCAAAACACTTTGTTCCCGAGGGGAACTAGTATGCGAGGAGACAGTATCAGCTCCTGTATCACCCAGACCCTGGAGAAGTATCGTCGCATGAGGAGCCTTTTCAATCCAACAGGCTCGGGACGTCCTTGTGTGTTTGGTTCTCGTGTCGGCGAGAACAGCTCTACTTGGGATCGAATAACGTCCAGCTCGTAAAGCGGATGTCGAGATGGCAGATCCGTTTGGTCATGGCTCACAACGTCTTCGCCGAGCCACAAGATGGTCCGGTTACACCTGGAGAAGATCCGTCCCATTTTGGAAACTTGATATGATTTCTCCTGGGGATGACCCTGGTTGATGCAGACAAAATCGACCCACACCAGCCTGCTCTCCCTCCAAGGTCGAAGATATCGAAGCACAGCTGCACAATTGCGAGTCGCAAAGAGGATATCCCAGTATTTACCGACGTAGATTGGACAGTTTCTATGGATTTAAGAATCAGCATTTAACAGATCTTTTGAAGTTCGTTTTCGCACGGTTTGATGAGCATACCGGCGGTTGTCGTCGTCTTCTCCCCCCCAAGTGTATGACAACGTATCATAATCAGGATGATGATCGTCTTGAAAGACCTCAAATGACAGATGAACAGGGTAGTCCTTTGATCCACTTGGGACTGAAGTCAGACAAGCCAAGCGGATTTCGTCTTGAGCCAGGGCTTTCGTGTAGATCGTGTCATACGAAGACGGGTCACTGTTGGGCAATGGGTTTGAACGTTTGACACCGGATTCCGTCGACGGTTGTTTCCCGGTCTTCAGATCGTCGATCAACGTGTCAAGCAAAAATGGGGTTGATGTGTACGGTACGGAAGGAGGCCACCATAAATTAAGTCGGCCCATGGGCTCATCCGGGGGGACTGGGGGCAGATCAAGCTGTTTCTTGTTTTGGGGACGCCGTTGTAGGAGCTTGTGAGCAGACAGCCTACAGCTCCTGCAATGGGGCACGCCATCATCCTTGACATAGATGTCGGGGATAGAGCAACGTTCCGAGTGCCAACGGCTTATTTTTTGGGCAGGATGCAAGGCCAGTATGGTCAAAATAGCGGCGGTTTGAAGACGGTGCGAACGGACACGATTTTGTAAAGAGAAGAAAGGCAAGACAACACCCCAAACACACAGAAACCTATTTCCGTTGCATCTCAAGAAGATGAGGCGAGGACGCGCAGCGGGGTAGCGTCAGCCTTGAGATATAAGCCACTGCAGCTCACGCATGTGGAGGGTGCCTCGCGCATGCAGGTGCCCCCAAGCCGGCCTGCCTCTGGCTGGCTGGAATGGCAGGACCAATGGATTTTGTCGATGCCGGTCTTCTCACTGCAAACTCGATGGCTCTTGTTATGGGACCCCTTGTCACGTCTTAGAATCAGCCGCACCGACTAGGCTGACAGTGTATAACGCAGAGAAAGCAAAACAAGAAACTGTATTCATGGCTCTGATGGTATCCGCTATGCTATAAGAAAGGGACCTAAGACGAAATGCGAGATTTTGTGGAGTGGGTATCCTGCTGTTTTCTCCAAACACCATTGCTATGCTATGCTTCAGCCGTAACCGTACGGTACTCGATAACTTTTGTGGCTTCATCACTCGTTCATATCTCTTGAGTCATCACGCATAAAAGACGAGGTGTAAAAATAAAGTCTGAGTAGGGTCATCGCCGCAACGGCGTGCCCACGGGGGTGCTGTAAGCGGAGCGGTCGAAACTCTTGTGCTTGGAGCGTTTCCGTTTGAGGTCGGACCAGTCAGCCTTCCAGTTCTGAATGCTCTGGGCGAGATCGGGATCAACGTCGGTTGGACACTGCACTTCTATGGCCTTGAGGCCGAGGCGGAGGTAGGTGAGTTCGGAGTCGTTTTCTTGGAGTTCTTCCTCCCTGCGATGAGTTAGTATGAAGGGGTATGGCTGCTTTGCAAGCGAGTTTAGAAACGTACAAGTCTCGTACTCGTCCTTGGAGGAAAATGATCCTTTGTGCTGCGCGTTCTGCGCGGGTTACAAGAAGTTGGTGTATGTGCTGCAAACTCATCAGTTCATGTCTTCCGAGTGAGTCGTTCTCATGTCTCACCTCTGATTCCTCCTGCCGGGCCTTGAGATTTGTGACGAGGGTTTCCAGTTCGGAATTGAGCTTTGCTGCTTCAGATGCGATGCGGAAAGTATCGACGGCAGGCTTCTTCTCAACGGTAGGTTCCGGTGAGGGCGTGTCCCGTCTGAAGGAGCTCCGGAATGAGGGTGAGATTTCCGAGAGGCCGGATCGAAACCATGAGGGCGAGGGTGAGGTCCATAAGGATTCGTGATCGACACTCTGAGAGTCCATGGGCCACGTTTTTGGCTTGTTTTGAGGCGTAGCTTGAGGCGGCTCTCCCGCTAGAACTGACTCTATTTCATCGAGCTTTCCGTGCATGGCGCTAATATTGGTGTCAGGGACATCTTCACCCGCAAGCAGCTTTTGCGTCAAGTCGTTGAGTCGCTGGATGAGGCCAAGCGTGTCTCGGGTGTTCTCGTTCGTGTTGTCGTTTGAATGAGCAGATGCGGTAAGGTCATCCTCGGTCCACGAGCGTGCCAGAGGGCTCTTGGCCACGGGCGTTGAGAACTGCAGACCAGGCGTAGAAAAATGTTGGCGGGGAGGCGGTGACAGAGGTGAGAAGCCCCGATAGCTCATTGGCGAAGGAAGAGGAGGCGTTGAAACTTGCGGTGATGAGGCGTGCGGCGTTACCGGAGTCGATTTGCCAGAATGACTCCTCATGCGGCGCAAGCCTTTGCATGGGCTGTTGTCGTCTTCATGGTCATTCAGATCGAGAAAACGTAGGCCCAGCCCCGAATCCGACCTGCCGTCTGACATTGCTGGTCATTGAAGAGGTATGTAGGTAGTGTTTAGGGCGGCGGCCGGCCAACCAGAAAAAAACCGGGTCTTTGCCCTCTCCCGTTCTCCTCCTTTTTTTTTTTGGTCTCTCAATGGTATGGGAGACGCGACGCAAAGGCGAGCGAGCTGCCGGCTTAGGGTCGAGGCACTGCGACGAGTCGACTCTGCATGCACGGGACGAAAGCGTACGGGTACAGAGTACAGCGTAAGAAGCTAGTGGGAGGTAGTATTTCCGAGGACGATCCGATAGCGACGTTGTGTTCAATGAATGGGAATTTTGGGCTTCAGCTGCAGGAAGTCGGGCGCTGTTTGGTTGAAAGAAAGCCAACCAATTGGCGATGCATCGAGTCTTGTCTTTGGCGCGTTCTCGACGCGGTGAGATGGGTTAGGAGGAGGCTGGTGAAGGCTGGTGTCTGGACAGGGTGGGTGGGGGGATTCGGGGGGCTTGAAGAATTGTGGCGCCTTGCATGTGACCACAGGGGTCAAGCTGGAACTCGCGAAGCTGCCCAGCTGTGAGCACACGGATAATCCAAGGGCCATCGATGGAGGGGGGGGACTGAGGCGAGTGTCGTGAGGTGAGGACGGGACCGGGATGCATTTGGGGGCGGGGGCGGTCTGAGCGGCTGCTGCTGCTGCTGCGCAGTGCCAGTGCAGCCCGGCATGTTTGTTGCAATGTGGGGGAAGAAGGCGGCACGGGTGACGGCGCTGCTTGCTCTCTCTCGGCTACGAGGAAGGAAACGACGCTGGAGTAGAGGCCCCCTCCGCCGCGGCTGACCGTCGTCGCGTGCTGTCGAAGAAATGATAGTGAGCGAGGTACCTACTGACAGCCAGACCCGTTCCTTTCCGCCGTCCGTCTCATCGTCACATGTCGGCATACAATTGTGTCTGTGGACCGAAGGCTTTTTTGAATTTCCTCTTTTCACGTTCGACTCTTAGCCTGTCTTGCTCTCTCCAGGGGTTTCACGAGACCACGGTTGGGAACTAGAATAGTGCCTCTTATCATCACCTCCGTGGTCGAGATATCTGCCAACCATCCGATTGTACCATATGGCTGCCAAGAATCTCCTGATGGTTTCACCCGTTCACCCTGTCCATGAAACCACTAAAGTTTACATCAGAAATCCGACCCGCCAAAAGCCCGTATTACCAAGTGACTGGCATGGCTGTGGAAATTCGCACCTCGGTATGAACAACTGCGAGCTGTGCTTCACGGCCGCTGCCGACGGGAAACTCTTTGGAAGCGCACCTCTGTAGTCGGCTAAGAGCGCCTCGGGGGGGTACTTGTCGCGCTATCATCGAACGATGCGGCCTATGACGCCGAGTCGGGCAAGGTACGAGCGTACCATTGCCGGTTGTAGCCCGCCCAGAGCACCAGGAACTCTCCCCACTGAGGAGCCTGGCCCGGGCTTGTTCCTGTCGTCCCCCGGCAAACCCAAGCTCTCGCCTTCTTCAGGGCCTAACTTGACTCCTACTCCATCATTGCCAGAAATAAACCTAGACGAAACACCTCCCCCACGATTGCACGCGACCTTCGTCCTGCCTCCCATTGACCATGCAGCAGTAGATCTGTTTTTGTTCTTTATCTCACCTCGCAATTTCACGACGCCTCTCCCTCTGCTGTTCCGCTCGCTTGTGTCCTGTTCCATGTTGCCCTGCGTCATACAGCCTCGGTAAAGGCCGTCCCCAACTCGGTCACGCGGGGTTGATTCGATCCGAATACATCACCAAATAGTCGAAACTAGATTCCTAGTCGCCCAACATGTCGTGGAAGAAGACGGACAGGTTGATGGACACCATCAAGCATTACGCCAGTTTCCCGGCAACTGGCGTGAGTTTGAGGCAAATGGTGCAGTTTGGAGAGAAGCCTTCTGTCGGTTCGTCTATCCTTCCCAGCTCCCCTCGCCCGACCAGCGCCCTGGCTTTGTAGCCTTCTTGCCCTCCCGACGCATCTATTCTTGACGGCGTGATGCGTCAATTGGCGCAGTTTCCATCTTTCGAGTTTTCCGGCCTCGATGCTGACTCTGATCTTTGTTCTCAGGAACCCTCTTCCGTGCCTCACAATTCCTCGCCGAGGAGCTGCCAATTCGCCTGGCCCATCGCGTACAAGAACTCAATGAGCTTCCAGACGGCCTCAATGACATGCCCTCCGTGAAGCGCGTGCAGGATTGGTACGCACAGTCGTTCGAGGTACGTCCGGGCAGTGTTCTATCGCATAACGCATGACAGACATGACTCACTGACGCTTGCCCGTCCGCGCAGGAACTCACACAACTCCCGCGACCTGATCTAGATAGAAGCACCAAAGAAAGGCTGATGAAGCCGGCCAAGTCGTATGGCAAAGGCTCAATGCTCTCCGAGGCGACGCGAAACCCGAGTATCGAAGAAGGCCAATATGCATCCCTCCCCCAGTCCAACGGAAACGGCTGGAGTAAACAGAAGAACATCGCCGCACGGCGGTACTTCGCCATGGTGGACGACACGGGCGATTGGCCGGCCGAGCTCCGACTGTACAACGAACGGTTCGCAAAGGCCCTGCACGGCATCAAGAGGCGTCACGACGGAGTCGTCACCACCATGGCGCAGGGTATCTTGGAGTACAAGCGCAAGAGACAGCGCATGCAGATCGACAACAACATCCAGTCGTTCCTCGACCGGTTTTACATGTCGCGCATAGGAATCCGCATGCTCATCGGTCAACACATTGCCCTGACCGACCAAAGTCATCACCGCGACCCGTCCTACGTCGGTATCATCTGCACCAAGACCAACGTCCAGGACCTTGCGCAGGAGGCTATTGAGAACGCGCGCTTTGTCTGCGAAGACCACTACGGGCTTTTCGAGGCGCCCAAAATCCAGCTTGTCTGCAACCCCAACATCAACTTCATGTATGTTCCCGGGCATCTGTCGCACATGCTGTTCGAGACTCTCAAGAACTCCCTTCGAGCCGTCGTCGAAACACACGGCCAAGACAAGCAGGAGTTCCCTGTGACCAAGGTCATTGTCGCTGAAGGCAAGGAGGATATTACCATCAAGATCTCAGACGAAGGTGGCGGCATTCCCAGAAGCTCGATTCCCCTTGTTTGGACCTACATGTATACTACCGTGGACCGGACACCGAATCTGGACCCGGACTTCGATAAGAGCGATTTCAAGGCGCCAATGGCCGGTTTTGGATACGGGCTGCCTATTTCGCGATTGTATGCGCGATACTTTGGCGGCGACTTGAAGCTTATCAGCATGGAAGGGTGAGTTCCGCGCGCCACCTCGGCTCGCTGTGTCCAATGTACAGACAGAAGTGCTGACTTTTCTCCCCAGGTATGGAACGGATGTTTACCTGCATCTCAACCGTCTGTCCAGCTCATCGGAACCTCTGCAATAGGGACCAGCAGTCATGAGGGATAGGAACGCTCGAGGATTGACGCTAGGATTGAGGTATACACTGCATAAAAGGCTCAAGGATCGCGAGATCACGGAGCGTCGGCAGGTGGGAGACGCCCAGGAGATGATGAACCGGGGCAACGACCCCAATCCAGGATATTACAAGCGCGACAGCGACCTGTAAATGGGCCTATCTTGGAAAAAAGAAGAAATTATTAATCGCTGTTAAAGCCCAGCCACCGAGACTGTGTGCTCCCCCTCCCTCAAAAGCTGAACTCGTTTCTGGGACCGTTTCTGCCCAGTCGTCCATGTCTGGATCTTCTACAGTCCAAGAAAGGGGAGAAGTTGGGGGGAGGCACGTATAGTCGAGGTCGGCCAGGACACAGTCGAGCCCATTGTAAACCAGCATTGCGCTGGAATCATCTTTCGTAGTTTTATTGTCATGCTTATGAGCATCTCGGCGGCGGTTGCTGCAACGGGGGCACACGCACGCACACACACACACACACACCATTTCTGGGTATGGTTTGGGGGCTAATTTCAAAGAATCGCTCCGGTTGGGTAGGGTCTCGGGATTGCATACTCGGGCAAACCGCATCAACATCGAGACTGGATGGCGGTGGCGTCTTTTTGGTTTATTATGCCGCATGTTTCTCTAGTTAACTTGTTGCAATACATCATCGCTGCATACAAACTCGATTATGCCGCTCTCATCATGACCTGGTGAATTCTACATTTTCAATCGGTAGCTACTTCGTAGAGGAACGCTGATTCCCTCCCATTTCCCCCAGTTTCCCGCCACCCAGAACCCAGTACAAAGAGCAAAAAGAAGTTATCATCCCTACTGTATGTTCTTGTTCGCGTCGAAATCCCCCATCATACGAACAAGAGTAATGGGGAGCAAACGAGAGAGACTAGTAGAAGAAAGACGACGGGTTTCCACGGAGGCTTGCGAGTCACCGTAGGTGGCAGAGGTTTCTCGGATTGAGTTGCCAGTGATCCAATCAATGCCGTCAAGCAGCCCCAGCGGTGAGAGTGATACTCTACTCGTCATCGTCACTGTCGTCTTCGTCGTTGCCGTAAGGAACAATCATCTGTCGCTGCGGCATATTGCGTTGCAGTTCGCGATGTTCCTTCTCCGTAAGCTGCTTTCTATCGGCCTGCCGGTTCTGCATTCGAGTTAGCAGTCAGCGTTTCTTCAAAAGGTTTACAGTTGTCAACATACCCCAGCCCAAGTACCGCCAGTGGCTGGCTTCTTGGTGTTGATGGCATTTTGAGGGCGACTGATCGAGACGGCCTCAAGGCGGCTGTTCTCTAAGTTATGTGCACGACTACTCGAAGATCTAGCCATGCCACCAACTACCGAAGACTGTTCGGACTGTACGGTGGGAGTTTTGGACAACTGGTGTTTGTTGCCGTTGGAGTCCCAAGCGTTGTAAATCACACGACCACTTGTTTGACGTTGGGCGATCTGTGCCCGGCTGAACCACAGACTGCTTGTTCCCAACTCTTCCGGGGAGGGTTCTGTGGCGATTTTGGACATTGTCGATCCTATAGAGGGTCGACTAGATGTAACGCTTTCGGTGTCAAGGCGGGGCGGGACGATATCCTGTCTAGCATGGTTGATATCGAGGCCGGCGAACTTGAGGGAAGCAACGCCCGTCTCGTCGTCATCTAGTCCTGAAAGTCCATCTGTGCCGGTGATCGGGGCAAGGGGCTGTGTCGAGGTCAATAGATTGAACCGAGTCGAAGGATGGTTTTTCTTACTCGGTCATCTTGGAAATCGAAAATATCAGAAGGTTCTGTAGGGAGACGAGCCTCGAAGTCATCCATTTCCTCGAGGGGGTCAAGGTCAGTGTTCGGACCGGCCCAAGGGGCATAGCCAGGCTCTTGGGTATTGACCCAATGCTGGCATGCCTTGCAGATCTAAACACAGCATGCGTGAGAAACCTCAAGTCATACTCAGTGTCAAATTTTAAACTTACATTGACACCGTTGGTTCTGTTGTTTTTCGAGAACTTGTCAAGAACCAAAATCTGGTTGCAAGGCCCTTCGCATTGAATCTCCTTTACAGGCTCGCCCGTGTGAATGCGGCAGACCATTCCGGTATTGGCAGCATCGATCCGGACGCGGCGGTTCAGCTTGTCTTGCACAAGCTTCTGCTGCTTCTTCGAGAAGCTGGACCAAGGCTTCCACTCGCCGCCGGTCTTGCAGCGGAACCTGGCTTGTCAGTACGAACAGAGCCTAGGGCGCTACCTTCCTTGTGAACTTACATCTCAGGCGGCTTCTGACCGTCGTTATGAGAACTGTTGATATTGATTAGTATACGTAGATAGAGATGTTTCTTGAGTAACTTACCCGCTCGGGCGAGGAGCTATCGCTGACATTTTCGCGACTTGCGTAGATGATATGAGCGATTTAGATGAAGTGAGCAAATTTCCACCGCTCGAAAGGCTTTTGATGGAAGATTCAGAGTGGCGGTGGAGGAAACCCAGAGGATAAAAAGGTGTGAAGGTTAAAAAGGGAAAAAAAGGTCGGGGGAAATAGAAAGAAGAAGAGATGGAGGGCAGCTAGCCTCCGTGTAAGTCAAAGGAAGGTAGCCGCGGCTTTAAGATTCCCAGGTTGGAAGGAACGCTAAGGGGAAGAATAGGCTTGGAAAGAGTGTCAGAAAAGTTGTAGGGCGATACTGGTGAACAGTCTGACCCGCTCTCAGTCACAATGTAAGAAGAGGAGGTTGCTTGTGCGAAGCAGAAAAATCCTACCCGACGCGCGGGAAAGAGAACGGAGCCATCGATGTTGGTTTCGATTACCCAAATCTGGCTGCAACCCAAGGTTGCTGTTGAAATATAGTTACCGCTGGATACTGGATGGATTGCTTGCGAGGGGGGAGAGAAGGAAAGATTCGACTGGAAGCCGAGGGAGAAGGAACAGTTGTTTGCTAGCGTGCCTGCCTTTTACTCCCTTGCTCCTGCCTCGAATATGGGTAAGCCACAGGTCTATGGGTTATTCCTGTTGCAAGAGCGCATCAGCAGAGAACTATGGAATAAAATCATCCGGATACAGGTGACAGTAGATAGAACCAGTCTTGTGTTTTGCTATATTGATTGTTCTTTCTGATTTCTCGGTCGCTTTTGTCTTGTTTCTGCCGGCTTTGCTAATTCCCCTTCTATCTCTCTTCGTCCCTCTGATAGCCCATGCAACAGAAGCATAAGCATGAGGGAGGAGGCTGATGACAATATGAGAATAAAACATTGTGTCTTTCTTATCTTTTCCTTTCCCTCGTTGATTGCGGGATGCGAAACTGATGTCAGTAGAAGCTGCATCCCCACTCCGATGACTTCACTCACTAGAAAGTGGTCTCCCGGCGTTGTTGCGCCACAATTATGTCCCCGGGCCAAAGTTTATCGGGTATTCCTACCTCCCGGGTGAAGACATGGCCCCCATGGCGTCTGTCTTAGAAGAGTGTACTTGCTATACTAAGTAAGAAGCTCATCTGTGGTGGGGAGTGGCCGCGTCCTTTCGAGATCATATACTAAAACCCAACATCACGATGCCTTCACAGGGTTGGCGAAAAATGGAAACTTTGGATGAATACATGCCTGGTAATAAACACTAAAAACGCCGACCGTCTGCGGTCAACCCTTTGGATACGTGAGAGCTGTTGCCGAACGATCCCTTTTGACCAGGTCACCGTGTCCGGCGAAAACGCGGACGCCCGGACAAAGGTGTAGTCGGCCGCCATCCGGGCCAACTCCGCCAGGCCGTACCGACTTTGCGAAGAAAACGGCGCCCAACCGCACGAGAGCTTGGACACAACAGCCTGAATAAAACATAATACTTATGCATACGCCAGGGGGGGAGGGGGCTCTGGCAAGCTTGACCTGATGCATTGTTGTCCAGTCGACAAGTGGTGGGCTCTATTCTACATCCGGAGTGCCCACCGCACCGTCGGCGTCGTACGTATCGAGCAAGGGTTCGTCACCGCCCTGAAGAAATTCCACAGCTTCCAGAAGCGGAATCGAATCCCCACGCCCGGCCGGGGCGCTAGGCTCTTGCAGGGCAACGGGAGCTGCAGCAGACTTGCCGCTCGTGTCTTCAACAATAATTCGAACCTAGGCGAGGTTCATCACGAGGCCCCAATCTCCTGCGCAGGGCCAATGAGGCTCGCGTAACGGCAAGCTGAGGAGATCGTCCTAAACCACTGCTCACTCTGTCGATGCCGTTGCCCCAGCAGGGACGTTGCCCCTTCTGCCCAACCTCATATCTCGGTCTTCCGGACCAGGGGCAAGAATCATCTGTGCCGGCCACTCGCGGCGGCTCCGGATCGGCGGTTCCAGCTTCGTGGGAAGAGACTGACCGGAGAGTCAGACAGACGGCCGGCCCCCCCCTACATGTCGTACTATGTACTAGCATCCTCCAACGTCTGGGCTAGGGTGTTCCAGAAGTATCAGCAGCACGTAGCGAGCGTGCGCGGACAAGGAGGGAAATTTTCCGTTGCCTGGGGCTCTCGGAAAGGGTGAAGAGGGTACTATCGCAGCATGCAGCAGAGAGGGTGTCAGAACTCTAGTCCGCGCACGCATATGCATCGACGGCAGCACGACATCGTGATCTCCGCCCCCGAGTCAAGCCAAGGATCGATAGAGGCCTCAGCTTGCAGCTGGGAGATGTCGATATCCACCGACGGCAATATCACATTCTGATCTGTCGCTCTTCCTCAAACCTTTCCGAGATTGTGAAATGACTTGTTTTTCTTTTCTCGTGTGGGAAGCGAAGAGCTATCGCGGGCGGAGGTTCCCGTCCCGTCTGCGCAGCTCCCAAGAAATGATCGCCATACTCACCCCTCCGCCTCATTGAATCCTGAGCCGCATCAGAGCCACTGCAATATTGCCTTCATACAACCTGGGATAGCAAGTGCGGAAGGTACTATGTAGATTCACGCAATCACAACAGAGGGACTAGAAACGACATGGGTTCACCACCTCGCCCCGAACCCACACCGATGTGCAGCTAAGAGCTTCTGGAAAAGCCGTCTGTTGCGGACCCAAATGCAAGTTCAAGGTTGTGTCGCTCCCACGAGACAATTCGCACGTCCCCGTCAACGGGAGGGAAATAGGGGTTGGAAGCTGGAAACACGCCAGCATCAAAAGACCCAAGACAACAATAATCCACGACCACGAGGGGGCCCTGGCAGCCCAGTACCCGTGCGAGAAACCCCCCCCCCCCCCCCCCCTGTAATGGCGGTATTCGAGATTAGCAGCCCCCAACTATCGAGAACGAGAAACATGCCTAGCTTCATGTTGCATCACCGCGGCACAACGCCCCGCGGTCTAGAGGAGGGGGTCTCACAGCAATAATCCATCATATCTGGTTCCATGCTCACTGTTCGCCATGGTAATGCAGCCATGCACTGCTGTTCAGGTAGGCTCCAGTCCAACCAACTGAAAACGGCCCACGGTCCTACTAGCGATACGACTCCCAGCCGCAAAGTACCCTGAATCCAATTTTGGGGTGAGACCGGAATCCCGGCCAAACCTTAGCAGATTCATGCTGGCCAGCCAGCAGTTGCGTGGAGGGCGGCTGCGGCTTTGCTGGGCAATTTGCCAGCATAGTTATCGCCCATTCGGCGGGGTTTGGCGGCCCGGTCACAAACCCATCGGCGAAGAAATACCACCAATCGACTGGCGGACGGCGCGGCTTTTTGCCTGGTCTATGCCACCAAGGGTCCGACCTCGAGGAAGCAGCATAAACCTATGTGCAGACCCCTAACATGAACCCCAGCGGAGGCGGCGCGTCAAACCTGCTAGGTGTGTGTGCGTGCACGCATGGCAGAGGAGATCAAGCAAACCCCATTGTTTGAACGAGGCGGCCTGCAATAGCCCCCCTACCTGACGGTTTATTGGACTTGGCTTTCCAAGTGAATAGGGTGCATCTAGCGCAGGGAAAAGGGGATCGCCCGTCCGTCCTGAAGAGCGCCGTGGGGCATACGATTGGGGGGCTACGGTGGAGCGACAAAGTGAGATGTTGCCGCCGCCAACGGGGAAATCTGTCCGGACGCTCATCAGTTGCTTCCTGCACTGGCCACTGGCCACGAGATTTTCCCTCTCTGGGTTTCTCTCTCATCTCACGGAAACGTCCAGTACCAGTGGGCGGCTGGGCAGGGTGAAGGAAGATTTGAATCCTTTGGCCCCTCAAAACGGATCCCGACCTGGCTGGCACGGGCTCTCTTTTCTCACAGAAACCACGACCCCACCAGCTGTCATTCCAAATGGACGCCGCGTCGAACCGCGGATGTGCCGGTTGGGTCGGCCACCGTGGGACCATGGTGTTTAGCCAAGCCAGACCGGGCCCCCGGTCCTCTCTCGTGTGTCTGTGTGGAGAGTACCCGTTCACGGCCGATGGAGCGAGTTTTTGCTTCAAGGGCCCCCTAGGATGACTGGACCATGGTGGTTGGGATATGAGTCGCGGCGGGCTGGCGGGAGACAGCCGTGCGAGGGCTTGACCGGCTTGTAACCTAACCAATAATGGGAACGCGAGGAGCAACGCTCCGATCTCTCTTGATACAAGTATCGGTGAAGACGGTGGATCGTTTCACGGTTACGTCCACCGTCTGGCGCCGTCTTGTGGATGGAGACCGTTGATGCCGACTTGGGAGGCCTGCGCCCCAAGATTACTAGTGCCAAAAGGCATAAAATGAGCCGGGGACCACTCGGTATCGGTAGAGAATGCACCAGTTATGCCGTTCGCCAACGGCATATGGAGTTAAACGGGTTATTTACAGTTGTGCAGACCCGTTTCACATACCCCAGGCCCGTCAATGCCATTATCGAGTACATTTTAACGTCCACTAAGTCAGTAGGCAGGTTCAACGACAAAAAAATGGTTAGTTCTTGTCGGCTGTTCTATGGGCTATGTGCAGGATGTTCGAGACGAATCCTATGGATGTATTGCCACACACCTCCAATCAGTCGAGTACCAAGACTGAGTACCCAACTCCCGAACTGAGGGGGAAAAAACCTCAGATATGAATGCAAATGTGATTTGAATGCCAATTCTCCGCAACGCCTCACCTGAGTTTAGTTTTCTGTATATCACCGCTTTCTCTTTTCTCGACGGACGCGCAAGCATCATGCAAGTTATCTAGTTCTCGGGGTCAGCTGCCACGTTGTGGATGCTGTGGTCCGTCAGTCAGTCAACGTATCCTGCTCATTATCTCTGAAGAAGAGCGCATACCCGATATCCGCACCGGTTCCCGGCGGAGACTGCATTTCAGATCGCGACCGTGCCACCAGGCCGTTTGTCTTGATGGTTTTGGCAGCCGGGCCAGAATCTGCAGAGCCCTGAGCCACGGGGCCACTGCTGGCAACGACAGCCTTGCGCTTCTTGCCACTGTTGCGGGCCTCGTAAAGCCGCTCGAAGTAGCCTTCGGGGATGGAGGTGACGTAGCAGCCGCTGAAAACGCCAACCTCAAAAGTCTGGGTCTTAGGGTCGCGGGGTGAGAGCTCGGCACACGAAGCCGCAAGGTCTTCAAGAGTCTGGTAAATGACTTCGTCGGCGCCGATGTGCTCGGCGATTTCAGAGTTCGAGCGACCGTGGGCAATGAGCTCGTTGGGCGTCGCGAGATCAATACCGTACACGTGGGGGTTCAAAACGGCCGGACTACAGCTGCTGAAGATTACCTTCTTGGCGCCAGCCTCCCGTGCCATGTTGACGATCTCTCGACTCGTCGTACCCTGCTCAGATGTTAGTAAGCTTGCCTACTTTTGAAGGTGGCTGTGAACATACTCGAACAATGCTGTCGTCGACCAAGAGCACCGTCTTGCCCTTGAATTCAGTGTCGATCGTACTGAGCTTGCGACGGACACCCTGCTTGCGGGAGCTTTGGGTAGGCATAATGAATGTGCTTCACGCGGCAGAGTCAGTATTACGGTTTCTGGAAGCACGCTGCACAAAGCAAGATAAACTTACCGGAAGACATAGCGGTTCTTGACAAAGCCCATAGAGTACGGCTTCTTGAGCCGCTCTGCCAGGGCTGCGGCAGCCGTGTTGGAAGTCTCAGGGATAGGAATGACAACATCAATGTCCTTGACAGCTTCTTCGCCCAGCGTTGCAATGATGTTGTCGGCCAACTTTACACCCTGCAAATTACGGGATTCATGGACGCTAATACCGTCGATGGTCGTGTCCGGACGTGCAAAGTAGACTAGCGTTGCGCTTGTCAGCATCTCCGGCCAGCGGCAACAGGAAAGTCTGTAAACTCACCGTATTCAAAGATGTCAGGGCTATAAGACTCCATCTCCTGAATCTGTTTGAAGACTGGGGGGACCCGCGCTTGAACAAGACAGCCTGCCCAGGAAGGACGTCGGTGATGTTCGAGAAGCCAAGTTGCTTCAGCGCCACAGACTCAGATGCAAGCATGTAGTCCATAGCACCCTCAAGGGTGTGAGAGGGCCGGGAGCCCCAGACTAGGGTCGGATTCCGTTGGGGTCGCGGAATCCACACACGCCGTATCCAGCAAGCATGATGACTGAGGCCCAGGCTCCCTTGCAGCGCTTGTAGGTTCGTTCCAAGGCGCTGAACAGGTCATTCTCATTAACACGCGCCTTTCCGGTCTCGTTGAGTTCGTTAGCAAACACAGAGAGCATCAGCTCAGAGTCACTGCCGGTGTTAACGTGACGGTGCGCCTCATGGTCCAAGAATTCACGGAGCTCTTCAGCATTGATCAAGTTGCCGTTGTGGGATAAGCACACGCCGTACGGGCTGTTAACGTAGAAAGGCTGGGCTGGTTTTGTTAGTGCTTCCTGGATGACCGTGAATGAAAGTTGTGAAGCTCACCCTCGGCTCGTCTAACAAAAAGAGTCAGTAGGTATTCCTTATGGGTCCAGCAACATGGGAAGTTCCCCATGCTCAACTTAAGGATCGGGCCCATATCAACTAGGGAGACACTTACCCACTGCTTCCCCAGGTTGGGTAACGCAAGTGACCAATACCCATCCATCCAGGGAGGTCGATTACTCTCCTACCGTCATTGAAGACCTTAGACGCCATACCGGCGTCTTTGCAAGAGAAGATGCGCCCATGCTTCCTACTGCGGTTAGCACTCGATCTTCCGCCTCTAAAGATAGTCCAAAATTACGATGATGTTGCTATGCCGCAAGCATCTTGACCTCTGTGACAAGTTAGAACATACTCGTCGCTGAAGGACTCATTATACATTCCTGTGTTGCAGAAGGTACATGGCCTCATGCAACTCCTGCGCGGCATCGCAGGAGTCGTCCTCACGGTCCCAATGACCCAGACATATACCAATGATTCCACACATATTGTTGCGACTCTGGGGTTTGGCGTAGAGATTGGTAGTTTGGACAGAGGCTGGCAGAGCACGACCTTGACGCGCCTCGCAGAACTGATTGTTGGCGAGACTGGTATGGATAAAAGCGGATATGCTCTTTTAGTATCAGACTTGACAATCGATGCGCAAGTTGTAGTCGTCGGTGTTGGTGTCAATGTTCGAGATGGCTTCTGTCGTGGCGGGGTATCCGATGGCGGGGTATTTTTTTAGCAGGACGGGCAGGGTCCACGTTGGGGGTTTTCGCGCGCCTCGGAACAAGGGAGAATAGTCGGGAAACGGGAGGGATGCCTTAGGGACTTAGCGGTCCGATTCGACTCTGCGGCGGTGGGTGAAAGAAAGTTTGGCTCGTTTCTAGACGAGGGAACAATCCAGCTCCAAAAAGATGTCCGGAGAGGAACCGCGAAAAAAGAGCGCGACGTCGTCGGCAAGAGAAAAAAAATTCCTTCACGGGCACAAACTTCGGGAAGGGAAGAAGAAAAATTAGTGGGGCCGGTTGTCGGTGCTCCCAACAGTGCGGTAGGTGCGGCAGATGCGGTAGGTGTGGCAGGTGCAGCACGGATAAGGCTCCGTAGCAGCTGCCAGTGCTACTTTGGGGGCTGCGCTTATAGCTTGTCCGACCCATTCTTTGTTGGTTTTGTGTGAATAGCTTAGTTACCTTTGCTCGAGTGTTTTCTGACCTCTTTGCTGCTTCTGAGCACCGGTTCAACCGACGCATTCCGGAGGCGCGGGCAGTGAGGGATTGGCAGAAAAGGGCAGGTCCAGTGACGGTGGCCACGTGGTGCAGGCGTACTAAACCTGCAAAGATAAGCACAGTGACTGACAACCTTGAAGGGGTCTTGGAGCCCAGCCCGTCTGGCTGCATGCGGTGTAAGTTGGAGATAATAGACCACATGTTCGAAGCAGTTTAAGTGGCTGAAGGAGCATCTGAAATCTAGATGGAAGGTGCTGCTAATTCCTCGTGACATATATTTTCTATCCGTAGATGTCATCCTGTAGGACCGGGATACACCTTCTTCCCATTTCATTGTTTATCACAACCAAAGACTCTGATGCACCGACTACCGAATCTGGTCTTAGATCATTTTGCGGTCTCAGATCAAATGATGATTTTGAAGCTGTTGGGGGTTTTACATGTCCTCAGCGGAAGCATCTTTTATGGAGGAGACCTGGGAGGCACAATGTCTGGGAGGTACGTTCAGCCAACTGGTTTGGAGAGAGCCATGGTCTCCAGGCAAATTGATTGCGATTAGAATTGTAAGCAGCTGTGAAGAACCGAAGAGGATTGTAGGATGTCGAAGAGAGAAAAGACGCTTCGCTGCATCAGCCTTGACAGAGGTACAATAAACAGATGACGGGGAGAAATAGTAACACGGAATCCGTCCGCTTGTGTAGGCTCGGGCTGTTCAAGCTATCCTTATTATCGAGGAGCCCGGCTGGTGGACCTTCAAGATCGTCCTGCGATGTGATGTGTTTATGTTTATACAACCCGAGAGGGCCTTTATCGGGTGATGCAAATCGACCATATTACGCTTATGAGCATACATCACCTAAAGAAGATGCATAATTATGCATACAGATTTATGCGCATAGTGGGTCCATATCCAAGAAACCTGGTCGTCCGGGCGTGGTCTAACGGCACAGATTTGGTGGCTCTCTAATTGCCCCGACGGCGCGGTGCCCAACGTTTTCCATGGCCTGTCGATCGCCGACTCTCATCAAAGTCCCCTTCCCAGGATGATGGTCCCTCTCTGGTTGCTAATCAAAGGGAAGGCCCGAGGAATGGGAGGAGGGGGAGGGGGAGGGGGAGGGGAAGGGTGACGAGAAAGGATACTCGGTAGCGGGGGTTTGACAAACATCATTTCCCTGGGAAGCAGGCTAAAGAACGGGCTATTGACACCGAGAGCAAGGTGAGGTGACAATGGTGTGTGTCGCGTTGTTGAAGTGCTCGGTTGGTTTTCACAACTTTGTTTGCTTCATCGCCGCCGCGATCGTCTACCTCCGTGCCCCGAGTGTGCTGCCCTGGCCGCATTGAATTCTGGCTGGCACTTGGCATTTGAGTGGCAGACGTAGTGTAGTAAAGAAGCAGCGACGAATGGGTGCACGCAATTGCGCCCACGGCAAGGCGACAAACCATACCCCCTACCCAAGCAACCAAACGCCTGATAGTCTTTTGACTCCGTCCCAGCAGGAATCTCGCAAACTCTTGCAGACGGAGAGAGAGAAGCGGGTGGGGGCTGGTTGGGGATGGTTCACACGCCGACATGTTCCAGACGTTTTCCATGCAATGGGCCCGGGCAATATCGAACAGTCTCTCGGCAGGTTGCGGCGGATTGCAGTGTGCCATTCGGTTTGGTGCGCTCCACTGATTGTCTCGTTGCGACAAGCTGCTGGTTTGGAACATGCGGAAGGAGGGCCTTTTCCCGCTCCATGAGCTCCATGAGCTCCGTTGGTTGGCGCGGTCACCGGTGAGCCTTCCCAAAGTATCAATCACCCCCTGGGTTCCGGAATCCTGGCACACGTTCGCAGGCGAGAGGGACTGGAGTCAAGTGAGAGAAGGAGGGGAGGGGAGCTCCATCATCAGTTCCGGCTCCCCGTGTTCGGGACGAGCTTGATCGAGAGCTTCGAGGCACGCATCACGGATAGTAAACAGGGCTGTCGCTTCTTGGCGACCCCTTGTTGCCTCGGCCGGTCGAGTTGCACATTTAGCCTGTTGCCGGAGAAATTGTGTGTGATTCGACTCAGTTGCCTGGTATTTGGGAGAGAAGAAACCCAATAAAAAAGAAAAAAAAAAGCGAGTCATCATGTGCCGACAGTCCTTGCGTCCCCGGGGCTTCAATCAGGGAACAGCTGAAGGTTTGATTTCGCAGCTGCGTTACAACAACAGACTCGGGCACCTACAGAGTGACTTGGATGTCGCGGTAGCGGCGGTCGCTGCGCAAATGGCATGTCTTGGAAGCGATACCTTTCTTCTCTCGTGAACCAAGGCATTAGATGTATTTGCACTGCATCAGCGGCCGGCAGGCGACGGAGGAAGGTCCTGAGGTCCCCTTTCGCAGGTACACTACAATGCCAATGTAGCTCGTTGCCGTTTCCGGGCTAAACCGGGTATCCGATGCCCTTGCATCCTCCCCCTTTTGTGCCTAGGCAGTGCTGTCATGTCATCATCTAGTCTTTCTTTTGCCCTCTCGATCCCCTTTACCCGCAACCTTCCCGTTGTGTTTCATCATTTCTCCCGGGTCACATAAGTCAACACCAGTCTGCTGGGAACGCTGGGCTCGCCCGTCAGCTCATCAATTGGCAAATGGCCGGTGGGCTGCCTCCACGTTTTCTGCGCCCTTGTTGTTTTTTTCTTCTTGTTCCTAGTGTAGTCTTGTTCGTGACTTATGCCTGCGGTCCACACTGACGCGTTTTTTTGGCCACACCACCACGTCCGCAGCGACAATCCCAGCCTCCCCGCCGCAGCCCTCTCGAGAAAGAGTCAAGCTTGCGCTGGAGAAAAGGACGATCAATGACTTCAGTTTCGGCTGATGTCACTGCGTGTCCGGATATTGGGCATTACGTAGCAGCTCGCTTATGAATTGTCGGTATTTGCAGGATGATACAGCACTTGGCAGATTCACGCCTACGAAGATGCAGACCCGGATTTGCGCGCTCACATCCCCCCTCCTCCGGCGGCGTCACTGATACTCCGTCCTCATCTTTACCTGGGACAAATCAAACGCAGGTCGAGGCAGGAAAGCCTCTTCAGGGCCGTTCCGCAGGCCCCGGGCTATGGTAGCACTAGGTAAGGGGCAGGCAAAGTACGCCGGCGACTTGCAAGGGCACCACACAGCGGAGACCAATAAAGTAAGTGCTCCGCACCGCTGGCTTGTGGTGAAGCTTGAGGACGTTTGATTTTTCCTCTCGTCGCGTACCACCTAGCAGAGTGTGGGCAAGTTATATGAGATGCCGGCCAATGCTGAGGTTGCATCTGGTATTTAGGGCTCGATGGCGGAACATGAAACGACGAGAAACGCCTGCATAATCACAAGTCTGCAGGGTGCGTTTTCATTCCCCCCTCCCTCCCTCCACAGGACGACGACATTCGCAGATGTCAGGAGGCGCACCCGTACCCGCGCTGGCCGTATCGCATCGCATCGCATCGCACAAGCCAGGGGCAGCTCCTAGAGGTTCGACATCAGCAGTACCTCGATTCACAAGTGAGAGTTGCTTGACTGGGTCATCACGTCTCCCCCACACCACCGTTCGGATGCTTCCACTGGCCTTCTGTGCCCCTGGCATCTGGCATCTGGCATCCAATGATGCCGAAGGCACTGATGCGGCAGCTTCAGCAAGGCAATCCACCAATGCAAGGCGGGCCAGGTACCGAGTACCTCCTTCGTAGCCAAATAGGAAAGATGTGCTCTGGTACCTGAACATCCCAGCACCACCTTACATGTGGAAGGTCTGACGGCGTGATCGGACACACGGGCCTGGCACAAACGGCCCTAGTGGGCGTTTGCTTGTAGTATTTGGGGGCTTGTGCGAGCTATCCGGTAGGTACTACACCACCACCACGATCTATCGGCGGCGCTATATATGCACCAGGGTAGGCACATGGCCCTGTTTTGGTGTTCCGGGAAGGAGGTGATGCCAATCGAGGCATGAAGCCCAACGTTGCCAGTTAATTTTGGGCAGCCTTAACCTCTGGGGCCCCTAAAGTGGCGCTTCCCGGCCCCCGGGCTGATCTACAGGCTGGCGTGGACAATTTCCCATCGTCCCCTTGCTTCTTCCCTCTTTCGCACTCGTCTTGCCAGCTGGTGCCTTCTGGGCACCATTTAGGACTCTGGCCACTAATACGTGCGCCTAAGCAGATCCTATCAGGCTCGAAAGCCAGCCAGAATACATAGGGACGGTGGCTTTTGCCTGCTACATATTGGGGGGCGGGGGCGTTGCGGCGTTTTTTGGGCTCGATTTGGAGCTGCTGCAGGAGCTGTCTCCTGACACCAGGCAAAGAGCTCTCCATATATAGTAGCTCGTGCCGTGTTGCTCTGCTTTGAAAGATGAACCTATGCAACATCCCGGCCGTGGTTGGGTCGCGTCGATATCGCGTTGCGATATTCCCAGATGTAGTGGTACGTACCGCGGTTGCCAAACTTCGCAAAACAAGCGACGACGACCAAACAGATACGTACCTCAGGTACGTAGCCTTTGTCGGCCGGGCTCTCATTGCACCAGTGGCCAAACGGGCAGACTTGAAGCTGCATCCACTTTCCACCTTCCCCGAGGCTTCGGGACCCCCTTTTTTCGATATTTCTCTTGTTTTTGTGATGTGATGGTGATGCTTCAGTCCATCAACCACCAGAAACGCCGCCTTGAGCACGGTTTCACGGCGCGAGATGACAATTACCCAGATGGAGATGCTGAAGGACACACTGACATCCAATGGTCCTTTGCCCGATGGATGATACTACCACCACTACTAGATACTCTGTAGGACCGGGACCTGGACCCCTCTGATCATTGCCGCCATCGACGACCCTTTTTCCCCAGCCTGCACTAAGTACCATACCACGACACTAGCATTGGTGATGAGCAGCAAGCTTGCGGTACCTGGCCGGGTTCCCCTTTCTCCTGCTCTTCTTGTTGTGCAACAGTGGGGAACGCGTCTTCATGCGCCTGAACGGTCGAACAGCGGCCAACCTGACTCTGTTGATGGCCTCTTCCCTACCTGCCAACGCCTAACGCAGGAACATGGCCACTTTCTTTTTGCCTCCCCGTCCCCATTTTCTCCGGAGAACAGCAAGTCAAGGCATTCTCAATCTTTCAGCCCGTCCGAGCCGGGCTGAGCAGGTCATCCAGTGAGTGCCCCCACCCCGTTACCAATGTGCCGTCCGCATTGTTCCCCTCTTGGTCCCCTACCACGAGCGTTGCCAACTTCCCAGGGTCTCCCTCTCATGACCGTCAATCATAAAGGACGCCGGCCGACGCACCAGCATTCAGCACAGGCACTGGTACGTGTCACTACGAGACGAAAGAGACGCACACACGGGCATAAAAAAAAGGTACAAGAGTACAGGCATGTACTACAACAAGATGCCAGCCGATTCCTGGAGGGCATCATTCACCAGACGACGAAGGACCCCGGTCCCCCGTCCCCCCCGTTGGCCCTCCTTAGCACATATCCTCGAATAAGGCTGCAGGATTCCCATCGCGGAGCTCCATATCTGGACCTGGTTCCCCGTCATGCCCTGCCGGGCGGCGTGGCATTTGTGCATGCGCACACCGTCAGGAACGGCACCCGCGCTTTGCGTTGTGTCCGTTGTGTTTGGCCTGAGGTGTCATTGTACCGCCCGTATCTCTACTCTGTACGGACGCTGAGCGAGTGTCTGCGTCGCATCAAGGTACGGGTCCGCCCCCCCCCCCCCTTCCCCCAAAGTCCACGAATACACCAACTCAGCGTGCGATGTGCCTGTTCGGTTGTTGTGCTGGCATACCAAAACACAAACACACAGCACACACATATACAAAACAGGCACATTGCTTGCTGCGCTGCGCCGAGGTGCGCACACATTCATCCTGCACGCGCCTCGCGCCGAGACTCTCCAATCCAGACTTCCGTAGTAGTCCCAGTCGAGCCGGGTGGGCGTTTTGTCCAACGGCGTTGACGGCTTATCCCCCGTTTCCCTCCCCTGTCTGCATACCGTGCCCTACTTAACTGGTGGTCTGAGGCTTTGGCGGCACCAGTATATGCCTCAGGACGCAGCGCCGTCCATTCCTGCCGGTGTTGCTGATGCGTTGCCGATGGTATCTATCGCTGATGCTCATGACGCTGACCGTGTTGCTGCCGCTGGCTTGCATGTGCAGAGTCGCTTCGCACTGCCCGGGGTTGTTTTGACCTCTCACCGCGGATACCACTTTATCGCCGCCACTGGTGTCGCTAGCATTGGTGTCGGTGTCGCTGCCACGGCTCGCAGCAATCTGCAGCATGTCCCATGTCTATAGCTACCTCGTGGATTTGGATTCGTGGACAACTGACTTGAAGCGGACCGTACCATGCTCCATTGGGAAGCGAGCTCTGCGTTTCTGGGCCATCACTACCGACCGCCCCGGTCAGAGATGCTCAGTCAGGCTATGCCAGTTCATCAAGCATCGCCGCTGCCCCATCAACTCACGTCCCGTCTGTCTGGATTGGACCGGATTCGGAGGAGTCTGGAGAAGACCTACGCGGTGTGCATGCGCAACCCCCTCGTCTTCCCGTCCAACCGGTCAGTGTCGTCTGTCTGTCAAGTCGACATAGGCAGAAACAAAAACAAGAGACGGGTGTAAGCGCGAGGGAATTGATGGGAAGGAACAGACATATTAGACAGGCCGTGGCCCGTGACGGCGGGAAAGGAGAGGCCAACACCATCGACAGTCCACACGGGTAGGATTACAGTTCCCATGAACCAGTCCATCCCAGGGATCCAAGCGACAAGCCAACAGGCGCACCACCAAACCACCACAAACCAGAGACCAGACAAACCAGACACACCAGACACCAGACAACTGGACAGAAAGGAACGGAGAAGAAGAAAGTCTACGAGAAACCCTTGCAACAACGTCCGAACATAATCAAACCAAGCTCGACCCTGCTGCAACCCACCGTCATCTTCTTTTTTCCAACCTTGCCCTGTGTTCTCTGCTGAGGCAGGTACTCCCTCTCTCTACCTGTCTTTCCCACCGGGCGCCCGGTACCTCGCGCGCACACGTTCACACACAACATCCCCGTACCCGCAATACGCTTCTTCTTCCTCTGTTCTCTCCGGAGCAAGACAAGACAGGAGAGACAGAGAGAGACACACACACTCACTCACTCATACTCACAACCTTACCCTGGCATCCTACCCCTACCTCACCTAGGCTTTTTGACCCAGGTCCCAGGCTCCTCCTCTCACAGCAACTCACACCCCCCCCCCCCCATCCTCCCTTTCCCACCCCTCCAGCGCAAATTGGCCCGCCAGAGCAAAAGAGCAGAAGGGCAAGGGGGAACTCGAGAAAAAAAAAAAGCACGACTCCCCCCCTCCCCGAAATCATTAGCGAGATTGGGCCCCTATCACTGTGCCTTTCTCTCGACTACCTCTCACCCCCCAGATTCATTCATTCATGCTAAGAACGGGCCCCGGGCCCCCCTTCGACTCGACGGCATAGTGGCCGGTTCCTCGCTCCATTTTCTCATCCCCTCCTGGTCACCTCAATCAATTTCACTCTGCACTGCATTTTGCACCACGCTTTTGGCCCTGGCCCGAGTTACGCTGTACCGTCCAGTACCTGCGGGAGTACCTCCTGCTCCTCCGTCTCCGAGGCTTGCTGGCTCCATTACCCTCGTCCTCGCCCATCCCGACGCGCGGGTCCGCGGTGAATCACTCTGCTGGATCGTGTGGGTTTCTTCCCTCTCTCTCTCTCTCTCACACACACACGGAGCACACGCCTTCTCTCCTCCCCGTCCATCGACCCTCGTCACCCCCGTTCATTCCTGCTCTCCCTTTCCCTCGCTTCGCCTGCTTCTCCCCTCCTTCCACGTTCCCTGACCCTTCCACTCTCGTCCGTTTCTTCGTCCCTCATTTTTAACACTTGTATGCATCGCAGGTTCTCCCGCCCAGCAAAGCAGCTTAGCTATCCATTAAGCAAAGTAACGGTCAACTGCCGCCTGGTCCACGATTGCATTGCAATTCCATGCAACTACTTGACTGCACCCAAGCACAAGCATCGCAGACAGAGACGGACACACCACCACAACAAAACCACCCAGATATCGCCTCGTACGTTGATGCTCACAACACTCGCCTCCTCGTCTCCGCCGCCCACCTTTGCGTACTATCCGTCGCGCTGCTTCCCAAAGCGAACAAACCAACAAAACCTGGTCAACCGTCGCCCAACCCCCCCGTCCACTTCCCAGGATCGCTTCCTCATCATTGCAATCTCGACCCACGTACCCGAGAATATCGTGTACCTTCTGGATATCCACGTCTGAGGATCCATCCCCGATCGACTGGTTCTAGCTCCATTCCCACCCCCTGGACCCTTACCTGGCCCTTTTAATAATATCGACCACCTCCTGGCCTTTGCCCGTCCCCTCGTTGTCTCCTCTTCTTCATCTGGTTTCGCTCTCTTGGTCCATCCCAGCTCGCTCATTCACGCTTTTTTTCTATTTCCAACATCAACCGTTCCGACCCATTACAAGCGACAACATACGCACACCATTTTCCTTTACCTCAACTCTCATCACTTCTTCACCACCAACCACTACCACCACCCACCCATCACCGGTACCACAAAACGGCAGCACAAAACGGATAGCTCTCCAACCAGACCGGTCTGAATGCCACAGATTTCGCAAGCGGCTCTTACAAAGAGCTTTTAGTTCGGCACAGCATTGGTACGGTCCAGGCTCACACGCCTGACAAGCGGCCTTGACCAGCTGACCCGCCTCAGAAACACCGTCATCACGAGGATCTTGACTGGAATCAACGATCAAAACCCACCACAAAACCACACAAAATGACGGTCGCACACGACTTGACCCATAGAGGGTCCTCATCCCACTCTGCCAACAACATGGCTCTCGAAGATAGATTCGAGGTGCTCAAGGAAATCGGAGATGGTAGCTTTGGCAGTGTCGTTCTCGCCCGAGTCCGTAGCGCAGGTGCTAGTGTGGCCCGCCGCGGCACGGTGGTAAGTTCCTGCAGATCGTTCCCGCTGCATCACACCAAGCTTACCCAGGTGCATTTCTAGGTCGCTATCAAAACTATGAAGAAGACCTTTGAGTCCTTCACCCCGTGCTTAGAGCTTCGCGAGGTCGTCTTCCTCAAGACGCTTCCCAACCATGCCCATCTCGTCCCCGCCCTCGACATCTTCCTCGACCCCTACAGCAAGAAGCTTCACATCGCCATGGAGTACATGGAGGGCAACCTGTACCAGTTGATGAAGGCCCGGGACCACAAGTGTCTCGACAACGCCAGCGTCAAGAGCATCCTTTTCCAAATCATGCAAGGTCTCGAGCACATTCACGCACACCACTTTTTCCATCGCGATATCAAGCCCGAGAACATCCTCGTCTCCACCTCTGCCCACCAGGACGCCGTTACGTCTTTCCGCAGGTACTCGGCCCTGGTCACCCCTCCCTCCACGCCTCCGAATTACACCGTCAAGATTGCCGACTTTGGCCTCGCCCGCGAAACGCACTCGAAGTTGCCCTACACGACGTACGTTTCGACGAGATGGTACCGTGCACCCGAGGTGCTTCTCCGTGCCGGCGAGTATTCGGCCCCGGTCGACATTTGGGCTGTCGGTGCCATGGCAGTCGAAATCGCCACCCTCAAGCCACTCTTCCCCGGCGGAAATGAGGTTGACCAAGTTTGGAGAGTCTGCGAGATCATGGGAAGCCCCGGCAACTGGTACAACAAGTCGGGCGGTCGCGTTGGCGGCGGCGAATGGAAGGATGGTACCAGGCTGGCCGGCAAGCTCGGCTTCTCGTTCCCCAAGATGGCGCCCCATGCCATGGACACGATTTTGCAACAACCACAGTGGCCCGCTGCACTGAGCCATTTCGTTACGTGGTGCCTGATGTGGGACCCCAAGGCTCGCCCGACCTCAACCCAGGCAATTGCCCACGAGTACTTTGCGGATGCTGTGGATCCTCTGAGGCCGAAGTCTTCGGCTTCGAGAATCCTGGGCCGCAAGCAGTCTGATCTTAGCCGCGCCAACAACTCCAATTCTTCTACTCCCACGTCGTCCAAGCCGTCTTGGTTCAGAAAATCCCTTATCGGTCGCTCGGAAAGCGCAGAAGTTGCCGTCCCCCAGTCGATCTCCAAGGAATCGACCCCGAGACCTTCCCCCGTTCCTTCGCAGACGACGAACGAGGTACCCGTTGCCAAGACACGTCCTGCTCAGTCGAAGCGCACGACGTGGACAAATGGCCCGTCCAACGTCGCCCCTATGCCGATACTTCCGACGATCCGTCCCATTTCTCCGCTGTCCGATGCCGTGACCGCCGAGGCAAGAAACGGCGTCACCTACAACGACTCGTACGCCAACGGTCGGCACCGGACTGTTCAGATCGATGAGAAGAAGAAGATTGGCAGGCAATTGTCGGTTGCCTCGAGCACTAACAACTATGCGGAGATTCACCGCCAGCAGGCCGAGAGAGCTCTCAACGGCAACGGCGGCCTCGCATCGCCTCCCAACGGTCACAAGGAAAGCTTCTTTTCACACCTGCGGAAACGTGCTCGTCGCTTCTCGGGCAGGCATCAAGCCCCCATGTCTCCCAATTCGGACGATGTCGAGGCCCAAGCTGGCTGCGGCCCTTGGAACAGCAACAGATCATCCATGGTGATGGACAACGCACCTACTCCCCCGCCGAAGCCTACCGAGATCTACGAGCCGCTCGACAAGGCTCTGAGAGACATTCAGCAGAACCAAGACCAGGCCCCTGTTCCTCCCGCACACCTCATTACCCCCAGTAGCACCCTGAAGAGGCACCATTCCCTGCCGCAGCATCAGCCGCGGTCGGTCGACAACCTGATGGTGGCTGCACGAGGAACCGGACCGATCTCGAGCCGGACCCGACGTCAAGGTGTCCAGCACTACGATGCACCCGACGAAGAGGACGAGCTGCTTGACGAGGTTCTCCACTCGACTCACCGCGCCATGAACCGCCTCGAGAAGGACGGAAAGCCCGGTCTGCGCCAGTCTGCCAGCAATGTCGGCTTGGCGAACCCGTACCCGACCCCGTCCCCATCGGCCAACGGCAACTCGGTGCTTTTCGGTGACAACCACGAAGCCGTCACGCCCAAGCCTCTGAATCTTCAGAAGTCCCACGGCGCCGAGAGCCAGTACAAGTGGCCCACGCCCCCGTACGAGGAGAGCGAATGGGCTGCTTCGGCGTCTGCCAGTATCTGGGCGGCTAGCAACCGGTTCTAAGGCGGCGCCGCCAAAGTTTCTTGTGTCTTCACATGCATGGGCCTGGTGTTTTCTTTTTGGCGTTTGCCGGTGTACCAACGTCTTCCAGATGGAGGCGATTTTCATTCCGGATCTCGGTTTTCTTTTGCCCATGTATCTGGGGCAGGGTGGCATTTCGATTATTCTACGATATCTTCGATACCACAGGGCGGCACACTTTTCCGCCATCGCGCATATTTATTTCTGCTTCTTTTTTTTCTTTTTCATCGACTCATCTGTTTCGAAATACCCGATACTATAGACTGGAAGGGCTGCCAAAGGCGACCTCTACCAAAGACAACATTTCCTTTGTTTCTGGGGCTCACACGGGCAAGGAGTGGCGGTCTCCCAATCTGGAAGAAAAAGAACGCGGTTCAATAGGGATTGGGGGAAAAGACGAGGGGTTCAACTATGGTCGCACAATTCTGTACACGGAAGGACAAGGACACACGATTTTCTAGATTCTCTGCGGGCTGGACACGTCAGACGACTCATGGAAAGCCATGTTGTGGCCAATGGATGCCCCAATGGATAGTTTGTCATATATGGACCGCGGAGAAACACAAATGGTATACATATGGGCAACCCTGTCAAAGCTACTCGGCATTGCTGAGTCCCGCGTTTGTGTCTTTACAATCGCGCGGAAACCATCATTTATTATCTGGTTTGAGGACGAGGTGGGATAAAAGTAAATATTCGGGAAGGGGAGTAGGGGAACTGTACGTAGGGGGACGATCTTTGGAGTCCTGCTATACCCATACTACATAATAATAGGTGACATCCTAGTGATGCACACTGGTCACAAACCACATTTACGGCCTCTCCCTTTTTTTTTTATCTTTGTGAGAATTGCGTGGAATGAATCGTGGAAACATCTTTGTCTGATCTTCGTAGCCGGTGGCAGAGGCAAGAGCTTCCAATTGACTCTTGGCCTAACACTTCAGACGGTTTAGACACGCGAGCGAGCGCGGGTGTGGCTTGGACGCCTCTCCCACGCCCGGTGGTCCGTACCGGTAGCGTGCTGAGCGTTGGCAGTTGTTGTACCTTGCGGTGCCAGAGAGGCGGAGTTGGGGTGTGGGTGGGGTGGGGGACGCCGCGAACGGGTTTGGCTGCGGCGTGCTGACAGGGCCAGCGCCACACAAGAGGTTCGGACGGAAGTGGTGTGCTTACTAGACACACGCGCTTGGGGGGAGCCAATCGATCTGGACAGGGCGGGTTACGCATGCAACGTAGCTTGCTACGGTGCGGTGCGAGCAAAGGTGGCCAGGCACACGACAGACGAGAGACGAGGCGAGTCAGGATCTGGGGTTGCTTTTGCTGCGGCCGGCCGGGTCTTTGGGGGCCGGAGGATGGGGCGGGTCTGCGGCGCGGGTGGGAGATGCCGGGGGGCGCAGGTGCTCGGGAGGGACTGCGGCTGGTATTCGTTTTGTCTGGTCGTTTGGCCAGGGACTTTGATCTTCATGGCTGACTTTGTCTGGTTGACTGTGGGTTGGGCGGGCGCGAGCGTGGGATGCCTGGATGTTTCTGGTCAGCCGTGGAGGGGGTTTCGACGCTTGGTCGTCGATTCTGGGGGATCATTGGGTGAGATTAACCCACGGGGACCTCCTAGGTACTCGTTGGATTTTGGTTGCTTCTCGGGCTGTGTGATTGTTAGGTTGGATGACGGCGGGTGGACTGGTCTTTTTTGGGGGGGGGGTCTCAGGTATCCAGGCGACGGCTCGTCCCGGAATGCAATCGGCTCAAGAAACTCTGCATCACGAGGCGACGGCAGAATGAAGCCGGCGCCAGCTTTCCGTCGGTAGAGGGAAGCCCAGAGACATTGTCTTTCGAGTGTTGACGACAGCATGGGCCCATTGAGGGTTTGGATTCGTGGGGCGTGGTGTTGGTTCGTGGCGATGCGATTCGTTAACAGCCCGGCAACATTCTTCGCTGCCACCAGTGTCTCGCGTCTCTCGGAATAAACAGACACGTACTGAATCACATTGCTTACCGGAGAAGGCCCATTTGTTTGACAGGCACACACCTACATAAGTCAGGGTTGTTTTGAGCCGCGAACTAGTTTATTCGGTTAGTCGTTGGTTTGTTTTGGGGGCCCATGCGCGTGCAAGCTCGTCGCACAGCATCACGATAGTTGCTTTTGGTGCAAGGTCTTGACCCCGACAGTCACAACATGAGAAGAAAGCCATGAAAGTGCGAAATCATTTGTTTCCTCCCGTGGCTGCATGTGGCAAATCCTACAGGTTTTCTGCACATTTACGGGTCTCTCGAGACTGTGTCGTCGTCGCCAACCGAAGCAAAACATGTAGATTCCCACGGCCAAAAAGGAAAGAATCAAAAACATACAACACCAGGTATTCGCTGGTCGTCACCGACCCAACTACTAATCCGGCCCTCATTGGCTTATCTATGGGAGAGCGGACGGGATCCCGAGTTTTCCAATGGGTATGGTCGTATGTGACGGTTTGGTGAAGTGAAGTTGATCATAACGGGTGTGGGCGGCTTGTTTGCTGGATGGTGTTGAGCTGACACTCGGGCACGGACATGGAAACGGCGACGAGGACCCATGGACAGGCCAATTGAAAGAACATGGGTTAGGCTTGGCTAGAAAGACGCTTCGGGTGGTCTAATTCAAGCCTGGAGACCGGCAGCAGCAGGTCCTCGAAGAAGAAAGGGGGTGCGTTCGTACGTCAGAGAAGATCACCAGTCGAGTCAAATGGTAACCGGTGACTCGACTTAGTTCGTTGCCTGAAGAACGCAGAAGCCTAATACTTACTTTCCCCATGGACTGCTGGCTGCCTTGATGATTACAAGCGCGAGGCGCTCGTCCTGAAAACTAGTGTTGTCTCGATTTCTTCTTCGCATCTGGAGTCGGAGACATCGCGAAGGACCAACCCGCCGATCTACCCGAGGACCAATGTTTTCTTTTTTCTGACCCACCGGTTCATCCTATCTGTACCTCGCGGGTGTACCCGCGGTCCTGGTCTCTCGGTGAGGTTCGTTTGGGCGGGAGAAAACAAAGCAAATGTCTTGGATGTCTCGGGCCGTGGAAAGAAAGGTTCGGAGACAGTAGGTTGTGTCTTGTCCAACATCGAGTACCTCCCGACCCCTCTGTCGTCGTCGTCGTCGTCGTCGCGGTGTACGTGTGTGCTCCAGAACCTAACCTCGTTCTACCGCTGGGCGTCGTCGGCCTCATAGCATGTGTCGTTTCACAAGGCTGATTCATGACCCGGACCAACAGCACTCTGCGCTCAGTTGAAACCAACTCCCTCGAGTTGTCTTCGGGACGAATACCGCCGAGACAAGAAGACGCCGCGGTAGTTTAGGGAACCCAGGTAGTCCCGAGAAACCACATATAAGCCGTCTCGAGGCTGGAGTTACACCGCGGACGGGAAGAAGTGTCGTGTAACAGGGCGCATCTATCCAACCTGGCAACGACCCAAAGTCTGCAACAGTCTCCGAGTTGCAATCTTACGCATTCGAGTCTTTGCAGACGGGGATGGGGAGGAGACAGAGTCTCTGGATTTGTTGGGAACAAGATTTGTAACACCCAGTCCTTATTCTTCGACTTTGAGGGTGACATGATATCTTCGATATCTGCCTTTACTGTAGTCTCCTTGTTGTTGCCATACTCGACGCAGTGTGATCAGGTCCCTCCCACATCTAGTATGCTAGCAACTCCGGATTCATTTTGCAGTACAGTCTCTGAATTGCAAACCCGGGATGGTCAAACTTGAACATATCGTTCTGCCCCCAAGAGCCCCTCGGTTTGTGCAAGCTCACGTTACTCGGGCGGGCTATCTGCTCTCGATCTCTAGCTACAGGGCGCCAAACTAAGCTTGATTGAACTGTTAGCCAGTGTAGTATCATACACCTCTTCTGCAGAAGCCCCACCCGCACTCCGCCATCGTGGACTGCACAGTCGTGCCCTTGGACGCGCCCACAGGTCCATGTTCCATTATGCGCTGGTTGCCCCTTCATCAACAGGCGATTATGGTTTGACAGTTGTCGTTGTTAACTAAACGACTATGTAGAAAGGCAGCGTTGGGCGTCTGTAAAAACCATTGCAAGGCACCCCGGGCCTAACAGGGCACCGCAAGGCCTTACTGGACTTAAAACCAGACTCCTACGTTAAACAACATCCATCCGCAGTTTACCCTAGACGTCGGCCAGATCCCCTTGCCCAGGGTAAGTTTAACAGTTAGAATACCTCATTGTGTCCTCTTGACTGGCTCCGAGGAGATGGAAGTTCTATTCCTCCTAATCGAAAGTCTTCTTGAGAGTTCCGACGGTGTGCGATTCTGGAGAAGTAGATGGGGCGGCTGTTATCGCTTGAGATGAACTGATGCTCCCCAACAAGGGTTGTAACGCAGGAAGCGCTGTCACCTGAAAATGTTGCAAAAACCGCGATAGGAACGTCGTTGGAGAACCGCTGCCGCAGCCGAAGTCTTATCCGCGTGAGTCACTCCGTAAGAGAGGAGGATCCAGATGTGTGTTGATGTGCCAATGTGCCTTGGCCAAGTGCATTCAATCCACCGGCACCTCCACAGATTATGTGATACAAACTGCTCCGTGGAGCTCAAAAAATTGTCCGAGCATTCTCTTTTCGCGGGTTTCGGCACCGTGCCTTCGGCATTCCTGTCCGAGACTCGAGGTCGAGGGCTCCACTGTATAAACTCCCCTTCTCCTTCATCCATCTGACAGAAGACACGATAGGCGCAAAGAGAAGGGAGCATGACGGTCCTTACCCTCCAAGACAAGGTGCAGCGAATGCGACGCTGGCTTTCGTCATTGTCCACGTTTTTCCCGAGGAAAAGATCGAAAAAGGGTGGAAATGGACAATCATTTTGGGATGACTGACGAGGCATGGTACGTCGACCTCCCTTAAGCGAGACGTGCCAAGAATGCAGGTTCGGGAGTTTCTCCGGCCATCGGGCGAGGACTCGCTCCGGGTCACATGACATCAGCTTGGCCACCTGCCAGAGCCGGATGGGTTATGTCAGCAAAGCGAAGCACGGTACTTTCAGACCCCAACCTTCTTTGTGTCACCCTGCACCTGCACCTGCTCCTCATGAGGATAGCGCCAGTAATAGTAGCATGCCGCGGTCTAAAGCAGCCTGAAGGCGCGCTATCAGCCCTTTTGCCGGCGCAAGTAGGCACGTTAGTGGGGCAGTGCTTGCCTGTGGTTCCTTTCGTTCTGCCTCCCCTCTTACCCTACCTCACACGCGCTGTGGTGCTTGAGCCCAGCTAAGGGTACCCCAACCTTACTCGATCAGCCCAGCGCCGTCTTGCCTGTCCTCATTCCTTCATCGAGGAAGGCATCGATTAGGCAGCGAAATACTCAAAGGACAGCAGCATCTGCTCGCGCAAAAGGGCCTCTCGGATCATCAGACGTGGCTCAAGCGCACGTTGTATCCATCATATCCAAACGTCTGTCGCTACTTTGTCGTCATTGCTAGGGGTCCTGTTCTCTGCTCCCTGGAGCTACCTCTCGCTGCACTGTCCAGACTCGTCCAGTCACTTTCCGTCCTTTTTCTCCCCCCCAACGCGCCCGCCCACCTCAGGACTGAACCCCTCCTCCGCCATTTCAATCCCTCCCCCACGATCATGGTCCCGTAGCCTTGCTGTCCTGAAGAGACGATCAACAATCCGACTCTTCTTTTTGCGCACAACTCCCGACGACGCCTGTCCGCTTCTACTCGGGATCGGATCTCGTCAATCGGCCTCTCCTCCGTTAGCTGCCAGCGAGGGCTTGTCCCGTTCGCTTTATTTCCCGCCGCCGGTTCGCTCCCGCAGGTTATGGGTTTGAGCGCATATACCGGATATTGCCACCATGAGCTTCAACCTCCCTCTTCGGCCGAGCTCCAGCAGTATACGGAACCAGGCCAGCCGGAGCAGCTACTTCACCAACTACACGCCGAATTCCTCCACTGAAGCCGTCAATGGCCCTCCCCTCCGAGAGCCTGCCCGTGAATTGTTTGGCACAACCGATCGACTGATTGTCGGCGTCGATTTTGGAACCACGTTCTCAGGGTGAGTCGCATCCCCTCTTTCACCTCACTTCAAGTCGGAGCACTTCACGATGAATCACTGCCTGAGCATGCGTCCGCCTTGTGTTCACTGCTACCCCTTATTTCTCGATGCTCCTGGCGTACCTTTCAAAAGCACAGACGGCCTCGGCATGGCAGTGGCTACTTGGGATGGCACGCTGACAGTCATATCAGTGTCGCTGCCGTATACACTTCAACACCGGACGATGTCGAGATTATCAAGACGTGGCCCGGTGGCAATGGAATCACCTCTGATAAGGTGCCTACCGAGATCAGCTATGATTTCCCTGCAAACGCCGCCGCCGGCACCGAGCCCACTGTGAAATGGGGCTTCCAGTTCAAGCCCGAGGAGGCGCGCCTTCGTTGCATCAAATTGTTTCTAGACCGCTCACAGAAGCTGCCTTTCTACGTTAGCCCGCTGGACACGGCGGCTCAACTGAAGCGTTACAACAAGAACGTCCTGGACGCCGTGAGCGACTACCTTACTCAGGTCTACAAGCACACCATGGACACCCTGACTCGAAGATACGGCGAATCCTTCATGCAGTCTACCAAGGTCGACTTCGTCTTGACCTGTCCGGCCGTATGGTCCGACGCAGCAAAGAACACAACGCTCCAAGCGGCTGAACGAGCGGGCATGGGGTCTAAGTCGGAGATTCAGATGATCAGCGAGCCTGAAGCTGCAGCTGTGTATACGCTGAAAGCAATCCAGCCGAACCATCTCAACGCCGGCGACAACTTCATCGTGTGCGACGCCGGTGGTGGAACCGTCGAGTAAGTTCGCGACAGCTGGCAGTTGGCCACGTGAAGACCGCTAACTGTGACTGCAGTCTGATCGCATATAAAATCATATCGTTAAAGCCGCTTAAAGTAGAAGAGTCCGCCGTCGGAACGGGTGGTCTCTGCGGCAGCGCATTTCTCAATTACAGATTTGAAGAGCATGTCAGGAACAAACTGGGTCACAGTCGCTTTGACGAGATGAAGGTCAAGAAGAACAAGACGTGGCAGATGGGCCTGAGATACTTCGAGGAGTTTGTAAAACGCAACTTCAATGAGGACGAGCACCAGGAAGTGAATGTGCCGTAAGTTCCCCCTCAAAGTTGGAAAGCGGAACCCTTTTAACTTGCCGTAGGTTTCCCGGTCTGCCCGACGATGAAGAGGCGGGGTTGGACTGCGGCTTCATGGTCATGTCGGCTGCGGAGATCAAGGATATATTTGAACCGGTCGTCAAAGAAGTATGCGACCTTGTTCAGGGTCAGGTCACTGGCATCCGGTCCAAGGGTGGCGTCGTCTCAGGTATTGTGCTGGTGGGAGGATTCGGCCAGAGTGACTACCTCTACCGAAAACTCAAGGCCCATTTCACTAGCGCCGCGCCACCACCGTACACCGAAAGACCTACTCACGGTAGCGTGACCGCGCTGCAGGAGACGAGCTCGATCGAGGTGATGCAGCCAGTGTACGCCTGGACGGCCGTTGTCCGAGGAGCAGTTCTGCGAGGGCTAGAGGGTAACATGGTGATATCCCGTAAGGCGAGATACCACTACGGCACTTCGTACGCAACAGTGTACGATGAAGAGAAACATTCGGTCAGCGAGCGTTATTGGTCACCGCTATGGGAGCGTTGGATGGTGTCGGACCGTATGCAGTGGCACATTGCAAAGGTAAGTTGGCGGCGGATTCCTATAACCAGTCAAGTTGCTGTGAACAAATACTGACCGATCTACCAAAAGGGAGAGGCAATATCGCCCTTGTCGCCTATCGCATTCCACTATACTCGAAACTTCAGGCCCGGGCAGTCATTACTGGTGACGGACGACTTGATTGCTTGCGAAGCGGACGATCCGCCCTCGGCGTACACTCGTGATCTCATCCACGTGTGCACACTAACGACCGATCTCAATGCGGTACCGAGGAGCCTGTTCACACGGTTGACGACAACACGCGGTGTGGAATTCGACAACCTTGATTTTACACTCGAGATGATTGTCGACAGTGCGGGCCTGGGGTTCGAGTTGAAGGTGGACGGCGTGCGGTATGGACGCGTCGATGCTGAGTTTCACTGAGCGACGACTGTGCGTACCCTTGGAAGGCGAACGGGCGGGCATAATGAACAGGGAACAAAGAGAGCGGAGGAGGTAAACTGCACGAAAGGAGTTTTGGGCATAGAGGGACTGCTGGAGGCACACATCCGCGTCTCGACCTCGGCATCTCTCTCATCATATATAGTTCGTGAAGTCATAAGCTCGAGAACACACGCGGCGTGGCTCGCCAAGCAAGAAGCATATTGTGCCACAGAATTGACGCGTCCGCAAGCGTGCATGGTGGTGCATGACTATTCGAGTCGATGTCGGCAGCGATGCTGATTGGGCTTGGCTTTAGACGAGCTGTAACTCTAACATGCCGGCGTATCCTTGGAAACGATGATTAGTGAGGCGCACATGTTCGCCCTGCATGCTCGGATAGGGTAGAGAGTCAACTGCCGTCAAGGGTACTTATCAGGGTCTCACGGGGCTTTCTTTTTCTCGTTCTACAACCTGCTCGAACACAACAAGTTGCAACCCAGACGGGTATAATCGAAGCCGGGCATGCCGATGTGTAAATCATCGTACGAGCCCGTCTGAGTTGTTTTCCCCTTGCGGGCCAAGTGAGGCTGTGCGGAGCGGACAGTAACATGTAAGTGGTGAGGGTCTGCGTATTTTTCGGGAATTTGCCACGCCACAGCCCTGTTTTCGGGAGGGATCAATTGGTGGGCGCCGAAGCTTAGAACGTTGTGGGTGCGTTCGCCATTGGTTCGTCAAGGTTGGTGAGGCGAGGGCTGGCCGGATGGCTGTCCTGAGCCCAAGGACGGGGGGGGGCTTGCGATATAAAAACGGGATGTGGGAGACGTCGCGCCCGCCCTTTTGCTTTCAACTCGTGTGTTTTTCCCCTCCACATGGGCCTCGTGGCATTTGGGTAAATGGGCTGCTAGGAGGAAAATCTAGTACGAGAGATGATCAATGTTAACATATATACCATGTAAGGTCTGGTGCCTAAATCTGCCTGTGGCTCTCCTTCTGTTGCTCGTGCTGACGGGAGTGGGGAGGATTCCCTGCCTTTCCTATTCGAACCAGGAAGCATAAAAATGAAACCAAAAGGAGAAGCCCCTGCAGTGAAATAGGGGCGATGAAGTATGCTTATGGGACTTTGACAGTCTGACGGATCGGAGCTGCCCAAGCGAAGTTGTCCAAGTACATCATCCTGAACACCCTTCTGGCACAGCCCATCAGACGAACCCATTCTCCAATCTCTGGCCAATCCTCAGGCCATTACAGTAAACCGACGGAACTATGCAAAAACTCCGCCCAAACGTATTCAAAGAAAGTGAGTCATATCTCATCATGTCCCAGGCACCAGGGTGCAAGGCCCTCGACACATAGGAGCGGGGTCGTCTCCCTGTATGCCAGAGACCGTCGGTCTGATCGATCTCCTCCACTCCTGCCCGCCTCGATAAACCTTCCCGTCGGCCTAAGCCCCAAGTGTGCCCCGCCTCTGCAGGTGGCCTCAAACCTCGCACATGTCCTCGGGGTTCTGGGTATACAAGACAGGGGGGTCTTTCATCCTGGGTTACAAAACAATCTGCGGGTTCCTGCAGAACACAGCCTGCTTCAAGGCGAACTACCTTGCGTGAAATCCCGACAATACGGACAATACGGATACTGAAAAACCTTATTAACAGAAGAGGGAATCAGATGAACGGTCAACTCCTTTCGTCGAGAACTTGAAAGGCAAATCGGGAAACTTGCCGTTTCCCCCGGTCCATGATCGACACCGCCGCTTCTCGGCCCGCTCCGGTATCAAAGCGTCCGTTACCCACTTGTCTGGAACCATGGATTGCACTGCATGCAAGGGTAAATCGACGACAACAGCTTCCGAGAAACACCAGCACGTTCACCTCCTACGAGTGACCGCTCTGTGTCGTTGTCGTCGTCCACTGCCCTCTGTCACGGCGACTCCTGCCTCACGCCTGGCAGGCCTCCAACCCGATGGATAAAAAGCCCCTCGATGTCGGGGACCCTCGCTTGTACCCGCAGCCTGCTCAAAGGCCTGGTGCGATATCTTCCCGGTTTGGTATACATGGTCGAGGTAGTGGAAGTCGGGGCGCCTCTGCTCAAAATGATACCCATCCAGGATATGGTCCGCGATGTGCCTCATGCGGTTGGTGAAGTTCAAACCGGCATCGGGGCACTGCTGGACGCTGAAAACGAAGTCGTCGCAAAACCAGCAGATGCATTCTGCAGGGAAATTTTCTTGCAAGTGTTCATCCTCAGTATGTCTGATCCAGTCATCAACCTCATCGAGCCGGAACTGCTGCTGACAACCAGTCCAAGGTTGGAATTCGCAATGGAGCATGCGTCTGCTTGGTAGAGGAGTGGTCTGTTGTCGCAGAATCCCCTGGTAAAAAGTGCTCAGCGCAGTGTGCGTCGATGGAGGCGGGGTGTCAGAGTATGCTTGAGGCATGCGATACTCGTCATATAGGAAATTGGTGCCTGGTGTATTGGCGTAATAGCTTTGGCTGCCGTTACCAGAACTATACGCAGACGCTTGCGAAGCGGAAGAAGAAGCGGAAGAAGAATACACGCTGCTTGCGTATTGGGGAGTTGAGTCACCGTTGTCTTGCTGAGCATACTCGGTCGACGAGTACGAATAGTGCTGATAGCCGGGCCCAGAGCCGTTGGAAGACATGACGTGCAGGCCTCGGGTGGAACTTCGAAAGGAGCCGGTTGCTGTGGGTGAACAACCTTCTTGACACAGCCAGGAAGGCTTGAACGGACGGAACGGGCGAAGGTAATTGAATGAGCCAAGCCCGCTGGTCAATGCTATATGGATGCAGGTCAACCGACAAGACCCAGCTCGAGGTTTTGATGTCGGGAAGCAATGCACAACACTAAGGAGAAGAGAAAAGATGGTCGATTTGGAGGGGTGGGGACCCTTGCTTGCTCACGAGAGGGGCAAGACTTGGGGTTGGTGTTTGCTGGCAGCTCCTGCAGGTCAATGCCTGCACTTCGATAGAAGAAGAATGCTGTCGCTCAACGACAAGCCTGCAAGTGCACAGGGTGCGGTACCCTTGGAAAGAAGACGGTTGGGAGACGAAAGATAGAGGGAAGACTCGGTTTCTTTGCTTGCGTCTTCGAGGATTGGGGATACGCGTCCATCTTTAAGAGACGATGGCATCCCAACAACCACCCAACTATCCCATGATGGCTGGCACACCTATGACTGGCTCCCCATTTGAACCAGGGCCGGCGGCGCGCGTTCGGGACGGACAGTCACAGCTAACCACCCCAACTCCGGGCCCAGGAATCAGCTCCTTCGGGCAGTCTCATTTCACCAATCGACCATTGCAGCAAAGAATAGGCATGTCAGCCGACCTCCCGAGCGGTCTTGGACCTCGATCATTTCCTCGAAAGGAGCTCGTCCCCTCCAGGAGCTTCTCCCCGACGTTGTGTTCTGCCCCGCGCGATCGGCAACCTCGTGAGGAAACACATTGGGCCAGAGTTCGTTTCCGACCAGCTGCGTCTGTGACAGCTCCAACTCCGTAGGGCTAGCACAGTTCAAACGCGATAGCTCTAGAGCTTGAGACGCAGTGTTGTATAGGTGCGAGTCGCATCGAAGTTGTTTCAACACTCAACGAGAAGCTCTTTCTTCTGTTGACAAGTTCTATTTCGCCTCGATACGATGGCGATAGCCACCCACTATGCGCTGTCCATGTGTATAGTAGCGGCACTGGGGTTGAGAAGAGAGCAGGGGTCTGCAGGCAAGGGGGTCAAAGTAAGCGAGTGCTCTACGGCGTGCTGCAGTGGCACTGTGACTTTGCCGGGAGATACTTGGACGGCGAAGCTCTGTACCCAAGTTGGGGCTTGAACTGACACTCAATAAGGGTAGGTCTACTCTCGCAACTATTAACATGGCAGAACATGGCTTGAGTTACGACCAATTTTCATTTCGAAAAACAGGATTGATGTCTCCCGCATAGGAAATTGGAGTGCCGCGCCGATTGCAGTTCGTAGATCGTACTACGGCGGCCCTACAGTACGACATGGAAGCAAGGGGCGATGGATGTGCAGCACATGTGGTGTGCGTCAGGTGCCAGCGCAGGATCGTGGGGATACCGTTGACCCCGAGCGACTGGGAACCAAACCGGAGTGGTCCAGCAGAGCCTCATCCTCCCTTCTTGTCCTTTGACAGAGAGGAACCAGATTGAGCCGAAGGATGATGCGACGGTGGGGGGCAAGAAGGGAAAGAAGGGAAAGAGATCAACCCCGCTCTTTCTGTCCCTCACCCACTCCTCGGCGGACGAGCTGCATGTCTCATGGGCAGTGAATCGGATCTCTCGATTGGTCGGCGTGCGGAATTGCCGGCTGCTGTACCGCTGCTTTGCCATGGGTAGTTTCCTGGTTCGAAACGGGAGCCTTTGATGATAGCACAGGATACGACGACTAATTAAGCCCCTTCGGCCTAGCCCGTCTTCTCGCTCGGGAAGGTCGGGAGGTGGTGTCTGCACGCATGTCATGTGGACGGGCCGCCGGCGGCGACGGCCGATAGAGGTTGCTAATCAAATGATAAGCGACGAGGCTATCGTCAATGTGCAATTCACATGTGCCGGCGTCTTGACGTCGGTTCTGCATCATGGGAAGGATCTGGCTTGAGTAGCCCATTCGTGAAACAATCAGAGGCCATGACCCAGACTAGCCGTATAGTCGAGGGTGAGCGGCGAGAGAACGAGAGAAAGGGGCGTTTGAGATCATGACATCGTTTTCATTCGGGACTACATAACACCCTAGCCTTGGCAATGACATTCTGATACTGCATGTGGCTGCCGCTCTCGTCACCGCGCTTGATGACGCCGGGGAACGTGACGCACGCGATGTCGCGGCGCGCCAGCGCGTCCTCGTCCTCGCCGCCGATATCCTCCATGGTGGCCGGGTCGAAGCGCGTGCGCTGATGGGGCACAATGTCCGGGACGAAGACGCGGAAGACGGCCTTTTGCACGGCGAGCTGGCGCGCAAGGTCGGCCGCGGAGATGACGAGGGCGCGGAGGGCGGCGTCGCGGGCCTCTGTGGCCGGGGCGCCTCCGTCATGATGGCGTCGAGGACGCGGTTGACGCGGCCGATGACGCGGTCTGTCGCCGCGGACGTCTCGGTCAGCATTTTGGCCTCGGCCTCGCGGTGGAGCAGGGCGAGGGTCGTCGAGCGCCAGTTGTTGATCGCTTCCGGGGAGTCCACTGCCGTCAGACGTTAGTACAGTCGTAATCCTCGGCTTCAAAAAAAGGCCCTAACAAAGGCCCACGTACCGTAACTCGAGAGGGTCTGCTCCACGGTCTTGAGCTGCTCTGCCTGCTCCCTCGGCAGCCCGAAAAAGTACGAGTCAAAGATTGTGTGGACAAGCACGCGCGAGACAACGGACTGCAGCATGTGGACCTTGGCCGAGGGCTCGAGGTCGGCGTACATGGGCACCAGCCGGCCGAGCTCCTCGCGGACGTCCTCGTTGGCAGCGCTAATATCTGGAATTTCATTCAACGGTTAGCCCTGCCATTCATTCCCTCCCCCCGAGTTTGGTGGACTGGGATAAGCATACCCAGCTTGGCCTTCCGGAAGTTGACAATGACCCAGTTCTGCAACCCGTTGCTTAACCGCGCCATGCCGTCGCAAAAGACCTCGTCCGAGGTCTGCCCGCTGGTGCGCGTGCTCGTGCTGACAAACTCCTTGAGCCCGCGAACCTGGGCGCGCAGCTCAGCGGCTTCGCGGCGGAGGGCGTCGCGGTCGGCGTCGCGGACCTCGGCCTCCTGGCGGAGCAGGCGCAGGTCGGCGTCGGCGCGGAGGAACTGCTGGTTCAGGTCGCTGTGCTTGGCCTGCCAGAAGACGGCCGTCTCGCTCTCGTTCTGCGAGAGCTTGTCGAGCTCGCGCGTGAACTCGCGCTCCATGATCTCGAGCTCCCGCTCCAGGTGCGCTATCCGCGCGTCCTTGTCCTTGGCGCCGCTGCCGCTGCTGGATGTGCTGCCTGCGCCGGCGGAGGCCTCCTTTTGCCTCGACTCCTTGTCTTTGGCATCTTTGCTACTGCTCGACGGTGCGGCGGCGGCAGCATCTTCGGGGTTGGGATTCGCGGAGGAGCTCGCGGGGGCGTGGTGTGCGCGGGGAGGCGGAGCGATGATATTCGCGGCGCTGCTGCTGCGCGGGTTCGATGTGTGGAGGACGTGTGTGCTGGAGCCGCCTTGTGACGACGCCTTGTTGGAGGAGGAGCTGGTGTTGCTTGTGTGGCTGCTGCTGCTGCCGCCGCCGGTGTTGTCCTTGCTACTTCCACCACCTCCTCCGCTATTGTTGCTGCTGCTGCTACTGCCACTGCCGGGGATGAAGGAGCGGCGCTTCTCCGCCGATGTCGTAGACATGCGACCGAGCTTCTTATCTTTCGTCATGGGGACGGCGGGGGAGGAGAAGCATGCGGCTGTCTTGGTACTGCATGTTGGGGAGGTAAAAAAAACGAAGTCGGACGTGAAGGAGGGGGAGAAGCTGACGGGCCTTTTTTTTTCTGCCTTTCTCCCTCCCCTTGTTTGCTTGTGCAGAGCTTCTCTCTCGTGAACTAGAGGGAGGTTCGACGCAAAAAACCGGAAGATGGCGAGAAGGTTGGGCGACTCGTCGGTTGCCTGGCCTTGGCCCTTGGGGGAGGCAAAATGGCGACTCGAGATGGTTGATCGGCGCCTTATCAAATGGAGGTGAAGCTTCCTCGTAAAGAGCTGGGTTGGAGGAGTCGTCGCAAGTATTACCTTGGTCTTCCTTCCCTCCCAGGGGTTGTAAGGTTGTCATTGGGGGCCGACGGGGAGGGGGCTACCTCTGTCATTGGGGGTCCGTACCTAGTTCCCCGCCGGAGCGGTATTTTTAGCGGCCCCGGCGCTTGTGGCCGCGCGCTCGGGGCTGAACCGCGAGGGGGGCTGTGCGGTGGTTTCTCGGTTTGCTGCGACTCATCCTCCAGGGAGCCCTGTGAGTGGTGCGCGTTCTACAGAGTGGACGTGCCGCTGAAGATTGGCAGAGATGGTGTTTGTCTGGCCAAACCACGAATGTTTTCCTCTTTTGTGTATTATATTCAGCCGTAAGGCCGCGTTCGTCTTGTTACTATGATTGGCAGCTTTATTGCTTCGGACAACAATGCTGCAAAAGCTTCCTGGAGCAATCCTCAACATGTACGGGAGTGCGAGGTTCTAATATTCCACACAAGACGTCGTTCCGGAACGGGCAGCTCCGTCTTGATCAATGCCTTGCAGTGCCACCATGAGTCCGCTTGAAATAGGCTGGGAGATGCCTGCCCCTCAAGTACAACCCAAAGTCGCAAACTTCTACAACCAAAGCTACATGACGAATCGAGGCCGGGCGCTGAGCTTAGAAGTCGATCTCAGCCTCGACTTCGTATTCCTGATCATCCACACCCTCAATATTCTTGGCTCCCATACGGCAAATGGCGATCTTCTCCACGGGAACGTCCTCCATCCAAACGTAATCGTCGTACCGGTCGAGGATGTCCGTCGCGTCGATGGTCAGCTTCGAACCTTTCTTGCCCCGGGCGCCCTTGACGTAGATGGTGTTGACAATCGTAGCGTGCAGCAGCAGTCCGCGGCTGTCCTTGTCCATGACCTGAGCCTCCTCGAAGACGGTCTTGATCTTCTCACAAAACGTCTGGAAGGTGCCCTCGGAGTGTGTCGGCGGCGCGTAGAGAACTGATGCTTTGCTAGGGTCGGCCTTGGGACCGGACTTCATGCAGTGTAAGCCGCGGAGCGTGATGTTCAGCGAGGAAAGCGGCTGGGCGGCTACAAGGGTATTCGACGCCTGGGCCGGGGCAGCCAACGATGTGAGGGCGGACAGAGGCTTGATGCCGGCGAGGATCTCTCGAGGATTCAAACCCTTGAGGACTTCGATGGCTTTGTCGATACCTTCATTGTTGGGGAAGCTCATGACTCCGAGGGTTAGGTGCAAGGTGCTGAGGGGGCGTACTGCGTCTGTAGGGATTGCAAAGCTGTCCTGGCTGGTAACGTCCGCCTTAAAGGCGGCCAAGCTCTTAGAAAGCTGAGGCCGCGATGCTGGAGTAACCAGAGGAATGCACAAGAAGTGCGTGGGCGATGGCCTGGCGTTTGGTCGGGGAGGCATCTTGGTTTCCCTGGAGAAAAGAGAAGATGGTAGGGTCTTGTTGGTTCGTTGCGGTTCGGAGCTGATCAGCTAGATCTGTCTCGCCTGAGCAGTTTCCGACGTTACTCTACGTTGGACGACTGAGAAAACCCGGTTTCCGGCAACTTTGCGATGATCGATAATGTCTGCCAACCACGTTAGAATCCCGGTTCCTCGACGGTCCTGTGAACGGAGACAACGGAAGATCAAGCAACGCGCTCCTGACAGGCCGCGTCGAGACTGCAGTCCTCGGGCCGGCCCGTCAGGTCCCCGTTTGTCGTCAAGAGCAGCAGAGAAAATACGATCCATCGTGGATGCAAGTAATCTCTAGCCTTTTGCGAGGTGGCTGCTGGACAAAAACCCGGAGGCAAGGCGTGGAGTCTCAGTCGGCAGGCAACGGCACAACCACCGGGCCCGCGGGCTCGGGATTGCGCCCAATACCCGTAAGGAAACGTGCAGACGTACCAGACTTGAGCAATGGCGTCAATTTGTCGATCTTTGGCCTGGGCTTCGTCACACCTCGCGATGATGTCAGTCAGTCAAGGTTGAAGGGAGACCACTCAGGTTAGAATTTTGGCGGGTTCCCCGCTGCCCGCACTGGGACACTGGGACACTGGACGAAGACCTAGGTTGTCAGCTTGCCTGCCACCTACCCCCGGACGATTGAGCTATTGAGCTCTCCCCTCCGGCAAAGGGCAAAAAAAGAGGGACACGGTACGAAACCTAACGTAGTCCATCTGATAAGCTGGCCATTTGCTGCCCTCCCTTGGCCGAGGAACAAAATAGCCCTTTCGGTAGGGTTTGTACAGGCTGTTCACGAGGCAGTTGGTCGCCAATCCTCGCATCAGGACAATGGCTCAAGGGTGTTGGCGTTACGTCTTTGCAAAACGCAAGTAATGCTATTGCCCGTCTATCCAGCAAAATATAGTAAAGACCGTGTAAGCATGCTGTTATTTTAGGACTATGGCAGGCGTAGATGAGGATGTCCACGACACAAGCGCTCAGAACCTCTCTGTCGTCCCAGCTGGCTGCCCTTGGCCATCCAACTAGTCGTTCGTTGCCCTCCAACAATGAGGGTCTTCCATGCAAAGCCAATCCAGGTCACCATGCCAAGTTTTCTTCGTAATTCAAATTCGTAAGCGTAGGGAAGGGGGTATGAGGAGAGGTAGGTTCGTAAACAAAGGTGTCCAAGGTCCACGGTAGTCGAAGAGCCGCGTAGCCCTCTTGAAAGGCGAGCTCTCCTTTCATGTTCCATGTCCTCGACGTCGCCACAGCCATCGTTTCTAATGCTGGGCGACGGCAGGCTGATGCTGGGACACGGAGCGGCGGCGTTGCCAGGAAAATTCCGCAACGGCTTTAGTCTTCTTCTTCTTCTTCTTCCGTGCCAAAGAACTTCTTCAGAAGCTTCTCGGCGTCGGCGTACTCTGTCTTGAGGGCTTTGAGAGTCTCGGTAATGCGCTTCAGGCACAGCTCCTCGTCCGTCTCCGGGGAACCATCCTCGTTCTCCTTCTTGCCGTAGCGCTGGATCTTTTCGCAGCTGTCTCTAACCTTGACGAGTCCAAGCGTAGCCGAAGACCCCTTCAAGAAATGGCCCAACTGCGACAGCTTCTCGAGGTCCTTTTCCTCTCTGTACAAATGAGAAAGAAATGAGAGTCAGCCTTGTTCACATCCACGCCTGGCCATACGCCAGGACCTTGCAAGGCCGTTTGTTCGGTGCCGAGGGTAAGGTCAGGGGAGGGAGAGAGGGGAGGGGGGAGGGGAAGGAAAGGCGGAGTGGGGGCGGTGATGCGACTCACAAGGCCGAGTCCATCGACTCAAACGTCTCCTCTGCTTGCTCGAAGAAGCCAAACACGATTGACTGGCTGAAGTCGCGATCGTTTTCGTCCTCATCCATCTCCAGGATCTGACCGAAGGTGACTGAGTCAATCGCGTCGCCAAAGTCGGGGGTGCTAAGGGGGCCGTCATCGCTCTGCGCCAAACATCCCACGTTAGCTCAGCTCAGCCCTTGTGGCCCCAAAACACCACACACACGGGTGTGATACGGAGAAGGGTTTGGTCGCATACCTTGTCCTCGGAGGCAGGCATTTTGGCGGTTTGAGGTCTTGTTTGTTAGACTTGTTTTGTGGTTATGAGGCGCAAGTGGGTGTGGAAGCAGGACGGTTAGAGGCCTGGTTGGAGTGGTTTCGGTTAAGGGCGACCCGAGGTGAGAGCACTCAGTGTGATTGGCGACAGCAGGGAGACACGCGCGGAGAAAGAGGAGAGAGGCTACCAAAGCAAAGATTTTGGTTAGAGACAACGAGCCAACAGCAAAACGGTAAGTGTTCAGTCAGATGGCTGTGGTGGATCCCACGATGTGTGTGTGTGTGCGTGTGTTCGCGTGTGCGCGTGTGTGGGTGGGTAGGCGGATTGTGGAAAGAGAGGCTTCGGTTTCTTTGCGCCCGGTCCTTGGGGACAGGCTGGGAAGGATATTGGTGAGGTAAGGATGAGGAAAGGCAACGGCGCTGGTGCTGCTACTGCCGCTGTATGCTTCTGCCAGCGCTGCCGCAGGTGACGATGAACGAGATATACCGCAAGCACAGGGAGTGTGCAGCTCGATGTGGATATTCTGGACAGAGGACGAGGAAGGGATCAAGGTCGTGGGCACGATGGCGCACGCACACAACTCAAATTACTTACAAGCACGAATGAGACTGAGAAGGCAATGAAGCGTTTCTCGTGCTAGAGTGAGAAAGGGTAAGCTGTCAGGTCCGATTATGGTCGGGCGCGCATATAAGACGACGGGAGAAAGCTGCTGGTTTGGTTGGTGGTGTCAAAGGGCAGGCAACGAAGCAGGTAGGGCTTCCGAGGTGTCTAATAATTTTTCGGCGGGGGATGCAGTGAGTGATGTGGGTAGGTGGACTCTTTTTGGAGGGGAAGACTGCGCGTGGTGGGGTTGTGCAGCTGTGCTGGTGACCGCGCAGTACCTGGCTTCAAGTACCTTTGGTATTTCTGTACGGGACACTTTTGGGGGCTTCTTTGGGGGGCTGGACAGGGAGTGTGCCGTGCTCTGGAGGGCGTGGGAGTTGAGACGCGGCGCGGTGCGGTGCGGTGCGGTGCCTCGCCTTGCCTACTAACTGAAGGAATCAACTATCGGACCAAGGGCCTGACTCAACGGGACGGGTTTGTTCGTATGTGCTGTTCTCGCGACGAAGTTATGGATGAGCCCAGGAGAGGAAGCCCCAAATATCGCCAGGCTGCGAGCTGAGGTGACGTGATGGAGGTGATACGGTCAAGTCCCGAGGTCTTCGAGGGGTCGTCGGGAAACCCACTCGCTGGGCGGCAGATGATGAGTGATGAGGTGGAAGGAAGCAGACGGTGATGAGGGTTGTTTGCTGTGACGTCTCGCAACTCTTCACGTGAACAAAAGTTGAGGTGAACAGGTCGAAGTGCACCTATGCCCGGAGCAAGTCCCGTCGAGTGCCGCTTGGAGAAGGGAGGGTGGCAGAGAAAAGAAGGGTATGTAGGTAGGACGAGGCAAGGCAAAGTACAGTGAGGTACCTGAGCTAACCTAAGGCAGTGTGAGGTGAGGTAAGGCAGGGCAAGACAGGGAAGGGAATGGCCCAAGGATGCTGGTTAAAAGCGGAAGGCGCGATGGACAGTAGTCGAGGGCAGCAGGGCAGGACCAGGGCGACAGGGCCAGAGGGGGAGGAAGGAGGGAAGGGGTGTGTAGGTGATCTCTCGAAAAGAGAAAGGGCGAATCTGGAACTGATCTCGAGCGCGATTCTTGGTTGGGACTTGGGGACTTAGGACCTAGGTAGGAGACTCGGGGGCCTTGTTACGAACCCGCCAGTGTCAGGACGGGCGTGGAACAACCCACAAGGCAAACAAAGGCAAGGCGTACCAAAACCTACCTTGGGGAATGGTGCCTGGGCGAGTAAGACCGAATCTCGGCGGAGGAGCGAAGCGCGCGCAGCTAATACTGGCCTACGATTTCTGCGAAAGGCTGCGAGACCTGATACACGTCGCTGCGAGCGGTTGTTGTCCGTTATGACCTAAGATGGGCGGGAGGGTCGATGGAGGGGCGACGATGGAGGGGGAGGGGAGAAAGAGACAAGGGGGGTTAAAAAAGCAGGGTCAAGCGAGGATACGGCGGCGGGATTGGGCTGCTCCTTTTTCCCCTCCTGCAGGGCCCTCGTCGGGGGATGCCACTTTGTTGTGTGATTGCCTTGGGTGCGGGCGGTGCGAGCGCGAGAGGGAAGGGAGGAAAAGAAAGGAAAAGAAAGAGAAGGAGCTGTGGACGGGGGCGGGAGCAGTAGACTCAAGCTTTGGGACCGCGACAACTGTTCAGACCATGGGATGGGGGGAGGAAACAGGATGAAAGTCACCGTCGAGAGACGTGCCAGCCCAAGGAGATGGAGGGAGATATACTGCCTACGAGACACGAATGGTATGCGGCGGCGACCCGATGCGCTGGGATGGGATGCCAGTCTGGACTGCAAGCTAAGCTGAGGTTTTGGCGGATTTGGAGAAGCAATACACTACAGTAAACGGAGATTCGGGCAACGAGAACCGGGAGAATGGCGGCTGGATCATCCACTAAACGAGGTCTAGGCGTGTCTACCTGACCTCATACTTGATAAACTCATCGAGGCGCCGCCTGAGTTGCATCATTGGCCCTTGCCGACTAAGGGTCCGTCCGGGTGTGTCTCAGTCACAAATCGCAACACGAATACCCTCCCATTCTCCGTCTCCTCTCCCCTCCTTACCGCCGTGCCAACCTAGTAAAAGCACATATTACAGCCAAGGTGCTTGCTTCACTTTTTCCCTTCCGTCTTCCCATGATAGCTGCGTGGTGGATAAGGTGAGGTAGCAACCAGGGTAGGCAGGGGTGGGACAGAGATGCATCTGCGCCGCAGCTTGCAGTTGCTGGGAAGAACCATCAAGCCAACGAGAACCCAGCAGGCATCCCCTTACGTACGGGGCGCTCCGTGGCCTCCATCGTGCTGCTTCCCACGCAGCGGCCCTGATTCATTCCCCGACCTTCCCTGGCCTCACCTCACACAAGCAACTCGAGTTAGGCCAAAGCAGCTCAGACAAGCTATGATCCAGCACCCGAGTTGAGGACCGAGTCACTAACTGCCCGATGTAAGCTTACCCTAGGGTGCATTTCGCCGACTTCCTAGGATAAACATAGGAAATCTTGGCTGGACGGACCCATCTACATTCACGTCCATGTTCAGTGATGCTACAACCACCGCTCAACAGGCCCCGCCATATCTTTCTCTGGTAGTATCTTAGCCACGGTGCTGTAGTGCCCTTGGCGTGTTATGCCGTCAAAATCATCTCTGTTGAGGCACTCCAACCAGCTTTCGCTGTTGCTTTCTTTTTCTTTTCGAGCATCTCTCCGCCTGTCGGTTACACTAGGTTAGTTCTGGTGATCTTTTGTCTATCCTCCCCCCCCCCCCCCCCCCCCCCCCCACCTCGTCTTCTCATAAGCGATGTCTTCTCTTTTGCGGTCTAGACCTCCAAGCTGTTTCCACACTGACCAAGTTTCCCTCAAGAAGATCACCGTACCCACGTCATGATATTGGCCTGCTCGACCACCGAAGGCGCCTGACAAACAAGTATCCAGCCCCAAACTCTCCGACTTGCTGGCTCCTCGAGTGCGCTCTGGCCTGACAGCCTAGCGATTACTGTCACCAGGCCGCACTCGTTCCTCCTCTCGGAAGGCGTCTAGACCGAGACCGGTCATGGGGTTGTGGATCTACCCACCACCGTACAGTACCCGCACCGGCCGACACGGGCGTAACGAGCCACCCCTCTATGACCTGGCATGTCCTTCGCGGATAGCCAGGATGCCTCGACGATGCCAGCACGCTGTCCTGCATCGCAAGCTTGACACTGTCTCTGACCCTTCGGCTGGAGAGGTAATGATCGGCACGTTCCGCAGTCTTCCTCTTGGCTTCTTCTCAACATCCCGGCGCGCTTAGCCTCCATGTCAGTGAATGTGGCCTTGCCGCCATCGAACCTCACTGAGTCTGTCCTGGGGAAAGGCCATCGCCGGAGACCGGAAACGCAGGCATACACTCTCTCCCGTCGGTCTTTTTTTGACACGACTATGCATACGACTCGACAACTTCTTCAGTAAGAGAGAAATAAAAGAACGATGGATCTAGCTCTTCGTAGCCGAACCGTGGGCGTTATAGACTCCAGAGCCACAGCTCGAACTCAACCTCGCCGAGTCTATCCGACTTGTCTATCTTTACCAGCGAGTGTAGCATTCCTCAGCATTCCGGAGGGAAAATCGGGTGTGGCGATCCATGGGCAATGTCTCGATCGCCTCCAAAACCTCCGGGGGTTGGTGGTGTGGCAAATCGACGAGGACAAACATTGACCAAGTGCTGTCGGCCGTTCGCGACATAGACATTCACCACTCCACATCGATGGGAGACCTAAATAAGGCAGGAGGGGTAGAGCCCGGCGCACAGTGGGCGGCGGCATTCTGATAGAATTACATAGTACATAGGAGAGGGAGAGGAAGGTCAAGAGAGGTGGGGAGATGGTCGGAATGCAGGGTCCATACCCGTTAAACGACTTTGACGATCTGTTCCTGATTCAAGCCACTTGGCTTTGCTGACAAGCCATTCAATGCCACTCATGCCGGCCAAGTGGCAGGGAACACGGTGAGCAGCCGTCCCACACCGCTGCAGAATCATCTCAGCGACAGAGGCTAGAATCTCTCGGCCGACAGTTGACACCCCACTTTCGAGTACTTTTCAGCGGAAGAAGAAGGATTTTCCCAACCTGTTTCGCCGGCTTTGAATGTCTTGTTGACCACCCTCCGTATTACGGGGTTCCGTCGAGGTGGTTAAATAGCGAGGTGGAGCTTCTGCATACCGGTATGCACTCAGGTCTGGGGGGGCTGGAGCTTGGTGTCTGCCTACCCACACGTCATGCCGCACTTAGACGTCATAGCTGGTTTGTGTTGCAAGGATCAGGGTACTTGCTATGGAAGACGTTTCCGTTTTAGTTCATGACCATCCGATGGTAGTCCCCGCCGACGACACACTCTCCGTCAGCCATCAACCTGACTCCGACCTGACATTTCCTCTGCGGCTATCGACCCCAACGCACCGCAGTAGCCGGTAACTCAGTGGTCAAGATCTAGTGCAGCGACGGTGACATCTTCCCGGACCCGGGTTCAAACAGTTAAGCTTCGCCTCATGCTGGGGCTATGAGGCATTGAGGCTCTGCCAGCGGAAGCCCGGAGAGCTGCAGCTAGCAGGAAAAGTCGAGAAGATTCGGTAGCACGGCACCGTAACGTCAGGGATATTTCCGTGTTTTACGGATGCTCCGCTCTGCCCGACGTCTGGCTGCAATTGACCGGAAATCAGCATGCTGCCTCTGCCCGAAGGACATCACATCCATCCGTTTATACATGGCGCTAAAGTCGCCAGACCCAGCATTTGTCTGTTCTTTATTCCTTACATTTACTCAAGACACTGGCTCTTTCATCTCGACTTTTAGACCATTTCAATCTCTGATGAGAGAAGAAGATCAACAATCAGATATACGGAGTCGTCTACTGATTGGTCCGGCTGAACTTTGATGTCACGCGTGCGCCAATCTATGGAAGGCGACCAGCCTTCGGGCGGGGACAGACAGACAGAAACCTCTCAACTCCTACCCCCTCCAAACTTCGATCGTCGCATGAGTGGAGGGAAGTCGAATATCGCACAACCAATGGCCAACATACGGTGACATCTATGTCGCCAGTCCACTGGAAGCCGCTTGTGTGGCGCGGCATAGTACTATGTAATCATGTTCCACTCCGGCCAGACGACGCGAGCTGGCCGATCTACGGGTCTTGGTCGTCACCACAATTGTGACATTCACCTGGAGCCCCTCAAGAAGTGTGTCAGTATTTATGGGCAAAGTTTGCTGCGCAGAAACCCTTTGCAGCGAGACTGTTGTAGCGGCAACTGCAATCGCGGCACTCGAGGCCCGAGCTTCGGTCATATTTAATGGGGGAAAAACACACATGACATAAACCGCCGGAACAACCACCGAGCTCAAGGAACCAATGGCTTTACCCCTCAAGACATATCTCCGCTGGGCAGTCGGAATCGAGCTCCACATTTCCCGACGGCACCCGCTCGAGTGACATGGAATTACCTCCTCGTATATCCTCCAAAGGTCACCAAACTGCCGGTCGTCGTTCAGCTGCGGGGATTGTCAGCAACAGCAGGAGCGCGGCGAAAGTGTTGATTCTTGAGCGAGGTTTAGCTGCGAGACGTCGCACCGCGGGTCGACATATGGCTCACCGTCTCGTGGCTTTGAGCCAATCTGCGAGGGAAAGACACGAGGTTTCCGCCAGCAGCTGCATGCAAGCGCGAGGTGATGCTCCCAAAACCTGTTTTTGGGGCTTTCGTGCGGCCAGTAGTCTCCTCGCGCCGGCTTGGCCGGCCGCCATTGCCCTTGGGTGGGCTGGCAGCTTTGAGACGATAGTTCAGAAGAAATTGCAGCGCTTTCGTTGGCCTAACCCAGCCGTATGGGGCGCCGTTTTGTTGCTTTAAGCTTTTCTCGTTGGATTTTCTAGACGGCCCCGACAAAAAAGCCAACGTTTTCTGGTTGACTCTGGGTGCGCGATGGCTACCTTACGGTCGATGCTGTGGAGAACAGCTCGGTCCCACATCTCGGTGTGAATGGTCACGTGGTTCCCGCTAATGGAGCCGGTGGGATCGTTGCCGATGAATACTGTCCTGACATCCAACTCGATCCAAAACTACCTTACTATGGCATGCTCGTAGAACATAAAATTGGCTCCCGTGGATCGACAAACCCAGTGGTGTCGTTGCATTGACCCAGGTTAATCTTGCAGTGTCAATCTTTTTTGATAGATGAGATGCTCGCACTTCAACATCAATGCCCAATCACGAGAGCTGAGAAGCCACCAACCAACAAGTGACGCCCGTGTGACGGACAGCAGACGCGTTGTAGGTCCGACACTAGGTGAACAAGTGGATAGGAGCTGTCCCCTCGCGGCAGGGCGAGGGGTTTTTCTTCTTCTTCTTTTCTTTCGTGAAGGATCCGGCCAAAACGTGACGTGGGGCCATCGAGCGAACAAACATACCCTGCAGATTTTTGGCTGCCGGGGGTCTCAATTAGTCTAACGGTGAAGCTTTAGTCCTGCTAGGGCTGCGGTGATACCCACATACGCCGTCCTCAAGGGCCCCGACGTCCGATCCCCCCCTCCCCTTAACGGGGTTCATGGTGCAATCAATCTCTTCGTGGAGGACAAATTCCATTTTTCCCCCCTTTCTCTCCTTTCCTTGTCCATCTCACAGCAAAACCTTGGTGGCCACAGTGAGCAACCATGCCGCATCCTGCCAGCCACCCTCATTGGCCTTTGGGGGCGGGATCCGCTGTTCCGGGGCGTCGACAACACCCTCGAAATGGCGGGCTGACCACGACCGGTGGAGCTCCTGCGCCCCCTCCTCATCGCCCTCAACGTCAAAGTCCCCATCGGCGTCGTCGTCGTCCGACTCTTCCTCGTTCTCCTCGACCGCAAACAATGGCCATCCCAGGATATTGCCGACCCAGGAGGCACCTCCAGCCCTCTCGCCCTTGACGAGCCTTCTGACGGCAGCCTCGTCGTCCTGAGTTGTGTCAGGCTCGTAGGACTCGAGCTGCTCGTCGAGATTGACAAAGTCGGGGCCGGGGATGTAGTCATCGCCCTCGTGGCGAGGGAAGTATCCCTCGTCCAAGGAGTGACGCTCCATGGGTGTCAAAATCTGACTCCGGGTGCCGACTCTGCTAGCTGACCGACTCCCAGGACGACTAGGCCGGGCCGAGTGGGTATACGCGCCGTCCAGGTCGGCAAGACTGCCGCGTCGGCTGCTGCGACGGCTGGCGAGCTCCCGCTCCCGGGCCAATTCCCTCTCGAAAGCCTCCTCGTCGGCGTCCCGCATGCCCGTCAAGCTCGTCGAGCTCTGCCTCGACACCAGCCACGCCTGGCCCTTGAACTCGCGGTTCTCGTTGCTGATGAGCGCGCCGGTCCTCAGCAGCCAGTCGCTGTCGTTCCGATCCCGGATCGAGAGGTCATCTTTGTCCTTGCGACGGCGCACCGTCGGCGAGGTGGTGCCCGAGACGGATTTGCGGTTGTGTGATTTTCGGTGGCCGGCGTCGGGCGCCAGGTGGGTGGCCGACTTGCTCTTGGGGAGTTCGGCGTGCGGCACCGAGGAGCGGCGGGCGTGAGAGTTGGGTTGGGCGGGCGAGCGGGACAGCAGACCGGGCGTGGTGGGAGCGGACTTGCCCTGCAAATAGGAAGTGCCGTGGTGCGGCGAGGTCAGGTGGTCGGGGAGGGCATCGTCGTCCTGGAGGGGCAGCCTCGAGGTGAAGGGGGCGAGGGAGAGGTGGTTGAGGTTGGTGCTGGAGCGGTTTTTCCGACGCGCTTGGTTCGCGTACTGCTTATAGGCCTCTTCCATGGTTCTTGTTGTATGTCTTGTTGAGCTTGTCGTCGTGAGCAGGTTTGGCAAGATGGGGGAGGGCAGCGAATTGATCGGCGTTGGCGAAACGAGCAAGGGTTTAGATTAGAATGAGTTTGCTTCGACAGGAATAAAAGGTAGACAGGCAGGCATGAATCTGGGGAAGGGGAGGGGAAGGGTTAGGAGTTCGGGTGGTTTCGCTCCAGTCCTTTAAAAAGGGTTGAGACGCTTGTTGAGGGAAACACGGGCAAGGTCGGCCATTGACGGGCGCCGGCAGCAACAGCAGACGCAAGGAGGAATGCGAAAACGCAGATGCGCTAATGGCAAAATCCGGGGGACAGCAGACTTCTGGCTACCGAGGGATCGGCCTGTCTGTGATTCGCTGATCGGATTCGGGTTCTCCTCTGCGGGGAGAGGGAATGACCGTGTGGTGATTTGGACGGGGGGAGAGACTTTTGAGAGGACGGAATGCATGATTACGTAGGTACCTCGGTACATGGGAGTGCTCGGGTAATCCCATACGGCGGGAGGTACCCGTACCCGAATCAAATCATGCAAATCATTTAGAAGCAGAAGCGCCCGGCGCTGGAGCCTCTTCTAGGCCCCTTTGCTCTCATGAAGATGTGACGACGTCTGCGGACGGTGTGAGCTGACTCTGGTACGAGGCTTGCAACGAGGCGTCCGTCCGGTTTTCATGCGTAGGAGAACTCGCGCATCAGGTGAGGTTTGGGGCGATACGTGATCAATGGCATATTTCCCCCCTTACTGTCTCTCGCTGGAGTTGCATTGCATCAAAGAGGGACATGGCAATGTGGGCTGTGAGGTTCATGCTTGCTTTGCGTCAGAGATGTCGGAAATGGCCGTCACGAAAAGCTCCGTTCGACGAGACAGCTAGATAATGCAAGTAGACACGAAGCTCGAGCTATTTTTTCCTGATAATTTCGTCGATTAGTTGGATGCTAGCGGCGAGAAAACCATGGAAGAGGCGAGCTTGGGTGAACCAAGTGCGAAGTGTGGCTTGGGCGGGTTGGTCCCCCTGAATTTGGATTTGGCTGCTTGGGAAGTCTAGAAGCAAAAGGTGTTGCCTCTGGCTGCGAAAAGCTGAAGCGGCCGAGGGGCGGCTTGGACCCCGCCAAGGTACCAATGTACCCAACGGCGTGGTGGAGGGCGCCCTCTGGACCTTCATTCGCCTCGTCCCGCCTTTTGGTAGGGCGGCTGGCGGGCGGGCACCAGCGCGCATTGAGATTTTTCATTTCAGCGAATGGAGAAAAAAAAAATAGTTGCAGTGACGGATAGCGCAGAGACGATCGACGACGTCGACTCACACAGCAAAATCTCGCGACCGAGGCAGCCCATGAACTCCCGAGCAGAGCCCCGACTCGACCGGCACCTTTTTCGTTTTTTATGCTTTAGAGCGGCATTACGCTCTTCGCAAGAGGCACAATATGCGAAACTTGCGCAACATCCGGTTCAGCGCATGGGAGCAGCAGCAGGAGCAGGACGTCACAGTTACGGCGTGCTGCTGGGACCCCGCCAAAGACGAGCTTCTCTGCACGACTGGGCCGACGGAGGCGAAAGCCACTATTGAGCTGGTGAGGCTGTCGGACCACCACCAACAACAGCAGCAAATGTGTGGCGCCATTTCTTTAATAATCTCATTCTCCTAACACCTGCAATTCCTGTTTCACTACAACGCCCTTTGACCCATGACTACTGTTCCTGTAAAACGTGGTCCTGCCCCCCTGTTCATGTATCTGGGCTAGACTGAGCCTTGTCCCTGATTCTGAGGCTATCACGAACATGAGGCTGACGGTGTGGCTTGATCGTTGAAGACATGAAACTCTAGACTAACATGACCTCGCAGTAAATCACACACCGTCACGAGCTGGGATGCGCCGAGCCCCAGCCCGGACCTACCCGCGGACAGGGTAGTCAGCCTGCACCACTTCGCCGACACCCTTACCACCTGTGTTATCCTCGAGGGCGGCGACATCGTCACCGTGCAAGAGGATGACGCCGGCCGGGATGGCGAAGTCCAAATCGAGATCGTCGGCTCCATCGATGCCGGCATCTCCGCCGCCCGGTGGTCCCCGGATGAGGAGCTGCTGGTCGTCGTTACCAAGGAGGGCAACGCCGTCTTCATGGGCCGCAGCTTCGACCCCATCGCCGATGTCGCCATGACGGCCGACGACATGAAGCTATCGAAGCACGTTTCCGTCGGCTGGGGCAAGAAGGAGACGCAGTTCCAGGGCAAGGGCGCCAAGGCGCTGCGCGACCCGACGATTCCTGAAAAGGTGGACGAGGGCCTGCCGAGCGTCAACGAGGACGGTAGCGCGACGGTCAGCTGGAGGGGGGACGGCGCGTATGTCGCCGTCAACTCTGTTGCTGGCGGCGCGAGGAGGGTCGTCAGGGTGTATTCCCGTGAGGGCGTTCTCGACAGCGTCAGCGAGCCGGTGGATTACCTTGAGGGCGGTCTGAGCTGGAGACCTTCCGGAAACCTTATTGCGGGTATCCAGCGGCTTGAGGACCGGACGGATGTTGTCTTCTTTGAGAGGAACGGTCTGAGGCATGGGCAGTTTACGCTTCGCTGCGCTGATGGGCCCCTGAGCACACACGAGAAGATCAGCTTGGCGTGGAACTCTGACTCGACCGTTTTAGCCGTGGTTCTCAGTGACAGGATACAACTGTGGACGACGGGCAACTATCACTGGTATCTCAAGCAGGAGGTGCCGTTGACGTCTGCATTTGCTGGGCTGGCGTGGCATCCCGAGAAGCCTCTGCGGCTTGTCGCTGCTACAACAGGTTGGTTTACCCCTTTCACGGTCAGATGTGCTGTACTAACGGGAGTGCAGCCGTTGTCAATATAGCCGAGTACGTCTTCGCTGTGTCCCGCGGCTCCTTGAGCCCTCCCAACGACCACGGCGCCGTTGCGGTCATCGACGGCCAGATCGTCAAGCTGACCCCTTTCCGGACGGCGAACGTGCCGCCGCCCATGGCTCTGTTCGAGCTCGAACTCGCGGCCAGCGTCGTTGACGTCGTGTTTGACCCTAGCAACACGCTCATGGCGGTGTTGCACCACAAGGGCCTGGATGTGTACGAGTGGCAGACGAAGGGAGAGCGTTCGACCAAGCCCAAGGAGCTGGCCAAGATTACTTTTAAACCTGATGCCAAGGGCAGGGTTCCTCTACAAGTTGCATTTTCTGGCCCGGCTGAGTGCCAGGTTCTTGTTTCTGAAGAAGCGTTTTTGAAGCTGGAGACTTATACCGTTGAGGCATCCGCGCTTGGCTCTTCGGGAGTTACTCAGCTCAAGCCCACGGAGACGTTTTCGTCGATTTTCAGTTACGAGGGCGACTCAGGGGTTGAGGCCTGCGCCCAAGACCGCTCAGGGAAGCTCTATAGGCTGGCTAACAAGCAAGCCCCTGAGCTTTTGGGGACCCAGCTGTCGACCCAGCTCCCGTGGTGCGAGGTGCAGAACATCAACGGACGCAGCGTTGGCATCGGCATGACCAGAAATGGCCACCTCTATGCTAACTCGAGGCAGTTGGCGAAGAACTGCACATCGTTTGTCGTCACCCCGGCGCATATCATCTTCACTACCAACAACCATTTCCTCAAGTTTGTTCATCTGGTGGACCCTGAGGGTGAGTACTCTGTGCTCCCATAGCGGTCGTCACAAAAACTGACCTTGGTACAGAGATGGAGGTCCCTGGAGACGACCCAGAAATAGATGAGAGATGCCGCAGCATCGAGCGCGGCGCTCGTCTCGTCACGGCCATGCCGACCAACATGAACTTGGTCCTCCAGATGCCGAGAGGCAACCTGGAGACCATCTACCCCCGAGCTATGGTCGTTGCAGGCATCAGGCAGCTTGTCGATGAGAAGAACTACGGCAGAGCGTTTGCATTCTGCCGCACGCAGAGGGTTGACATGAACATTCTATATGACCACCAGCCGAGCCAGTTCTTGTCCAACGTGGGTCTGTTCCTTGACCAACTCAAGGACATTTCCTACATCGACCTATTTCTGTCATCACTCCGGTAGGCTCGCGCATATCCAGTCTTTCTTATGTGGAGGAGACTAACTTGCAACAGGGAAGAGGACGTTACCCAGACCATGTACAAGGATACGAAGCGCACAGCCAGATCTTTCGAGGCAGCGGAAGAAACCCCCGCAGTGCCCACCGAGCTCTCCAGCAAGTCCAAGGTCAACAAGATCTGCGACGCCATCCTCAAGACCCTGCAAAGCAAGAAGAGCACAAACCTGCAGAACATCATCACGGCCCACGTCTGCAAGGTTCCGCCAGCCCTCGACGACGGCCTCACGCTCGTCGCGGAGCTGATGCAGGAGGACGAGAAGATGGCCGAGAAGGCTGTGGAGCATATCTGCTTCCTGGTCGACGTCAACCGCCTCTACGATAACGCACTCGGTCTGTACAACCTCGACCTCGCCCTGCTCGTCGCACAGCAGTCACAGCGCGACCCGAGGGAGTACCTCCCATTCATCCAGAACCTCCACAAACTGCCCGACTTGCGTCGCAAGTTTGAGATTGACGACCACCTCGAACGCCGGGCCAAGGCTCTCTCGCACCTCAAGGCCCTCGACGCTTTCGAGGAGCTTTCAAAGTACACCACCAAGCACGCCCTCTACCAGGAGGCTCTCGGCCTGTACAGGTACGACCAGGCGCGCCACCAGGCTCTCACGGGCCTGTACGCGAGCTACCTCGAATCGAAATCGAAATACCGTGACGCCGGCCTCGCCTACGAGACCCTCCAGAACTTCAACAAGGCCACCAGCTGCTATCGCCAAGCCGGCGTGACGTGCTGGCGCGAGTGCCTCTTCGCCGCGCAGCAGCAAACACCCCCGCCCTCCGAGGAGACCATCACGGAGCTGGCGTCCTCCCTCGCAGACGCCCTCTGGGAAGGCAAGGAGTACGCCGCGGCGGCCACGATCCACGTCGACTACCTCGCGTCCCTCGAGACCGCCGTCAAGTGCCTCTGCAAGGGCTACCACTTCGCCGAGGCCCTCCGCCTCATCGCGCGCGAGCGCCGTCCGGACCTCCTCCCCACGGCCTTTGATGGCGGCCTCGTCGAGGCCCTGAGCAGCAGCACAGAGTTCCTCGCCGACTGCAAATCGCAGCTCCTCGCCCAGGTGCCGCGCGTCACGGAGCTCCGCAAGAAGGCTGCCGAGGACCCGCTCGCGTTCTACGAGGGCGAGCGCCCCGGCGGCGGCGGCGACATCCCCGACGACGTCTCGGTGGCGGCGTCGTCGCGCATCAGCACCAGCGCGAGCTTGTTCACGCGGTACACGGGCAAGGACGGCAGCGTCGGGACCGTTGGCACGGGCGTGTCGCGCGCCACGTCCAAGAACCGCAAGCGCGAGGAGAAGAAGCGCGCCCGCGGCCGCAAGGGCACCGTCTACGAGGAGGAGTACCTCGTCAACAGCGTCCGCAGGCTCGTGGAGCGCGTCGAGGGCGGCGCCAAGGACGAGGTCGGGCGGCTCGTCTTCGCGCTCGTGAGGCGCGGCATGACGGAGCGCGCGAGGGCCGTTGAGGCGCTCATGGCGGAGGTCGTCGAGGGGTGCAAGGCCGCGGTGCGCGAGGTGTTCGCCGCCAAGGACGAGGAGCAGCAGGAGGGGCGGGACCTCGTCGGGCCCGACGGGGAGACGTACCTCGCTTCCGGCGGCGATGCCGTTTTCCAGGAGCATCTCGAGGCGAGAACCAAGAAGTTGGAGCCGCCTGCCCTGACTACGTTCCAGAAGCTGACGTTGCTGGGGTCATAGACTAGAGTCGCATGGGTCTTAGATGGGAAGGAAAAGTGAAAAGAGATAAAAATAGACCGGCTTTTGTTTTGGCAAGTCTTGTGTGTGTTCTACTAAAAGTACAATATTGCACATTTGAGATTCTACTAGGGCTGTTCATACATGCTACGTCTCGTCCGCCTCCCCTTTCTGTTTTCCGGCTCGCTTTACGGCTTTCGACCAACACCCACGCCTTTGTCCGCGGCTTTCCCCTTATTGAGGCGGGGGGTGGCTCTCCTTGCTCGCTTCCGCCGCGGCGGTAGAAGCATTGGAAAGTTCCGGTATCGGCACAGAAGTGCCACCGGCGGCGGCCTTGTTCCTCGCAATGATCTCGCCGATGCGCTGGAGCATATCCGTCGTCAGCTCGGGCTCGCCGCGGGCGCGACGGGCCTCGCGCTGCTGGCGGTTGAGCTCCTGGAGCGGGGTGCGCATGGAGGCGAGGGCGTCGGCGGATGCCTTCTTGAAGGCCTTCTTCTCGGCCTCTTCGGCCTCCTTGCGGAGGATGTAGTCGTCCTCGTGACGGGTACGGAAGCGCGAGTACTTGTTGCGCAGCTCGTCGATGACGGACTCGGGCATGGGCGGGGAGAGGAGCGTCGGCACGAACGTAGCCTCCTCGACGTCGGTGCGCCTCGTGTCGCCGGGCTGGTCCTCGCGGACGGGGGTCTCGCGCTCCGGCCAGGGGATGGCGATGTTGGCGCCGGGGATGTAGCGTGTCCAGGCGCGCCAGCCAGTGTGGCGGGACCACTTGACGGGACCGCGGGCGAGCTGGCGGACCACGACATCGCGGGCGACGCCGGTAGCTGGGTCGACAATGGGGTGGACGAGGCGGATCGCCGAAATGGGGATGTTCATGGATGTGTTTTGCGTTACGGGGGCGTCGAGGCCCTTTTGGAAGGTTTCGGGGACAGCGACGGTGACCTGGGAAGGGCAATTGGTTAGTTACAAGATCGGTTGTACGGCGTCTTCCTGCGGGGCGAAGAGCCGGCTTCAACTCACCTTTGCGATGTCCTTCAATGTGACGGTGCCGTACTCGAGGTTGATGCTCGCGATACGGTCGATCTTGCCCTTGTCAGGACCTTCGAGAAGCACGACACGGTCATTGACGGCAATGTTAAGATACTGGCAACCGCCGGCCCAGGCACAGCGCGCCTCAATCTCCTCGGGCTTGAGGGGCGTCGAGCGTCCCTGGCGGTTCGTCTGGAGGGCGCCGTAGCTGTCGAAGACGTCGCGGCGCGGGGCCAGGGGGCCGAGGGCCCATTTCTCGTGGCGGACGAGGCGGGCGGTCTTGACATCCTTGTTAAGCTCTGTGAGCTGGTTCCGCTGGTCCCTGAAGCGCTGTGCCTTTTCGGTGCCGTTCTCGACGCGGGAGCGCTTTTTGATACGGCGGGCGACCTGCTTCTCGGCCTGGGCCGTGCGCTTGATGAGTTTCTGCATCTTCGGGGCAGATTGGCTTCGCCGCCAATTGGGGGTCGATTCGGGCCTCGTTCGAGCCGGTCGATCAAGTCTCGGGAATCGTCGACGTTCCTGGAGTTCGGCGGCGGGTTTCGGAGGGGAGGGCGTCGGCGAAGCTGGAGCCGCGGTGGTCTGTCGTCGACGTCCTTGAATTGACGATTTGGAAATTTCAGACGGGTCGGGAGCTCCCACGACTCCCCTGCAGCCACAGTGGAGCAGGGGTGTGCTTCTGTCGGAAAATTGGAGTCGCCGATACGCCGAACCTGAGTCCAGTCCAACACTGGCTCTGGTCGTCATCCCATTTTCTTAGACCCGCAAGGATGGTATGGACGGATGAATGGCCAACCCCCACATCCCCGGGCCCCAGGGGAGATGGCGGTAAGTATCCGCCGGCTGGGCACCGGGTGACATTCACAGTCCCAATGCGCATGCTCGTGCCGGCGCATGTTCCGATAACGAACCCCAACCTGACGGCCTTCTAGAAAGTTGACGAAAGAAAAAAGCGAGAACGCTTTGGAGGGTTCGGAAGCCTCAAGTGCTGTAATATCCGCTCCGATGCAAAGTTGCACAGCAGCGATGCCGGCTGTCTAAGGCTACCCTAAGCCGGCGATGCCATCATGCAGGATCCACGATGATCCCTCACGCGCCATGTCCCAGAATAGGCATGGGAAAGGGAAGATGCGAATGCTAACTCCGAGACGGGCGGATGACGAACTTGTAATTGATTGTTGACGGTTGCCAGCAGCTCATGCTGATGAATTCCATAGTCGACTGAGGAGTCTGCCTCAATATATTTCGGGACATTAGGTAGTCTTGGAGTATCCAAATCAAAGCTCTTAGAGAACATCGTTTTCCCGATGGGCTAATACGTCTCGTATAGATGCCGAAAGGTGTCGTTGGACACCTCTCAACTCACGGGGTTTAATGTGTGGTTTGCCCCAAGTCGCTGGCGATCCAGACATCTGCACGCCCTTCCGAATCTCTTCACCGATTCCTCGCCTAAAGAGGGGGCGCTTTCTCCCTTAGGAATGCTTGTATGCTGTAGTGTCGGACGATGGAAGCTGTTAGTGCAGCCCTTCACACTCAAAGTCACGGTCAGTCGCATGTTACGTTTGTCCAAGACGCACAGCGGCCCATCAGCCGAGTCTCCAGTTCCGACGCACAGTCCCTGAAAGTCAGGTACTGTGAGGTGGCAGGGGTCAAGTCCTAGAATCCAGGACTCCACTACGTACCGCCTCACCATGCGGCGCAAGTAGCGTCCACCAAGGCGTCATCCCGAGGTACTCCTGCGGGTGTCGGGCAATTCAACAGAAGCTCCTATGTCATCCCTTGCCTATGGGGTTTCCTGTTATGTTGTGAGCCCCAGAGCAATACGTGGTTGCTGCTCTGCTCGGTATCGGTAACTTCTGACTGCCGCGTGGTATCAAAATTACCGTCGGGGGTTGGCAGTCTCCGTACCGCAGCACGGCGGGCAGAGATACGGTGCCGATGATCAGTGATGCCCTCCTCCACGTACCTATCCATGTGGGCGCATATGCACGAATGGCTGGAGAGCGGGGAGGGATAGCCTAGGGCTTGTGCAGGCTAAGACTTTCCAGTTCCAGCAAATACCAGAGGTTTGCGCAGGGCAGCGTACTGTTATCGAACATTGTGTCTACTCTGCGTTGGCGTCCTCCGGGTGTCTTGACCGCAACAATCTTGAATCATGAAAATGGAAGCATAACTGACCATGGGACGACTTTAGTCTCCCGTGTCTGTGGCTTCGCCTCGCCCCGAGGACGTAACACGAGACTAAAGGGTACCTAGGCACTTAGCTCGAGTCCCTTGGGAAGCAGCAGCATTGTAGTCGGTGCCGGACTGAGGCTATGGCTGTAGGCAGGCTGTTGTTCTTGCGGCTGCTTATCGCCATGGTTGAGACTGACAACTGCCCAGTCGTTCGACTGTGACTCCCACGGCGATTGCGGCGAAATGACAATCTCACTGAGCCACCGTACAATGGGTTTCAGCCCAAGCTTGGACCCTGGAGGCAGCGATCTTGGCCTAGTTCCCTGGAATGGGCATTATGGTTTATGCTTCGTTCAGGAGGCCTAGGAAAACATCAGCGCAAAAGGGGGTCGGCATCAAAGGCATAGGACGACAAAGGACCTGGAGTCGGATCCTGCATATCTCTGTGCCTGTGCCTGGACCCGTGCTTAGGGAATGACCTGTCCTGGATATGGTTCAAAGGAATCGGACGGGCTGGACTAGGGCGTCTGGAGGACTGTTTGGCCTCGAGGAGGATGGACGGAGAAGTGGAAAGACGTATTCTGCATTCTAGTCTTGGATAGGGGGTAGCTGAGACCAACGTCAGCTCGGCATCTAGAGGGTTTGGTCGTCACTTGTTGCCCTCACTGCGAAAGCCTGGCCACCAAACACTGACGTTGCAGATCAACCACCATCGGTGCCAGCTTCCCTGCCTTATCGCATCATTTTCGGCTTCCACGTCTGTCACGCATGTCCACGTCCACGCCGTCGTCGTTGTTGTTGTTGTTGTTGTTTTTCTGCCAAAGGCAATCCTTCTGCCCGCCAAGTCAGCGAATCTGACGGATGCACAGTATTTGTAACCCTCTTGACGGGCTGCAGTCCTTGCTTGCTATACCAGTAGCAGTAAGTCAGCATTGTCAGAAGCTTTGGCGATTCCTTCCCACACCTCGCAGGCCGTCACGAGCAGCCCGTCATAGTGCATATTGGAGTGTGGTTCAGCGGGCGAGATTCGCACAAGGCCAGCGAGACAGGGGCAGCGGAGGACGCAGTAGTGGAAGTTGCCACCCAATTGAGAGGCCCAGAGGTGAGGGAACAACCCCAGAAACCACCCCGCCCCCTGTATCCGTAACGGCCCCTTCCATCCAAATCGCAATTCAATTCGCCTTGTTTGGCTGCCTCAGGATATAACTCTCTACCTTAATAATAAGGACCATACGCGCACCTCACTCACCCGCCAACCGGGGAGCGAAAGTACCGATTCTATGGTTCCCACAGCAAAAGGATACCTGGTCCTGGTAGCTTACGAGGAGGGAAAAAAACAAAAAAAAAACAAGGACGCGGCATCTGTCCCGGCTCCCTCTCATCACATTCACTGGTCGGACAGCCCCGTCGTCGTCTCGTCTCTGCCAGTCGTCCAGTCGTCGGTCAAGCCAGTCGTCGGTCAGGTCAATAACAAACCGAGTCCATCCAGGCTGCTGCCCGGTCCCGTCACCGTTGTCATCATTCCCTCTCACTCAGCTGGGAAGGACACACCACTGACTACCTAGTCCACTGCTACGTTAGACGCACAGCCTAGCAGAGAGGTACCTGATCTTAGATATCGGGAAACCCGCTATCAGCAGCACCACAACACCTTAGACTCCGCATCTCTTCCTCACCTCACCTCATACCTGAATCAAAGGTACTGCTACACCGGTACTTGGCCAAGGTCAGTCATCAATGTTGGCCGCCCGTACTCAATACCCATTGCCTGCCTCCTTTTGCTTTGCTTTGCTTTTCGTTCCTTTGCTCTGCGTCCCTTCCTCACACTCTCTCTTCAAACTACCTGCTTGCTTGCCTGGTGCCAAAAATGAGAGGAAGAAAGTCAACAAACCGTTCCTGGTCGCGGCGAAGAAAAAAGCCCGGACCACCTGTCCTGCACCAACGTGCACCTGCAACCTGCACATCCCTCCAAGGTACCCTACATGTGGTACGGATACCTTACATTGCCTTACCATCCTTTCCCCCCTAGTCGCCTTCTTTTACGCGGTACCTAGGCTTCTCTGCGCCTGCACCACCCTGTCCACCATAGTCCTGTCCTGTCCTGGCCTGTCCTTCCTCCCCACCCCCCAATCTTTGTCTCCCTCTTTCACTATTGCTGCCAGGCCTCCCGCTCTCGCTGGTTCCCTTCCTTTTTTCTTCCCTTCCCGCCTCTTCTGACACCCCCCCCCAACACAATTCTGCCCTGCTGTTGCTTGCACGTCGTCAAGTGAACTCCACCCATAAGGTACTACTGTGACCTTACTTCTACCCATCCCATTCTCTTCCACCTTCAGACTCCCCCTTCCGACGCAGCTCTTCCTTCTCCATCTTCCACGTCTCCGCCAACAAGCTCAACCTCCTCGCTCGACCGCATCTCAATCCGCTCTCCATCGCAACACACTCTCTCCCACTCACACATTCACAACCACAGACACCATGGCTGAGATCCGCCGTAAGCTCGTCATCGTCGGCGACGGTGCCTGCGGTAAAACCTGCTTGTTGATGTGAGTATTGGCCCCGTCTTCTCCCTCTTCGCCCATGCCTACCGCCCACCGCCTGGCCCCCAGCGACGAACCAATCCTGCATCGTCGCATCACCGGAAAAAAAATCAAAACCACGGATGCAATCTCGCATCATCAAAGGCTTCATCGCGCTGACTTTTCTTTGATACAGCGTCTTCTCCAAGGGTACCTTTCCTGAGGTAAGATGACCCTTTTCTGCCACGCCGACGCAGCCTGTTGCCCCCTGTTTCCCCGACACGAGGCCAGGCTGAGATGCATCAACCCATCAACAATCTAGGCCTCCGATGACACGCCCGCCTATCATGAATCCGTCTCCGATCCTAGAGTATTCTGACAACTAATCCAGGTCTACGTTCCCACCGTCTTCGAGAACTACGTCGCCGATGTCGAGGTTGATGGCAAGCACGTCGAGCTGGCCCTTTGGGATACCGCTGGTCAGGAGGATTACGACCGTCTCCGTCCCCTTTCCTACCCCGACTCCCACGTCATCCTGATCTGCTTCGCTGTCGACTCCCCTGACTCCCTGGACAACGTTCAGGAGAAGGTACGTTTTTATCCCAATCTCCCGGCACCATCGACCATTCTCGACATGTAACTTTCGCTAACACGTGCTCCTCTTCCTATAGTGGATCTCCGAGGTCCTGCACTTCTGCCAGGGTCTGCCTATCATTCTTGTCGGCTGCAAGAAGGATCTCCGCTACGACTCCAAGACGATTGAAGAGCTGCGTAAGACCAGCCAGAAGCCCGTCTCCCCCGAGGAGGTACGTCTTTCTACCCCGCTGAGGGTTATCGGTCGTCTCGGGCATCACTAGATGCTCGGCGGCCTCCTGCCCCGTGTCTCCCACGCATGCATGCTAACAATCCTTCCAGGGTGAGGAAGTCCGCAAGAAGATCGGCGCCTACAAGTACCTTGAGTGCTCCGCCAAGACGAACGAGGGCGTTCGCGAGGTGTTCGAGCACGCTACGCGCGCCGCTCTGCTCTCCCGCAGCCGGAGCAGCGGCAAGAAGCACAAGTGCATGGTTCTCTAAATACCCTCTGGGCGAACTTCTTAAAACCCTTTCTCCCTCTTCGACCACAACCCCCATTTGTAATCATCAAGGTCCCGGTCACCATTGTCTTTTCCCAACTCTTCGGATGAGAAAGGGTTTCTGGTGGCGGTCTGGAAGGCGGGGGCAATATCTGCCTGCATAGGTTCTCGGAATTTGGAGTTTTGCTCAACATTGTGTCTCATAACAAACCTGGCACCATATCGATCGGCGTGTCACCGTGTCTGGTTCTGCGGGGGGTCTTTTTACCGAATCCATTTCTTTCCCTGCCGAACGGTGACTGGGAGAAGCAACAGCTGGCCACGACCCTACAAGAAGCTGCGAGGAAGTTGAGCTCAACCATGTTGTCTCTCTCATGGTCTCGAGGGAGGAAAGGGCTCGGTGGCTGGCGTGACTGGCAGCTGCTGAGCGACGATGGACAGTGAGTTGTCTGGTGACTTCGGGAACGGCGGAATGGCAACGGTTGATTTTCTAGCTGTGGAAACGGCGTGTCTAGCCGTAGTATTGCGACGAAGCCCGGCTACATCATAAAACTTGTCGTGTTTTTTTCTCTCTTGACGCCTCGCAGCTTTAGACGGCGGAGATGGACATGTGTTTCCTGGCCGCGTTTTCTTCTCTCTTGTCGATTCTCTCAATCCAGGTCTTTGATAACTCAAACTGTGTCTCGACGTTGCTCCCGTGCCGATGCTACGGTGACTCACAAGGTCCACGGGCGTAATCTGTTTGATACCGCTCATGTTTCTTTCCAAAACTTCGTCATCACCGTCATACTCACGTGTCAGGGATTGCAGAGGATGGGATGAAAAGGATTTAGTAGCCAGGCACAACAATGGCTTGAACAGCACGGGTCGTGATAGTTGTGGTAAGGTAACCCGGGCAATACGGTCATAGTGGAGGTACTATTGAAAGTCGGGCGTTGTATAGTTATTATGGCTCCTGCTTTACCGCGAGCATATGACGGTACAGAGTAGTGGTTCTAAAGATAGGCGAATGGGGTATATTGACCTCGTACAGAGGCGAAATGGGGGGAGACTTTGGAGCAGCCATGGCTCTCTATAAGGTTGGGTCATGGTGTCACGTTGATTACGATGCCCCCGCCTCGTGATGTTGGGGATGGCCCTGCTTGATGAGCGACGAGTCTCGGGCTGGCATCACGCGATACTACATGCCGGCTCTTGCCTGGGACATCACTTGAGAATGGTTTTGGGGTAGACGGTTGGGGTAGCATTTGTTTGTTTGATTTGATTTGTTCTCAGGCGGACACTCTGGGCGACTGCCCCCCTTCTCTATGTTTCTACCCATCTAATTGACAATGAGGCGAGATGTGATAGGTAACCCTCAGGATAAGCTAGAGGAGTTTATGTTTCAGAAGAGGGGGTTGCCGCTTGTCCGTGGTTTCCCGTCTGCCCGTGCGTTTGGTTACTTTGAAGTTGCTTTGAAGGAATGTGAGGGATTCTCCATCCGATTCCCAATAGGTCGTCCTCGCTGCGTTATCTCGTCTCAACTTCCCCCCGTCTTTCAAGGATTCAAGCCAGGCAACATCGCAGTGTCGACCCAGATGTGAGAGACTGTGAGGGTGTTTAGGCGGGGCAGGTCTGTTGAAGAAAAGAAGTAATGTCAGCATACTCGGTCAGAGAGGATAAGAGACAGGAGGATCGAGGCAAGGTGAAAGGGTTGAGAGAAGAGGCCAAGGTGAGATGAGGCGAGGTGAGGTGAGGTGAGAGCAAGGCTTACAGCGCCGCAAGACGAGCAGGTCTTGGAGGTGGAGGCAGTGGCGGCGCCGCACTTGGGGCAGGCGTTGGTGTGGGTGTTGGTAAGGGGCTGCATGTTTGCGGTTTCTGGCGAGGTTTCTATGTTGGTAGATTTAGCACAGTAGGTTGTATGGTTGAAGAGAAGATGAGACGGAGAAAAAGAGAGGGAAAAGAAAGAGACGGCGGAAAGCGGGGTTCTTTTTATTCCTGAGATCTCTCTATCAGCGCCGCGCGCGTGCGGCCACGAGACGGTCGTGGGCTGGCCTTGGGCTGGTCTGCCTTTTTTTTTTCCACTTGTGACCAACGCAGAGAGCTACCACACAGAGACATGCTACGTACGCGCTACCTAGCCTGTGACCCTCTACATACCCGTGAAGATGGTCCCCTACTCGTTCGTTTGTTGTCGTCGGAAGTGGGAGGGTGGAGGAAGGTGGGATAAGGAGGGGTGGGCTTGAATGAGCTTACGGACGGGCTGTCATGCGAGATGGACGCCTTCTCGTTGGCTGCGAGGCAACAGAATGGGGGGAGGGGGGGGTTCACAAAAGCCTACCAAGACGCTTGACTCCGTAAAGAGGGTTTGGCCCAAGTAGTGGGCTGGGCTAGCCTGCTGGTGCCTTTGGAAGAAAAGGGACCCCCTCCTCTTCTTTGCGCTGGACTTTGCACTTGGGGCGAGCGGTCTTGCTTAGTTGTCATACGCTCAGGAGGGCCTTGAAACAGTATTATCCCGCGTGGGCGCTGGCGTGGAAGTGGGCGGGCGGGCGGCGTATTATTGGTATGGAGGGGGACGTTAACGCAAGGTAGCGTGAAGTTGAGAGGGGCGCTCAAACTGAAGGCATGAGGCAGATTGATCGGATGGACTTCATTTGGGTGAGGTATAAAGTGATGTGAGCTGGAGGCTGGCCAATGGAGAAGTGGCTTGGTGACGAGATGCCCGGCAGAACCCATCTCGGCGTCTGAATGTAAGGCGGAATGCATACCTACATGAGTATCGGCAGCAGCGTTGGACGAGAATCGATAAGGATTGTCTCAAACATTCTGCAAAGGGCGCTCTGCAGGATTGGCGAAGAGCGATGGGACTGGTGGAGAGATATCTGCAAACAAAGAGACCCCCTTCAAAGCCAACCGATTGTTCGGGCGGCTGTCATCAGAGGTTACTTACCTACTTGGGAAGGTTCATGCTTTCGTACGTATCTGCCACGGTTTACTGGCAATACGTATGTTTGTGTAAGGGGCGAGTAGCGACCTTCCTCTTCGCCCTTCGCCCTACGGAGGCGGCCACCGGTGTGGGCGGGCCTGTGTCGGTCGGGTGACTCGGGGCGTGAGATAAGCGACCGTTGCCCGCGCCCCGTGCATTTTGCCCAGGCCGCCGTGCGCTGGCGACAACATTCACCCCCATCCCGGATCCTGTATCCGTCCCAAGGCAGCGACCAACACCGAAAGGGCCGGAGGTGGTGGGGGTCAGGTTCTCGATCCATCGCCAGTCCAGTCTGAAGGACCGTCGAGAAGGGCGATTCCCTCCCTAGAGAACAACCATGGAGTTGCCTAGAAAACGGGCGCCTAGAAGAAAAGATGACAGGATCATACTCCACTTCGTACGTCTGTCCTCGGAATTCACGATGCTCTCCTGGCGCCCCTCTCATATACCATATATTCGAACTTCAACGCACGACGATGGCCTGTTAAAATACTGACAAAATGATCAGGACTATGACTGCTTCTACGCCTCGGTCTACGAAAACCGTGACCCGCGGCTCAAGGCGCTGCCGCTGGGCGTGAAGCAAAAGAACATCCTGGCAACGTGCAACTACGTCGCCCGCAAGCGGGGCGTCAAAAAGCTCATGCTCCTCATCGACGCCAAGAAGATATGCCCTGATCTCGTGATTATCGAGGGCGAGGACCTGACGCCGTTCCGGGACATGAGCAAGAGGCTCTTCGGGGTCCTCAGGGGTTATTCCTGGAACAACAAGGTGGAGAGGTTGGGCTTTGACGAAGTATTCATGGGTGCGTGTGCCGTCCCTGTGCTGCTTGACAGTGAGAGAGTACGGGCAACTGACCAAAGGACAGACGTTACGGATATCATCAACTACAACATGTTTTGCCTCAACAGGGCGTCTTTATCTGAATCGTTCTTTCACCTCTCCAAGCGGGATCCGGAAAAGGGCTTCACTTGCAACTTGACCAAAGTTGCCGGATGCGTATTCGGTGAAACACCTGAGCCGGGAGACCTCGATAACTCTACCTACGTGCGGCTGCTGCTGGCGAGCCATCTGGCTTTTCACCTGCGCATGAAGTTGGAAGAAGATTTAGGCTTTACGGCTTCTGTTGGGGTGTCCACGAACAAGCTCCTCAGCAAGCTCGCCGGGAGCGTGAACAAGCCGCGCAACCAAACGACATTGATGTCGCTTGATGATGCTGTCGTAGCGGAGTTTATGGACGCTCATTCTGTCAGGAAGGTCCCTGGCATTGGCTCCAAGACATCGCGCGTGTTGGAGGATCGTTACTTGTCAACGCCTTTAGGACCTGATGATGCCGACAGGGAAAACTCGCCTCTGAAAGTTCATAACGTGAGAACACATCCCGAAACATCACCAGACGCCCTGGAGAAGCTCCTGGGCGGCCCCGGCTCCGAACGCGGCATTGGCGAGAGGGTATGGGGCCTCTTACACGGCGTTGATGACACGGAGGTTAAGGACGCTAGCGACATACCGTCACAGATCAGCATCGAAGACACGTTCAAGGGATTGGAGAGTATGAGTAAGATTGAAAGCGAACTACGGAAGATATCTGCGTCCCTGGTGCGCCGAATGCGAACCGACCTCTTGACGGACGACGACTCGATAGAACCAGGCGGCCAGAGGTGGATCGCGCACCCCAAGACCCTGCGTCTATCGATCCGGTCCTGGCCGACGGAATCGACGCCAAATTTCCAGCGCATATCCCGCTCCCAGCCGCTCCCCAATTTCATATTCAACCTCAAAGAACCACCTGAACTCATCGCGGAGCGGCTCACGACTGACTTCCTCCTCCCCGCTATGAAGAAGTTTCACCCGCCGGGCCACCGGTGGAACCTGCAGCTCCTGAACGTCTGCGTCGCGAACATGGCGGCCAGCGGTAGCGAGGCTGGTCCCGGAGTCGGGAGGGACATCTCGGTGATGTTCAGGAAGCAGGACGACGTGCTGCGGCAGTGGAGGGCCGACACAATGGTTGTGGAGGACGACGACGAGCAGTGGGCGTCAGAGGACGAGGTTGAGGAGATGGAGCTAGGCGAGTTTGACGAAGGGGCGTCCTGGGAGGGCGATATGGTCACGGCGAGGTGTCCGCTTTGTGGGCACAGTATCCCACCGTTCGCGCTGGCTGCGCATGCGAGGTATCATGACCTGGGCGAGTGACGTCTTGTTCGGACGGGTGTTACAAAAGGGTTACCGACTACGTAGGGGTCACCAAGGTGCCTGTACTCGTAGGGAGCCATGCCAAAGTCATCATCCGACTCCTCTGAAAAGACCTCGGAGGTCCAACTGTCGTCGTCAGAGTCTTCGTCACCGCTGCAGTACCTAGACTCCTCGAACACCGATTCTTCCGGGTGTTCACTCTCGGAGGTGTACACCGCGGTGGTCGATCTGGCTGAGCGTACGCTTGCTTCTCGAAAGGGGGGTTTCGGATGACTGGTCTGCGTGCCGGCGACTTCGTGGTACATGATGCTGGAAAAGTTGACGGGTACGTTAGGTTGCATATACATGGCGTCGCGGCGCTGGGTGTAAGTGTCCGCGGCTTGCGGGCTACGGTTCTTCTTGATGAGGCAGCGGGACTTGGTGTAAGTAAGGACGGTCTTTGCCTTGGTCATGATGTGAGCCCAGCGGCCGCGGATACGGTTGGTAAACTTGCGGGCCATTGTGGATGTTTCAGGGGGTTGTTGGTGGTGGTCAGGGGTATACTTATGATTGTTACGTTGAGCGAGTTGTTGGACACCTTGCTCCAAGCTCTTAAGACCTCTTGTTACTATTTGCGAGCATTCTCATGGAGAGTGACGCTATATCCCCAGGACAAATACAAGAATGGGGTCCAACGGAGATAGACTTCTGGTCGGTGAGTGGTCTGCAGACCGGTCGACCGGTCCCATAGTTGAGGAATACCATACTCCAAGAAAGTTTGAGTTGAAGGTGATGGATCTTGGCATGATAGAACTCTGAAAAATTCATGTCGTTGAGAGAACCGTCAACTAAAAATAAGACGCGTTATATGAGAACTCAGTTCGAGCAGGTGATGCGGCAGAGTATTAGCCTTGGAAATGTAGTGTAAAGCTCTGGCCGACCTGCTGGTGGGGATTCCCATGTCCACGAGTAGATGTCTATTGAGGTGCTAGGTAGATGTATCAACAACCGTCAAATATGTTGTATTGTTTGCACCATTCGTCTGTTCCTTATGTGAGCAGACTTCAACCCATATATCCTTTCCAACACGACGAATGCACTAGGCAATGCTGCTTTCGGCTGTGAGGATTGTTCGGTCAGCTGGGGAGGCCCCGTCATGTCTAGGATTGATTGCCATATTGAGTTTCACGATGTGACAACTTGACGTTGATGGTTTACTCCTTTCGATATCGTTACCAGTGTGCCCCTACGTGAATGCTCGGAGAAACGCAAGAAGACAGAAAAGAAGATGCAGGTGAGGCGCGGCCAAGGTATAATGGTCCATCATGCCGAACCAAAGATGCCTTATTGCGCCAATGACCATCAAGTCCTGCTCTAGAAAGCCAACGTGAAAACGCGCCTAAGAGACATCGAACCGTCACAGAGACCAGGCTTTGGTGGAAAGAAAAACAGAGAGGGAGACCAGACTTGATAATCTACAATCGACGATTAGAGCTTCCGCCCTCAATGATTCACTTACATAGTCCATGCGTAGTCACAGCCGGGAGACGCTGCCACATGTAAAGGAGGATTAGAAGAGTCATAACAGAGAACAACCTGCTC